TATTTTTCAGAGGGGTAGGTATACCACCAACCAGGTTAGGTTGGCTTCTTACAACTCTAAATAAAGCAGGGATTGACATGCTTTTTGGGCGGTGTTTGTTTGTCACCGTGTCAGAAGCAGCTTGAGGAAAAAGTCCTGGCACATTCTTGGGATATGTAAGGATGAGAACTGGTGGGGTTTTTTCTCAGCCGTGGGATTATTGCGAAATCCTGTAGCAGTTGATAGGTGGTAAACAGATATATATATATATATACATAAGTTATATATATATATAATTATATATATATATATCCCATGATTTGGGGTGGGTTTCAAGCATCCAACCATGGTGATTTTGGGATTTCGCAACCATTCACAGTCACCTCCGCCAGCTGGGTAACCTGGCCTCAGAGTCCGGAAAGCGCCCAGGAAACTCCTACCATTGAAGTTGACCAATTGGCAGCCCTGGGTGAAATGGCCAAGGGTGGCAAGGCCCTGGGTGTTGGTGATGGGTAACGCTATGAATGGGTAACGTGTTGGTAATCCCATCCCCCTAATATTGAACATCCCCTAAATGGTCCCACTTGTGTGGAAATCCCCCTACTAAACTATAGTTTCTTGGGGGGGTGTTTAATATTAGGGGGAAGGGATTATTTCTTGTATCAAACCATTCACTTTGAACAAAGTTTCACCCGGAAGATGTAAGTGAGTCAAGCCGAATCTTCCCATAGAATCATTTGAGCATGGCATCCTCCTGATACTGTTTTTTTTGTCAGTGAAGTCAAGCATGGCTTGCTGGACAATCCCCCATAGTTCCATAGTTTTTACCCTCTGGTAAATTAACATAACTATGGAAAATCACCATCTTTAATGGGTAAATCAACTATTTCAATGGTCCATTTTCAACAGCTATGTTCAATTACCGGAGGGTAACATATTTAAATGCCCATGAAAACTTCGTGGACTTCCCAACTTGCCATGTTTTTTCTGACACCGGGTAAAGGTGTCATCCATTCATGATCTGATATCGGGATATCTGGGAAATTCATGCAAATCCACATCATTCGATTGGCAGGGCTTCAAAGAATCACATCCATTCCGATCCATACTCTCCGGTAATTTCATATGGTCTACAGGATGGGGCCCCCGTTTTCGAAAGCGTGAACCGTTGGTTAAAAAAAGTGGCTGAAAAAACGATGGCTTATGGTAGATATAACGAACTAGTTCATGGGGATTATTTCATGGTTTATAAACCAACGTTCACATCACTGGGGGGCCCCATATGGTCTAGATGGCCGATTGAGTTTGATGATTCATCCTGCTAAGGAAGCAACCGATTACTAAATGGGTATTGCCATTTCGGCTACCCATATTTCCAAAGCCATAGCAACTTGCATACAAGATGGGTCTCCCTATTTTTGTTTGTTGCTTTATGACCCCCGTTTAATACTATGGTTATTTCATTGCCATAAATCCTTGTGAATTGGTAAAATGGGAGTTATTTTGCCTTCTCGTGCCGTTGGAGTCCCACCCTGCAACCATGTATACATATGGAGTAGGTTTCCTAAAATGAAGATAATTACCCCAACAATGGATTGTTTTTAAGGGAACATCCTGTTAACATGGATGATTTGGGGGTACCCCTATGACTTAGGAAACCGCCATATATCAAAGTCTTAGGTGATCCGCTCCATTCTGTCCAGGCCAATATCATCAAGCTGCCGAATGTGAGTGCTTCCCTTCCTCAGTTGAAGGCTAGATGATGGATCTCTGGAGTGGCTATGTAGCTGTGGATAGTTTCAGCCGAAATTCTCATATGGATGTTTCCTAAAATAGTGGCACCCCCAAATCATCCATTTTTAATAGGATTTTCCATTGTAAACCATCCAGCTACTGGGGTACCACCATTTCAGGAAACCTTAATGTAGGAAAAAGTCAGGAGCAGATGTGCCAAATCACTGCTTCCCTCTGGTAAACTAACATAACTATGGAAAATCACCATTTTTAATGGGTAAATCCACTATTTCGACTGGGCCATTTTCAATAGCTTTTTGTTTGTTTACCAGAGGCTACTTCTGGAAGAAAAGTAGCAGCATCTGCATGGCGTGGATAGCCACTTTCATGTGTTGATCATCATGGTTCCCCTGTGAGAGAAGAGCTACGCGGGGTATTCACCGTCCTTTGGACAAAGCGTCATGTGGTGGGTTCCTGAGTCATAGGGGTACCACCAGTCATCATCCATCTCTTTTTCGGATTTTCCATGAAACAAATCATCCAGCTATTGGGGATTCCCCATTTTAGGAAACCCCCGTGTCTTCTCATTTGGCATCAGTGGCGTGAACTGATGGGTCCAGCCAGGAGTGCATCGCAGAGCTACAAGGAAAGGGTTACAAGGCGCCAAGCAACATGTCCAAGCAGCGTGTAACAGGTCTATATCAGTGCCTTCCATCAAAGAAAATATCACTTGGATTCAATTGGTATACTACATATTACATATCAGATATTCTTTACTATCTCAATGCATATCTATTTTTGTTTATTCCGATCAATGCCATGATCTTTGATATTGCAGTCCCACTAGGCCACTAGGCTCTCACTTGGCTGATGCGGGGCTGTTGGGGCCAACTTGAAGATTCCACGTTGAGTTTCAGTTCTCTCTTTGAGACATGTGGGCTCAGCCGGTGCGGCATGGAAGCCAGAAAATGCTGTTGTTTATGAAAAGCTCTCAATCATCTTTCAATCATCTCAATCATCTCATCACTCAAAATCTATGAAAGGCTCTCATTTGTTCAATCTTCCATCTTTTTTTTGGATGTGAAACTCTTGTGCTTCATCCATTTATAACGGATAATCCATGATCCCGGCAAGTCCCATCAGCCCAAAAAAGCCTTAAACGCCTTGCCACTGGGCCACGCTATCAGATCCCGAACTATCCGGAAGATCCCAAAGATGATGCGGAGAAGGAGATCAAGGCCCGGGGTTGATCTCGACTCCCTGAGAGGTTAGGAACCGCCATCCAAAATATACGTAGAAATTAGATGAAATTAGCAGGATCTAAAAACCCAATTTCTGTTGCTCTTGATGCGTAATTATAATCTCTTGTAATCAGTTAATCCCAATTTTTGGTCGTTAAATCATGATGAATCCTCATGTATTGTTGTTAAATCCTTGATCTTCAGCCCCATTATTTACAAAAACTATACAAATCCTGTAAATACATGTTTACATTGTAAAAATACTAGTTCCTTTTAACAATTTTTTGTGGAAAAATCACTCCCGCATCAGGACCCCCCCGTTCAACGGTGCTTTGCCCCAGCCCTGCCTTCGTCGAAGTCGTCGAAGGCCCGCTACGCCAAAGTCCTGGGCAGTGCCGTGAACCCGGTGCTGCGCGAGGGCAATTCGGACCGCCGCGCGGCGGTGCCGGTGAAGGAGTCACCTGGCAGCCTGGGGTTGTTCCGGCCGTATATCAATATCCACTGGGTCAATCGACTAGATTGTCAAACTATGGAAAATCACCATTTTTTATGGGTAAACAACTATTTCTATGATGATGAGTGAACTAGGTCAATCTTAGATGGGTACTTTAATCCTAACTAGTCTTTTGGTATCAATGGGATTATCTACGTTCACCAGCAAAGAATTTGTCATTTTTTGTAAGGTATCTAAGATTGGCAATGGTGGGTTCATTCACCACAGATTCACCACTAGTGGGATGTTTTTTTGTCTAATGGTATATATTGGTGATGATGATGATGATGATGATGATGATGATGATGATCATGATCATGATGATGATGATGATGATGATGATGATGATGATGATGATGATGATGTGATTGATGGTTAAGCCAGTAATCACAATGGGAAGGTGATATATGGTTTATTATTGGGTTTACGACATTAATGATTGTGGGATTGTTTAGTGGGATGATTAGTGGTAACATAATTTATGATTATTGATGGCAGACTTTAGTTGTAAATGATGGTGATGATTGTGCTTATAGTGATCAATCATTATACCACAAAATCATCAGTGTTTAAATTTAGTCCGATGATCAGTGGTAAAATGATGATTAATGCTACGATGGCGATGGTGATGATGATCGTTGGCGCAAAAAAGGGATACTGTAATTAGTCAATGGGAATTTCAGGATCCTAAAATGGAGGTACTGTACCATATAAGGGCATATTTTCTAGGGATATTCCCTTACATAGGCCTGAAAAATAGGCCTTATATATGGTAGGTACCTCCAATCAATCGGTTCCTGAAATGGCCATTGAATTAGTGGTATAACATGGGTTTGTCTCGTCGGTGATGATTGTCTTTTCCAGTGGGAAACGAATCTTCGCTGCAGCCCGGAGTCCGGCCAGCGTTCCGCGCAAGGCGTTGCGTCTGACCTCAGGTGGCTAAGATAAAGTTGATGTTATTACCCCAATCAACATACCCTCTGGTAAACATACAAAAAACTATGAAAAGATCCACCATGTTTAATGGGAAAATCCACTATAAATGGAAAATCCACCATGATTTTTTCCCCAATCAACATATGGGTTTGTCTGAAAATAGGGTATATTCCCAATGAAATAGCCATTTAATAGGGAAATCTGATCAGCAAAACCATTGGGTTTAGGGCTACACTATTTTCAGACACACCCATATTGTTCATAGGGGGTGGCAAATTTGGAAAATCCATGTTTTTTTCTTTTTTTTGGGGGGGGGACCTTGAGCAGATCCAAGTTATGGAATAGTTTTTGAGTAATTTTGGAATACACTCTTCCAAAAAAATGGAACAAGATGAAATAGCAAACAATAATTCTGATAATTCTTCCAAGAAAACGATTCTGATTTTGGAATGATTTGGAGATCTTAGGGATTTTCAGCAGTCTTTTATGGTAAACACCTGATACCTGAGGGTTTTTTTGCTGATTTTTTGAGTTTTTCTGTCTATTTAGAATTACGAGGGAATTTAACGAACAAGAATGGGGAGCGAACAAGATTGGGCAACACCCTGAAATCATTCGATGGGGTTCAACATCGTGCTCAAACACAGAGGAGCCTGGTTGAGCACGATTGAATTGTGCAGTAGAAAAAACAACAATCCATACCCACGCCCACAAACACGCATGTATTATCAGTTGTAGATTTACCCTTTGGATCCCTTTGGTTATTTCACGGTTTGCGAACTGGAAAATCACCAATTTTAAGAACGGTAAATCATGTTTTTATCATCGATTTCTATGGGCCATCTATACCACTTCGCAACCTGTGTGTCTCCAAGAACTGGCCCCATTGATGGAGCAGTTTTGATTTGGGTTTGAATATGACCCCATTTGTAGGAGATGCATCAGTACTTGGTGGCTCATCCCACGGCTCGTAAGTGGGTTATAACCCCAGTGATTTACATGGGATAAGTAGGGTTAATCCACTTATAACTGGGGTTATAACCCACTTACTAAGTGGGATGAGCCACCAAGTATGGATCATTAAAAATTCTGAACCATGACATGAGTCAATGAGCCTTGATTTTTTTCTCCATGAAAAACCAATGAGGTATGCCTTCAAGTACCCACACTCCATGGGCAAGTGGCTTCCAGATGCTTGCTATGACCTTGTTGGGAGCATCGGCCGTTCGATATGTGTTGCTCTCAATGACTGACATACTGTGGATGGGCCGTTGCGAAATCCGATAAACCACCAATTTTGGATGGTTGAAACCCTATAAGCAATGGGATGTTTACCACTTATCAACTGGTGATTGGGATTTCGCAACCATCCACAGTATCACTATGATGATCAGTGGAACACTCATATTTTTGACTGCAAAGTGCTGATTGGTGGTTTGGAACATTTTTGTCATTTTTCCAATCAGTTGGGAATGTCATCATCCCAACTGACTTTCACTCCATCATTTTTCAAAAGGGTTGAAACGACCAACCAGATATATATATATATATAAAACATAATTATGGAAAATCACTATTTTAATGGGTAAATCAACTATTTCGACTGGGCCATTGGGTGTGTGGTGGTGTATGATATACAGTCCTGTCCTTGCAGGTGGTGGGCCAGGTGGGCCAGGTGTTATGAAAGTGGATCGGTTGCTCATGGAGATCATTTCTGTAACATGTGGCCCAGGAACCATGGTTTAGATACAGTCCCTAGTCCAAGTAAAACGAAAAACATGTGAAACAGATTCTGGTTGGTGGTTTGGAACATGTTTTTTATTTTCCATTTCAGATATGGGATGTCATCCTTCCCAACTGACGAACTCATATTTTTCAAGATGGTTTTTGTCACACCAACCAGGATTGGTTCCTCGGAATGCCCTGATCAAAAAAAAACATGGCCTCACAGTGACTGTGAAGGAATGATTGCTATCATTCTTCTTACTGGTGCTAAACGTATTGAATGGGGGAATGCTCTATAGTAACTATCAATAATCATCCCAGCAACCCCCAGCAGCCCATCCATTCCCTACGTAAAACGCACCAGTAAGTCTTGGGTGGTTCCAATTTCAACTCGCTCAGCTACAGCCATGCTGAAGTGTGACCATCTCTGCGAATGTCATTCCATTTTGGTGATGCCGGAAAAAAAAGCCACCAAGATAACATACCATCTGGATCCATCTGGTTATTTAACATAGCCATGGAAAATCCCTTATAAATGGAGGTATTAATGGGAAAATCATCTATAAATGGGCCATCTATACCATGGCTAGATTAAATAACCAGAGGGTAAGATAAGACTAGATTTTCCTCCACCATTGAGTGACTCTTTCTCGCCATTTTTTTTTTGAGACACCGACAGCATCTAAACATGAGACCCAGCTGCTGATGAGACGAGGACTCCAAGACTCACGTGAGTTCCATGGAGGACGGCGATTTCTTTTCCCACGAGAAATCTGTGGCTTCGGCGTCGAAGATTCCGGCAAAAATGGGAGTTGTGAGGTTTGGAAGTGGTAGTTATATTTATTGCCATTATATATTATATAACTATAATTGGTTATATAGTTAGTTTATAGTTATAGTTGGTCTACATAACTCTAGCCATTATGACTGATAGTTGGTTTGGAAAGAAATTATACAACTATAGGCATATTTCTACACACCTAATCGACCCAAGTGCGTTTTCCCTAGTTCAACGTGTGTCAACTGAGCGGATTCGAATGGGGCGGGGGGGTTTTATCTCCTGGATCCAGCATTTATTACGAATGGATTCTACACAAAATCCCATGCATAATGTGGTAAACCAAGGGCGTAAGAAATGATTGGCTTGACCTGGTGGGTAAAACAATGTCATAAACCACCCATTTGGGAATGGCTTATACCATCTATTTATGGTGAAATTGGGGATGGTTGATGATTGGCTTGACCTGGTTTACCTCATTCAGTCAGATCCACCATCAGGAAATCGCGCCAAAAAACGGGGACATGCTTTGCAGTACCTGGTGTTAGGGCAAAGTGACTTTGCAATGGGGAGAGCACACAGTGTTTTTCCAACTCTCTACATTGATGATTTTTGACTGGTTGGTGGTTTGGAACATGAATTTCCATTCAGTTGGGAATTTCATAACCCCAACTGACGAACTCCATCATTTTTCAGAGGGGTAGGGCTCAACCACCAACCTGTTGATGGTTGTTTTTTTGTTTCATGATATCTCATGATCCACGATACTTGGAGCATGTTTGCATACCCGGCCTGGTAAACATACAAAAAACTATGGAAAATCACGATGCTATAAATGGTAAATCCACTATTTCGACTGGGCCATTTTCAATAGTTATGTTAGTTTACCAGAGGGTAAATTTGCTCATGAGAGAATCAGTGACTTTTTTTAGCACTATATGAATGGGGTTATGAGTGACTCTTAATCCAGCAAAGAGGTTGGGCATCCGGGTCCGCCATTGTTTTGACACATGTCATATTGCCAGATATTGTGATATATCTGGGTAAATTATAACGACCTCACTGATCTCCCTCACTGGAAATCATGCTTAGATTGTGGGGAATCATCCCCAAATGGCCGCAAGATTCAGGTTAATGAAATATTATAATTTACCCAGATATATGTGAGTAGATCATATGGATACTTAAAAGAAAAAACATCAGGTGGATGAACAATAGGTGTATCAAGTATCTAATCCAGGTATATCCATGTGTTTTGATGGACACGAGCATTTATCCTTTATTCATGGGATTGGTTTAAGGGAACATTTAGGTGACACCTCTATATTTGATTTGGAAACACCATGGTTTCCTGTAGATTTGTTTTCCTTCAACCAATCGATTTCATATAAGTAGCACTAAATAACCAATGACATGTAATCACCATGATTTTAAAGCACAATTGATTATCATGTTGATTCATGGTGTAAACTTATGATACTGTGGATGGTTGCGAAATCCCAATCACCAGTTGATAGTTGGTTTATCCCATTATTTTGTTTGGGTTTCAACCATCCTTTTGGTGGTGCAGGATTTCTTCCATCCACGGTATGATCAATGGCTATTTCAGGAACCTAAATTGGAGGTACCTACCATATATAAGGCCTATTTTTGTGGCCTATGTAAGGGAATATCTTCACAATTCATATGCCCAAACATATGGTACTAACGTACCATCTGTTGGATCCTGGAGATCTCCCATTGATCTCCCAATTCATGTTCCAAACCATCAACCAATCAAAAATCATCAATGTAGAGATATATACACTTTCAAGCAATATAGATATAGTGATGGTAATATCATTATACTGTGTAAATTATAATAATTCACTAACCTGAATCTTGCGGCCATTTGGGGATGATTCCCCACAATCTAACCATGATTCCAGTGAGGTCGCAGTGAGGTCGTTAGAATTTATCCAGATTATACCATATATACCACCACTATATCTATATTAATGGTATATCCATATAATATCCACATATTAATGGTATATTAATAATATCATTAATATCATAATATCCTCAGCAGGCCTTGTGACGCTGAGGTGGTCATCTCCGAGAAGTGCGAGGCGCGCATCGAGATGCTCTCGGAGGAGTCGATGGAATCCCCACGGGGGCCACGACGGGCCCGATGGGCGAAAACGGGCTGTGAAAAGACCTGAAAAAACATGGAGAAAGTGCGAATGTTCATGAGTTTGTCATAGTTTGTCTATATGTTTCTGGGTTGAAGTTGTTGATATCACGAATAAAACTCAGTTTTTCGAGTGTTTGCTCTGATGTGTACTTGGATGTGATGGGTGTACCACCAGGAACATTTGGGGGAATTCAGGTTGGTGACATCGAATTTCTGAGCCCAAGACTGCTGGGATGGGAGACTCAGGAATCAGAATTTGGATCTATCTGACAATGCAGCTGAAAAAGTGGTGTACCATGGTGTGTCCCCTCGTCGCCGTAGTTTCAATAAGGAAACTGATGTTTAAGCACTACTTTCAGACAAACTCATCCAGCAACGTGCAGTTCCTACCCGGCAAACCGATTTGACTATCAGAACATGATGACATTTTTTCGGTGCCCAGTTTGACCCGTGGTGATTACAAACATATTTTTCAGGGTGCCACCAATGATCATCTAATGTGGTTAAAAGAATAGTAAGCCATCCCCAAGTCATCAGCATTTTAATGGGTGGTATGTTTATCATCAAAAATGGGATGGTTTATATATGGCCTTGTTTTACCACCACCAGACTTGTCTAAAAATCGGGGCGTCGGGGCCATCCCCGCAGGATGGCAAGGTCACGGTTTTGAAAGACAAGCTCACCCTTCAGAAGGATGAGGCTAGGCTTAGCCGGTGAAGACTTCGTGACAAATTTTCACCATGGGAAGTGTCATCAGTGACTGTCAGTGGTCGAAACTCTGAAACTGTGAAGATGCACCTCCCTGGATTGGTTTACAAGGGAAAATTTACAGGAAAACCCAATATTTCATGGGGAAAACCATGGTAAGACCGGCTTCGATTTTCCCTTCAATCCAGTGAGAACCAGCATGAACCAGCTTCGCGACAAATTCGACCCATACCCATTTGTCGGTTGCCTCGGCGTAGAACGTTGTGATTAGGAATAGGCCTCCAAACATGTTCTGAATCAGCAAAGCAAAGGATTGCAAGTTGCTTTTATGACATTTTATGATATTTTATGGTTAATTTTAGGGGAATCATCCCAAAATGGCCCAACATTTCAGGTTAGTGAATTATTATATAAATACTCCCAGATTTTATGACATGTTTATATCAACTATAGTAACGATTATCTCATAGATGCGGAGACTGACATTCTCATTGGCCAACGGCATCTGCCAAGATTTCCAGGGAGATTTCCGTGTGAAATCAGCACTGCCCACCATTTCTGTGGCTGATGTGCAGTTCCAGTGAGAATAGTGGACATGGCCCAGTCGAAATAGTGGATTTACCCATTGAAAATGGTGATTTTCCATAGTTTTTGTGTATGTTTACCAGAGGGTAACTCCAATAATCTGGGTAAATCATAAGGACCCCACTGATCTCCCCCACTAGAATCATGGTTAATTGGTGTTAATTTATGTTGGGGAATCATCCCAAAATGACCCAACATGAATCAGCTTAGTGGATGGATTCTAATTTGCCCAGATAAGTGGAAATTTGACCAAAGTTAGAGAGGTTGTATCCCAACTTCTGGAGGTGAAGTCACCATAGTTATCTCAGTGTTCCATGAAAATGTCACCCACCAGCGCCGCTCTTCTCGCACGCTATGACAAGGAAGATGTCTTTGGTTGATGAAAATAGAGGGATAACTCATGATAACCATTGATCGTCGATATATATATATATATTATATTATATCATATATATACTATATATATAATACTATATATATACCATCTGGTTATGACTAACATAGCCATGGAAAGATCCACCATGCTATTAAGAAGGTAAACCATCTATTTCGATTAGGGCCATCTATACCATGGCTATGTTAGTCATAACCAGAGGGTATATATATATATATACTGGTTGGTGGTTTGGAACATTTTTTATTTTTCCATCTATTTGGACTAATCATCCCAACTGACTAATATTTTTCAGAGGGGTTTAAACCACCAACCGGTATATATATATATACATACACAACCATTGGGAAACATTGTTCACAACCAATTTGAGGTGATGCTGAGTCGTGTCTTCCAAACTGACCACGGCATTTCTTTCCAGTGTTTTTTTTTTTTTTAGGACGTTATTTTCTGAAAACGGGGCTTTATACACAGGACTTATATTCTGTTTATTATGTGATATATTCTGTTTACACTAAGATTTCTATGATGGGGCCCACAGTGAACATACTCCAGTGATCATACTCCATGTTGAGAAACACCGTACCCTCTGGTAAACATACAAAAAACTATGGAAAATCACCATGTTTAATGGGAAGATTCACTATTTCTATGGCCATTGTCTATGGCAAACTGTTGACATAACCAGAGGGTATATCCATCATATATCCTAATAAATCCCATTAAATCCCATTAAATCACCATTAAAATCCCATTTTCTATAGCTATTTTGTTAGTCATAACCAGGCCGGGTATTTATTTAACTGGCTCCGCGGCGATAAAACTGCTCCCCGGAGGTCTTGGACGCGTCCTTCATCAACTGCAAAATGTTGCGTCGCTTCTTTGAAGAGCAGATCGCCGACGCTAAGGATCCCATGGATCCCATGGGACTCGACGAAAGATGGTCGGAGGGTGGAGAGGGGTCGAGATTTTGAGGCAACTTCTATAGTTGAATCCCAGACTCACAAAGTGATAACACACATATGTATATATATATACATATATATATATATATACATGATATATTCATAGTATATCATATATAGTGCTGTATACTTTATATTATATTGCAAAAGGCAAAAAAAATAGGGCCAGCTTTTTTTTTCTAAAGCAGCTTACGTGCTTGCCGAGCCAGGAGCGAGGCGTGATGTTCTCCTTGCATTTGAAAGCAACGATGATGAAGGTCTCAGATCCCATTATGTTCGGGCACTGCGTGAAGGCCTATTTCAAGGCGCCAGAAATACCCTCTGGTTATGTCAACAGTTTGCTATTGAACATGGCCATTTATAGTTGATTTACCATGATTTACCCATTAAACATAGTGATTTTCCACAGTTATGTTAGTTTTACCATGTTTTACCCTCCAGAAGTTGAGATTAGATTAGCCATATAGTGTGGTAAACCAAATAATAAACCATCCTATTAACCAACCATATACCAAGTTATGGAATACATTGATGTACCCTGCTGGTTATGACTAAGATAGCCATGGTATGGATGGCCCATTGAAATAGATGATTTTCCCAGCGAACGAAACCTCCATTTATGGTTGGGATCTTCCATGGCTATGTTAGTCATAACCAGATGGTAAGTTGCGTAAATTGTGTGGAACATGTCATGTTGACTCGGAGGGTCGAATCGTGTTGAATATTGAAGAAACCCCGACGAGAAAAATTATCCGTGAATGTAGACAGCTTCCAATCCGAATTCATATTTGAAGTGCTGTTTTATCATAGATTCTATAGATAGAGTTTGATCCTGAGCTGGAGAAAATCAATGCCACAGCTTTTTATTATTTTTTATTCAACGCTGACAGGATGTCTTCGCCAAGTATGCCGAGACGTTCGAAAAAATTGGTGTTAACGCCAACAACGGCCTTGGCGACATGGCTAAAATCAACGAAGCCCAGATCCGGAGGGCCAATTTGGGATGGTCCCCAAGGTCCAGGATCCCTAGCAGACCCCAAATCCAACCCAAGTCGGTGTTTTCTCCCAGGCGGGATGGTTCGTTGTGGGTTTGTGTGATTAATTAATGATTATAAAATTATATACGTAATATTATATAAGCTATAAGCATATCTAAGCTATGCTTGGGTGCTGTAAATATCTGATTTTCAGTTAAAGACATGAATTCAAATCCCATCTACATCGGTTTGGGGTGCCTGTGGCCTTATCCATTTCCTCTTAAATCTGAGTTTGGAATTGATGCATCAAACACCACCTTTTTGGGCTGTGAAATCCCCCAGCATGGTTTGTCCCATGTGATGAAAATCTCCATAAATGCCAATGGTTTATCAATCTCCATCATATGCTTTGTCCCATTAACCCAAAGGCATGGCTCACATGAACCAAATGCCATCATGGCTGAGACAATGCTCCGTAAATCTCCATATTTTATTGGTGAAGCACTGAATTTTTGTGGGTTAATCCATGTTATATAACCCACAATGTTTGTTGAAATCAGTTTCGGATTAAAATCAGGATCATTTTCAGGATTCAAATCAGTTTTGGATTGAATGGTCATTTATTTGGATTAAAATCCAGTTTTTCTGAGGTTCAAATTTTAATTTTTGCTGGTGAATTCCCCCAAAAAAAAACCGGAGGAAATTGGACTTTCCGAGGTGACCTCTATAAGAAGATCGCCACACTGCCGGACGCGGAGCGTCAGGCCAAGTCGTGCGCATTGACCCTGAAAATAGTTGGGAACCCCTGGAAGATTCTTTGTGGTTTCACTAATCTTCTCAACTATTTTCAGGGTTTCCAATTTTCAGTGAAACCCAACTATAACCCCAATTGTTAGTGGTTTCACTATGTTTCACTAATCTTCCAACCCTGACAACTGCCAGGGTCGAGCTCTTAATTTACTGGAGGGTAATCATGAAACATGGTGGGATTTCATACATTTCATGGATCAATGGCTTCATTTTTCCGGGAACATCGAAGCCGTTTTTACCATGTTTTTTCCCATAATTCATGGGGGGGGTTCGATTTTCCAGGGGGGTCCGGTGAATTTTCCAACATCCATTGAGGATGATGATAACTTTCAAAGCCTTTCTTACCAGGTTGGAATGACAATCCGCAGAGGAATATTTGAACATGAATATGAAGGAGAAAGATAAGGAAGATAAGGAAGATACATGGAGAAAAGCAAGATAAGGAAGATAAGGCATAGAAGGCAGAAGAGAGGAGAAGAAGAATACACGCAAGCACACAAACCGAAAAGAGTCTTAGTTGCAAACTGAGTAAGACCGAGTAAGTCGAGGGTAATTGTGCAGCTAAAGATTCCATCCTGGCCTTGTCAGTGTTTTTTAGAATTCCATAACTGGTTGGTGGTTTGGAACATTTTATATTTTTCCATATATTGGGAATAATCATCCCAACTGACTTTCATATTTTCAAGATGGTTGAAACCACCAACCAGATAATCATGTCAGGACCAAAGCACCCTTTCAGTTCGGGTTTATTTTTCGCCTGGGTGGGGAGAATCATCGGCCGACTGTTGGCTGAAGCCTGTGTGTTTGTTAGTGCAATCCGCATGTTTGCGGGTGAAAACCTACTGCTGATTGGCAATTTATTGGTGGTGAAGTGAGTTTGTTGGTTCAATCCATGTTTCGTACAATGTGGGGCCCCCCAGTGATGTGAACGTTGGTTTATAAACCCCCATAACTATAGTTATAAGTACCATAAACCATAGTTATTGGAGTTATAAACCAACTTAGCTATCTTGGGGGCCTCACATTGTAGTATTCGATCTTATTCCAATTCCGAACTTTGAAGAGCCGACTCAACCCCTGCGAAACATGAGAAACCCCTTTGGTATAGTCAAACATGGCAATGGAAACACCCCAAGTCATAGAGGTCCTAATGGGACGGGATTACCAGAGGCTAAAAAACACCCAGATATCTTCCCATTCTGGACGAAGCTAAAAAAAGGTGATTACACCAGATGGGGCAATCAGCAAATTCTATTTTTTTGGTGCTTAAATGTGCTAAAACCTCCAATGTTTTTTTTTTTTGCATCGGATTAGAAGCAATAAAAATTCCCTATGATTAAACCGCATGTTTGAATGTGACACCCAATGATTATGCTTGAAACACAAAAATGATGAAACACACGTTTTTTGTTGATCAAACGGATTTTTACACCTTTCATTTCCGTTTGATATCAATTCAATTCTGGTTGGTGGTTTGGAAGATGTTTTATTTTTCCATATATTGGGAAGTTCATTTCATCTCAACTGTCATTTTTCAGAGGGGTAGGTTGAAACCACCAACCAGAACAGCTAATTAACCATCATTAACCATATAATAACCATGAATATTAACCATTATTAACAGTATATAAAACCAACCAATGGTACTGGTAGGTTGAAAATCGATCCCACTGAAAAATCCCAAAATCCCGAGTTTCTGGAGGCGATCGAGGCGGATATCAAGGCCACTTATGAGCGTCAGCCGCGGATGGCCATGGTGGATTCCCACAAGGCGCCAGCGGAGGGTTTTTTTGGGTGGAAAAAATGGGACAAATCTCTATGATATGGTTAAAACAATGGGAAAATGGTGGTTTAATGGTTAAAAAATCGGAAAAAGTTGAGAAGTTTGAAATGAAGTGGCGACTGAAGACTGAAGAGAATCTAAGATTGCTTCATTTTTTGAGTGCTTTCGAAATCTTTCGAATCTAAAAGTGTAAGAAAACAAAGTTGGCCTGCACTGCATATGAAGTGGTTACAGTAGTAAGATTGCGGGTTCGGTGTTCATCCCAGCAACACAGGTCAGGAAGAAGTGTCGCGTTTTAGCTCCGACAAAAAGAGGACATGCGGACATACTGTCACACTGGTGAAATATTGTCAGTATACGGAGGAACACAATTTATATCCAGCAATTGTCTATTAATCATAGAATATCTAACACTCTATATCATTCTATATCTAACAATCTATATACCTCTATTTACCATAGATCGTCATTAAGAAACACTTTTGATCTCTTCTGGCGAAAACTCGGCTGAATCAGGGCATCACCAACCTGCACGTGCCCAGCGATATCATCATCGACAACTCCATGCCCACCGCCATCCGTGCCGGTGGAAAGACACACGGCAGATGATGGATGAATTCTGAAGGTTTCCTACAGTAAGTCGTGTGGGGACCCCAAAATCATAAAATCAAGAAAATCACCCAAGTTGGTATCTTTCGGTATGATCGTTATTTCCGGGAAGCCATATTGGAATTTTGGGATACCACAATGTCCAGAAACATGCATATTACATAGTCCAAAATTGTGAATTTACTCCACTTCATGACTGTTTTCTAGGGAAAACACGGCCATTTAAGACTACGACAAGCCCATATTCGTCCCGGGTGGAACGATGAGACACTGAGTACAGTGTAGATTCTGATGTACTGATGATATCTTAAGACAATTGTTCTACTTGCTGGTAATTTAACATAGCTATGGAAAATAACAATTTTTAATGGGAAAATCCACTATTTCTATGGTCATTTTCAATAGCTATGTTAGTTTACCAGAGGGTACTTGCTGGAATACTGATTCAGGCACTCTTGAAGATGACCAATGTTCAAAGGCCATGCAACAGGAACCGATTGATTGCAGGTATACCATATATAAGGCCTATTTGAGGCCTATAAATTCCCATTGAAATGTTGCGATCTTATTTGCTGTGGTATTCGTTGACCCAAGCTGCAGTTTACTAAAGGCCTTTTAACAACGGTGTTGACTCCTAAAAGCTTGCTACTTCACCTTTGCAAATAAAAACCTATTTCCCTTAAGTTTCATCATTACAGGATGGGGCCCCCAAGATAGCTAAGTTGGTTTATAAACCCCATAACTATATATAGCTATTTGCGTACCATAAACCAAGTTATTGGAGTTATTTGCACCAACTGAGCTATCGAACGGGGGCCCCACATTGTAGATGATTTCCATCTATTTCCCATATGATCAACTATCATTAAGCCATCAACCCATTTCCCTTAAGTTTCATCAAGGGAACCTGTCCAGGGCTGCACCAGTCAGGCACCAGTCAGTGGTTCCGTTGCAAAAAATGCTGAGGATGTGGGATGCAGATGATACCGAGCAGGACTTCAAGGCGACCTGCAGAGTGTTGGATCCATATCCCATGACGGATCCATGTATGGTATATATCTGGGTAAATTATAACGACCTCACTGTGACCTCACTGGAAATCATGGTTAATAAGGGAAATCATCCCCAAATGGCCTTAATTCAGGGGAGGGTGTCTGGCCCAAGCTTTCACGCAGCACACCTGCGAAGCCTTGTAGGTCTGCTGATTGGGTCTCGCTACATTCGATTTGCCATGTCACGACCTCCTATGTGGCTTCGACCGCTGGAGGACATGGAAATGATGGGATCAACCAATCCTGTTCTGAATAGGCACTTTGGTGGTCGAACGAACTTTGAGGTGGGTGACTGTGCAGCCATCAGCAGCACCAATTTGTGGCCTGCTACCCGCTTTGGGCATACAGGAAACTCATGTGGATCCGCAATCAGTGACTTCTATTCCTGGGACGACATGAAGCCAATCGGGGCCATCACTTTGAAGTGGCGCCTCAATACGCCAAGACCAACACCACATGGCTTTCTCTGTTATTTTGATGCGGTCAATCCAGAAGATCCAGAAGTCACGGTGACCGAATGGGGCGACTTTTGTGACAGTGTTGATCTTCATGCGCTACCCGTGGCTGGAAGATGCTGGAAGGCACTCGGAAAGATCTTTTCCCTGGGAGTACTTGGGGACCATGGCTATGGAGAATCGTTGACAAAACGATTTGATTTCTGCCCACGGTGCTACTACCTGGCAAGGTGCTATGCTTACGTCTGGGTTCTTTGTTGCTGGGGACATTTGTCCAATGGGATTCGCATGCGGTTTTTTGTGGATACGGATGTTGGCGCTCACGTGCTCTTCTTTCGAAGTGAAATCGGGTGCGGCAATGCATTTGACTGTGATTCAGATCTCGGTCCTGGTGCTAACCTTTTTCGCATGGTGAGGCGCGCCCTTGGTGGAGTGCTATCCCCAGGTGGCTATGTGCAATTGTCTATGGGTGCTACGGTGATTGGTGCTAAGCGTCTGCCTGTGGCTTGTGCTAGGCATAGAGCGCCTTCATTGCTCTTCGTGCTGCAAATGATGCTTGTCTATGTATTTTGACGGTTTGAGCTGATTGGCAGCAACTTGGTGCAATTTCGCCTGGTACTCTCGCTTACCTTGGGTCAATGACTACGCAATTTTTGGGTGTGTCCCATCCCTGGATGTCTGAGTAGATGTCAATTTGTCCAGGTGTTTTTCTGGGAACATGTTATTTCCCTGTAAATCTGTGGTGGAAAACCCACTACTCTTATGTCAATATGGCATTGCAAGCCGTCCAGGTGGCATTTCTGATTATGTGGGGGTGCAAGTGATGGACTCAACATTTGCACTTTCCTTGGAGGACATGTTTCATTTAGACAAACGATCCCATGAACACCATGGTTGATCGTCAAGGACACGTTCGCGTGGACATCGTGTGCTGCCTTCGCCCTAGGGCCGGGGCAGTGCACTTCTTCTTCAAGGAAATAGGCCTTAATTCAGGTTGGTGAAACATTATAATTTACCCAGATATATGCTAGCATAAAGGGGGTATGGGGGGTATATTGATGGTAAATGTTACCATATATATTAACCTACCAACTAGCCTCTGGTTATGACTGTTACATAGCCATGGAATAGATGGCTGGCCCATAGAAATAGATGATTTTCCCAGCGAACGAAACCTCCATTTATGGTTGGGATTTTCCATGGCTATGTTAAATAACCAAATGGTATCATATATGTATATATATATATGCTAACATAAAGGGGGTATATTGATGGGATCCATGTTACCAATATAGCAGCACCATGGATCCTATGGGTATTAACCTACCAACTATTATTTGGGATGATCTTGGGGATCGTTTAAATTCTTGGGTTTGCCACACTGTTGACATTTTATACATGTGTCCCAAAACCATCCAAAATAAGGGAGCTCCCAACCCATTCAAAAAAAACATGCGGTTTGACCAAGATGTCAGTCGCATTTAAGCTGGTCAGCTGGTCAGCGAATCGGCAAGTGAAACCGTTGAGTTTGGGATATCCCTCATTCTGAAACAATTCATAAATAGGAATGGGTCAAAAATGGTCAAAATCTTGTACCCTGAAAATGGTATTCTGGTTGGTGGTTTGGAGCATTTTTTCCATATATTGGGAATAGTAATCCCAACTGACGAACTCATATTTTTCAGAGGGGTAGGTATACCACCAACCAGTATTTATAGGTATTAATCCATAGCCAAGGACTTGGACTGGTCAGACCCAGCAACTAAAATATAAACTCATCAGGTGGCGGACCCTTCACCACGAGTAGCGATCATATCCGATGTGCAAACAATCTTGTTTAGAGTCCAGGCTCCGGTTTGTTTTCAACCGGAAAGATGTGCCATTGGCAACCGCTAAATTACGAAACATCTCATTTTTCAATGGTGCGAAAGCTGCATTTCTATCTTTTTGTGGGTTACCATAATTCTATATTGCCCATGGTCTGTCTGAAGGTCTGTCTGAAGAAATCACCAAAATCTTGACTGCATCAGTCAGAGGGACCGACAGCGGGCTGTGACAGGCGACTATTCCAGATCGCTCCTATGCGGGTGTGTTCAGTGAAACTTGGCTTTGAGCATCTGGGGATTTGAGGGAAGGTGTGTCCCCGCAGACAGGAAGCAAGTGCACATATCAAATGCAATCAAAGACACAGTTATAGAATCTGCAAGTTATGTGACAGTGAATATCAACATCGACAAACATGTCTCAATGAGTCTCCTGTCGTATTTGTTTGGGCCACTGCCAAGAAAGAGTTTTTAGTGCCCCCTCCATACGGCGGTCGAAACATCTTGATCCCAGATTGTCCGAACTTCTAGCAACTGCATTTCAGAAATGGCACAATTGGGGGAGTGTTTGGTGAAATGCGCCATACTACGTCCTACTCTGGTGCTATAGATGCCATTGGTTGGTTGATTTTCATAGAGGGTTTGAAGAAACCCCTTTGACAACAGGTAAATTACTTTACCAAAAGGACATTATTGTCTGGTGCCCGTGGCCAGCAGTTCTGTAAGCAAGCAGAAGTCATCCTTACTGCAAGTTTCTTCGGCGGCACATGTCCCCTTGGATCCTCAGACAACACCTTTTCTTTTCGTTCAGGGATCCAAGGCGAATTTTTCTACGGAAAACATCAGAACACAAGGTTCAATCACAAGTGAAGTCATAGAAGTGTTGCTGGAGATGACTTTCAGCAATTCGAAACCACATGAAACCACTGAGAAACCACAGATTTCGAGCCCAGGAGTGCATCGAGTTTTGTAAGAAGAACGGTGCTTTCGACCCGAAGACCATGGGGGCTTGCCCAAATGTGGGACTCATGGCCCAGAAGGTGCAAGTGCTCCAACCTCCCGGGCTGTTGCGAGCAGCCCTGAACATATTTTTCAGTCACATCATTTGTATCCCCACTTGATGGTTAAATCAAGTTAGATCCCATAGAATATCTTCACTGGTTGGTGGTTTCAAACATGAATTTTATTTTCCATTTCATATATGGGATGTCATCCTTCCTGTTGGCTTTCATATTTTTCAAGATGGTTGTTGCACCACCAACCAGTTCATTGAATTCGGTAATAAAATGGTGATTATCCATAGTTATATCATTTAATAGGTGATATCAATAATACCCATAGGATCCATGTATGGTATATATGCTAACATTGGGGGTATATTGATGGTAAATGTTACCATATATAGCATACATGGATCCTATGGGATATAGTTCGATCCCATAGAATATCTTCATTGAATTCTCACTTTCAGTCCTCGACCATGGCCACGTCATGCCACGTCATGCCACGTTATCACAGGCGGAGGAGTACGGCTCTCATCCGACCACCTTTGAGATGAAGGTGGGGAAACTGTCGGTGAGCAGTGGCTGGGTTTTTTCGATTCGTTGGTGGTACAAAAATTGGGGGTTGAACAACCATCGAAAATCATCAAAAAATTGGGGGATATGTTTGTGGGTAATAACATATAATAACTGTAAATGATGGTTGGTTGATGACTAGTTCGGGGATTCTATCCAGATCTATCCAATATATTGCGGATTTTCACAATCCATGAATTGTGAAATCCAATTTACATCTATTAACCAGCCAGTCTTTTTAGGGACGACAATTCGGGTTCTTGAACTCTGCTCAAGTGACTGTTGTCTGAAGATGCTTGAAACATGGAACATCATGGAAGCCTGTTCTTATCCGGGTTAAGCCTGGATGAATAGTTTACCCTCTGGTAAACGTACAAAAAACTATGGAAATCACCATGCTATTAATGGGGAAAATCCACTATAAATTGCCATTTTCAATAGCTTTTTGTATGTTTACCAGGCCGGGTATATAATACTTTGTATGGGGGTTTCCTAAGTCATAGGGCTACCCCATAAATCATCCAAGTCATTAGATCATGACTTAGTATTGAAACCTATGGTGACTTGGGGTAAACCCCATGGCTTAGGAAACTCCCACATACTTTTGTCATCTTTTGTCTTTATACATAGCTAGGTCAATCTTACATGGATACAAACTAATCCTAACTGGTCTTTTGGTATCAATGGAAATATCTACTAACCAGCAGAAATATTATTTTTTTGCAGGCTATCTAAGATTGGCAATGATAGGAAATCTACGTTTTATTTTGTTGGCAGACGTTTTTAGACGCAGAAAATCCGCAAAGCGTCATCTCAGATGGTATCCTGAGGATTTCGGCATGTTTCATATGTAACCTTTAAGAAGATACCAACTATATATATATAATTATGTATATATACTCAATTGATACACATATAAATCAAATTTTATTTGATCTATATGATGATATCATATGGGAATGCATCAAAACCTATATATATATACACATAATATTCCTGTTATTTTTTGGCGGATGAACATCCATTTACCATGCATACTGCAGCAGCTGTGGCTCTTCGCACCAGGAAGACGGCACCATTCGCATCGTCGAGGAGGGCTCCGGTAAGGTACTGCTGGGGCACCGCGTGCAGAAGGGAGCTGCTCGGCGACGAGGTTTGGGGGAACCACGAGGGTCAAGGGGTCAAGGGACATGGGTACCCGGCCTGGTAAACATACAAAAAACGATGGAAAATCACCATTTTTCATGGGAAAAGTCACTATTTCTATGGCCATTTTCAATAGCGAACTGTTAAATTACCAGAGGGTATAGTCCGACTAATAAAGAGGAATCATCCAACCAAGACTCAATGGCCATTCCAGGATCCAACAGATGGAGGTACCTACCATATATAAGGCCTATTTTTTAGGGAATATCCCCAGAAAATATGGCCTTATATGATACAGTACCTCCATTTTAGGATCATGAAATTCCCATTGAAAGACTGGTTGGTGGTGACTGGACATGTGGATGAATTCTATGGTCTATGGTAGATAAAACGAACTACTGGTAGTTAATGGGTATGATTTCATGGTTTATAAACCAGCAAACACTGGTTGGTGGTGACTGGAACCATGGAATTTGATGATTTTTCCATATTTTCCCACATCTTGGGGAACATGTGAATTCCATAATTGACTTTCACTCCATCATTTTTCAGAGGGGTAGGTGGCTCAACCACCACCAAGGATATCATGTGATCCTCAGCCATAACTTGGGGATACAGCCGGGGGTATAACTTTCCCCGGCTGTGAACCCACAACGACTTGGAGGTTTCGACCCAGTCACAACTGGCTGTCATCATCCAGTTGTCATTCGACCATTTGGTTATCCTCTGGTTTCAACATACAAAAAGCGACATTTTTCAAATGGCCCAGTCGAAATAGTGGATTTTCCCATTAAAAAATAGTGATTTTCCCATCAGTTTTTTGGGACTCTTTGCCAGGCCGGGTAGTAAAACGAAAACCACCATGACCTGGGGATGGGTGCGTTTTTATAACTCCAAGAACTCACGAAGTGGGTACTATTGGTACGCTTAAATAACTAGGCTACTATAGTTACTATAACTATAGTTTTTGGCAATAGTTATGTTTTTTTTTTAACCAACTTACATTTCACTCGGCTATTGTACGCAAATAACTATATAGTTATGGGGGTTTATAAACCAACGTTCACATCACGTTTGGGGGCACCACATTGGAATTATTTTACTTGTACTATCCCAGCCGAAACTATGCAGCAAACAATTGAGACCCAGAAAACCGCGAACAAAAGTGGGGGATATTTTACGGAGAAACAACCCGTGATTTACTTAGACAAAGGTTTTGCCTATAATATTATTATTATCATCATTATTATTATGTTCATCAGTTTTATTATTCTCATTACTATATCATAATTATATATATATATATATGTATATATGTAGCAACAAAAAAGGGATTTGATTTGCCCCAAGAACGTGGGGAGAGATATTTGCTCATCTTCAGGTGAGCAAACTCGGACTGAAGATCGGTTGATGATCTTTCAGTGAGATTGTCACAAGAATGGACCACCGATTAGAAACGCAAGGACCCTGAAAAATGGGAAAGTGACCAAACAAAACAGAATCAGAATCAGGTTTTTTTCATGGGTGGAGGGTGCTACCAGAGGAGGCAACTAGCAATTCCTTTTTTCAAGAGTGAAAATGATCTACGAAGCTGCGACTTTTCATTGCTAGGTTGGAGTTGATTGATGTTGACTGTCTGATTGTATGAGATGTGTTTCAAGGGGTGTGACTTGGCCCAATAACATCTTATGGTGAATCTCTATTTGACCCTGCTGCCAAGGACATTTGGCGATCCTGCCAAACCAAGGTCGGTGTTTCAAGTTTCGTGAGGGAGACTTGTAGCCAGAGACCGCGATGATGGTTCATTTGTTTTAGAGTTTTGTCAGTAGAATGGACCTTTGCGACCCACAAAAAAAACAACGGCTGTTCTTCCTTTGGCACATTTACCCTGCCATCCGGAGCATTGCAGGATGCCCCCATCAAGGATTGGGTGAAGTTGGCAGTGCACAGGCAACAGTGGCTGGGTGGCGGGGCGGAAAAGAAACATGGCATGGACTAGGCCCCCGCTTGGTGGCTCACCTCCCCCGGCTGTAAGTGGACTAGCTCTACTTACCCATACTTACCCTACTTGTAACTGGGATGAGCCACCAAGCAGTTATAAGTTTATCATAGTTCAAACCCATTGACCGGTGTTGCGAAAATATCAATGGGAATTCCAGGATCCTAAATTGGAAGTATGTTAGTACCATATAAGGCCATATTTTCTGGGGATATTCCCTTACATAGGCCTCAAAAATAGGCCTTATATATATATGGTAGGTACCTCCATCTGTTGGATCCTGGAATGGCCATTGAAAATAGTATAAGTCCCATTGCTGACCGGCTAAAGAAACACCACCGGGCAGGTGCAGGGAGAACAACTTCCCCAACAACGACAAGCCTTGCGAGGGGCCCCAGTTGAGCTTCGCGTTTTTGGTGTTTTTGGACCTTGTGAAACCAAGGGGTGAGTCGAAATTTCAGACCAGATCTAAGGTCATCATTCGTTTGTTACGACCATGTTGATCGAGATTTCAAATGATCCTGGATTTCATATATGACTTATGCCACAGGGTCGAAAACTGCAGGTGTAGACGTTTTCCCATTTTCATATTTGGGGATCTTGCAACTCTTGTTCGACGAGGTTTTCTTGACTCATTGGCAATTCATTGGCAATTCATTAAAAAAATCATTGGCTTCAAACCGATTCAAACCCTGGTTTCTCTACGTTTCTCTCTGGTTTTTTTTAGTTGCTTGACCCGCCTTAGGGATCTTAGGGCCTTGGTTCCCGCCTTCCCCCACAGGCAAGGCGATCTTCTGGTTAGATCCTGCTCGTTCCCACGATTGCAACATCATTGCCAAGGTGGTTCCCCAAGAAAAACACGGGGTGCTGCTGATTTCAGTGGTCTTTTCAAGGAAAAGAAGACTCAATATGAGCTGAAAAAAGGGGGTTTCCCAAGTCATGGGGGTAGCCCTAAATTAATTCTCCAGCATTCGACTATTTTAGTATTGAAACCTATGGTGTTGGGGATCTCCCATTGACCCCATGTTATGGATCTATGCAGATAAGCCAAAGAACATGTACAATGCACATGATAAGACTAGACAAACCAAGCATGACTAAATTAACTGATTGGTGGTTTGGAACATTTTCTATTTTTCCATTACATATGGGATGTCATCCTTCCCATTGACGAACTCATATTTTTCAGAGGGGTAGGGCTCAACCACCAGCCAGAATAGCTAATTAACCATCATTCAACCATATAATAACCATTAATATTAACCATTATTAACAGTATATTCCCAACCAATGGTAGGTTGAAAACCCCATCAACTGCATAAACTCAAAACTGCAGCCAAGCCCCATCTCTTTTCGCGCAAAAAAAATCTCGTCCCATCCCTCTGATCTCAATTATCCGCATTGTATGCTCCCAGTCATATGTGGAAACAAAACCCCTACATCCACCATGGTTGATATTGGGGATGTTTTTTAGGACCGAACGGGACGGGATGATTTTGTACGATTGGACCCCCCCCATATCGGATGGGAAAAACTTTAAACCATGGTTTCCGAATGAGATTTTCCCAAAACAAAACAATCCATTGATCTATATAAATCCATTCATTCTGAAGCATTTTTGAGAAAAAATCCACCAATCCATTGATGCTTTTCAAAAAATCCATGGTAATATATATCTGCCTTAAATTTCTCCACCATCTTTTTCTTGATGCCTTAAATCTCCAGATCTGCAAGCTCACCAAGCTCACCAAGCTCGCGCCAATGGCGCCCTGCGGCAGGTTTTGAAGTACCTTCCGGACTACGACACTAAGGGTCTGGATATGGAGATTATGAGCCCGGCCGAGGTCGCTTCGACTGTCGAGTCGATTGTCGTTAGTCGGATTCAAGGGCACTCAAGGGCACTCAAGGGCACTCAAGGGCACTCAAGGGCACTCAAGGGCACTCAAGGGCAACCAAGCAAAAATTTCTCAAGGAATACAAGAACTGGTTGGTGGTTTCAAACATGACTTTTATTTTCCATTTCATATATGGGATAATCCTTCCCATTGACGAACTCATATTTTTCAAGATGGTTAAAGCCACCAACCAGATAAAATATGATTTATATAATGGCTACTTCATAGGATATAGAAGCAATATGATTGCTGATTGGTGGTTTGGAACATTTTTCATTTTCCCATATATTGGGAATAATAATCCCAACTGACGAACTCATATTTTTCAGAGGGGTTGACACCACCAACTAGAATATCATTGTATTCCTCTAATACATGATTGTATCAATTATATCCCATGATATTAATTTATCCCATTATATGGGTATTTCTTTATGGGATATAGAAGCAATATGAACAACATACTAGTATGAACAATGTATGAACGATATGGGTTTGCCTGAACATATGGGTTTGTCTGAACCAAAGTTTTAATATCCCATAGTATAGTTGGGAAAGTATCTATGATTGATCGATATCAGAAGTATGTTGCCATTACTAATGGGATTAGATATCCAACATACTATAACATACTGGTATATCAATATATCTCTATAATCCCATTGAATATCCCATAGTATAATCCCAGTAAAGATCCATGTTTTAGCCATTATATAACGTATAGATATGCATAATGCATGGGGGGTTCCCTTAAAAAAAAGGGGTTACCCGCAGTCATCATCCAAGTCGTCAAAGCATTTTTTCTTTGTATTGAAAGTATTTAAGAAACAACCCTGGTGACGACTGGGGATCCCCCAGGACTTAAGAAACACCCAGGCATGCCCTCTGGTAAACTAACATAGCTATGGAAAATGGGTGATTTGTAGTTGATAGACCTATTCAAAATGATTATTTTCCAGTTCGCTATGTAACAGTCATTACCAGGCCGGGTATATGCAACGAACTGGTTAACCGGTTAAGCAGTCGGTGGTTGTATTCCAAGATTTGCCCTTGTCCACCATGGTTCCATGGGAAATGGGATGATCCATGACCCACCAGAAAGTGCCATCCCCATATTCAACATCCCCATTGTGTCATTGTATGGTCCCAACAGATGTCTCAATTCGCTATAGTAAACCATCGGTTATTATGATGTTTCTGGGGGTTGTTTCATATTAGGAGGATGGGTTGGTAGTAGTCTAGGTGTACACCGTGATATGCTTGCTGCTGAAAACCAGCTGGTGAACTGGTGGCTGCAGCCTAGGTGACTAGGTGCTTCGTCCTGGCTGATTTCTCTCCATGTATGCCTGGTAGATTTATCTGTCGTCCATGCCTAGAGGAGTCATCTTACTATGATATTTAAAAAATATCTACTGAGATCATGTAATATATACATATATATATATATACATATGCATATCCAATATCATCCTACCATTTATTTGATGTCCCGCTCGGAGATATTTTTTGAATATCCCTGCTATATATACGTATATATATATACAATGTATTATTGGATATATATATATATATACTATATATATATATTTATGTACAGGATATATTAACATATACAGTAAATGCATTTTTCTTGATTTCCCTTTTCTTTTTTGGGGGACGTAGCAGTTCCATTCCACAGCTCTGTGATGTTCCAACGGCCAGGCCATGCGAGTGACCTGTGAACGAGCCAAGCAGGGGCTCAACACCATCACGGTGACGGGCAGCTTGGATTGCTTGGATTCTGGCCCCTGCCGACCCTGGAAAAGAGTACCCTCTGGTGAACTAACAGTTTGCGATGGAAAATAGTTGATTTGTAGTTGATATACCTATTCAAAATGATGATAAACTAACATAACTATGGAAAATCACCATTTTCAATGTGTAAATCCACTATTTCTATGGCCATTTTCAATAGCAAACTGTAACAGTCATTACCAGAGGGTACCAGGACACATCATGGTTTAATGTTCTTTGAATGGGATTAAACCAACAATGGGGATTTATAGGGATATCATGGGGGATATAATAGGACATACCCTCTGGTAAACTATGGTAAACTAACGTTTTGCCATGGACTTTTCACCATCTTTGATAGGTAAATCAACTATTTCTATGGGCCATGTTCGATAGCTATGTCACAGTCATTACCAGAGGGTATACCATTATATATCCTAATAAATCCCATAAATCCCATTGAATCCCATTAAATCCCATTGAATCACCATTAAAATCCCATTTTCAATAGCGATTTTGTCATTACCAGAGGGTAACCAGGACCTGGAAATGCCTTGCTGATCTTGTGCCGTGATGGGCCGAGGAGTGCCACAAAGCTTTGCTGGATTGTGTCATGAATGTGTAAGCCGTAATGAACAATCGTTCCCACAGGATCCATGTATGGTATATATGCTAACGTTTGGGGTATATTGATGGTAAATGTTACCATATATGGCATACATGGATCCTATGGGATTTGTGATGATACATGATGATTATGTTGTTTTTTAATGATACTTATATATATATGTATATATATATACTGTCAATGAAAGCAGATGTGGTCCTATGCCAAGGCAACGTTTTGCGTGACTACCTCACTGACCTCTTTCCCATTTTGGAGCTGGGGACCAGCGCAAAGATGCGACTCGCATGGTGCAGGGCTTCGGCTGTTGGTATCTGTTGGTATCAGTTGATCGCGGAGCGAATGTTTTCATTAGGCCACCGAAGATAAGCAGCTGACTTACAACTTCGTTACCCTCTGGTAATTTGTTACACAGCTATAGAACATCACCATTTTTAATAGGTAAAGCATCTATTTCTATGGGCCATTAGCTATGTTAGTTTACCAGAGGGTAACCAGGGAACTATTGTTGATGGGTCAACATAAATCATCAAACAGAACTGGGGGGGCCCTCACCCTATAGAGACCTCTGATCACACAATAGTCTACATTCAGAGAGTTGCACACAAGTAGCTCGAGCCGGACAATACCTGGTTGGTGGTTTCAAACATTTTTTCCATAATTTTTTTTGCACAGCTCTTTGGGACTGATGTTGCTGCTGGCTCGGAACAAATTCTGCCAAAACGGTTCGGACGTCAGCCGCCGTAGTCTGGCCCAATTTCGGTGCCAAAAACACGACAGATCATCGTGCAGCACCTCTGGAAAAAGTCAGGGTCCATACCAGCGTCTGTGCGTGCTGGATGATCACGGAACCACTGACAAAAAGAAACGGCGAGAGCGCGATTCATCGCCGGTGGGTACTCCTTCAATGGAGACGTCTTCCATGTGCCATTCTCGGCTTTGCCAATCGCGCTGCGCTTTGGCAGCTCAGAAGCGATCTGATGAGCTCGAAGTTCACGTCGAAGCCCAGGCAGGTTCAGCGCGAGAAGGCGCGTAGGTTTCGGGGAGAAGGCTCCCAGCAAGCCCTGAGCAAGGTCGATGAACTCAACCCCATTCAATCTCGCCAGCATCTGCATGAGTGCCAATCTCCAAATGGACGGACGTGATGGTTCTTCCGGTTCCTGTGGGTGCTCTAAAACGCCAAAACCACCAACACATGCAAGCGTGATGAGGAGGAAGACCGAAAAGAGCAACAATTCATTCCCTGTTGCCACCTGTTGTGCTTCACGCAGGCTGAGCGAAGAGAATCCCCAGAGTTCTTCGCGATCTCGAAGGGGACGAGGACCTCGTTCAGAGCCTGCCTGATTGGTCACGAACCTGGCCTGTGACCAGGTCTCGCATGGAGGCCCACATAGAGCTCCGCAAACCCATCCTGCTCGTGCTCCTTGAAGCCAAAAGTTTTGCGTGTCAGTCCGTCTGACATCGCCCCAGTGTTGGTCGATGACCAAATCCAGCGATACAACGCAAAGCACCGAACCGTCAGGACATAGTTGATCAAATAGCTGCTCCAGAAAGAATTGAAGGTCCCCTTCACGCCTTCTGCCGGAGAAAACGTCTAGGAATACTCTCTCTCTACTGCAGGGCCGCGGAATGGAATGTGCTTCATTGAGCGGCCGCATTTGTCTGAACTCGTCCTCTAACTGCTCCAGTGTCTCTTGTGAACCCATTCCTTGCTCTCTACAGGGGAAAAAAGGCCACGTCGAGGGATCCATCAACCGCACAATTCTATGCTCAATCAGCTCAATGAAATGCGAGCTGTGCTCCAGCTCTGCATGATGAAGAGCTTCAAGAAGACTTCGCAGAGTCCGCACACATGATGTCCAGGAGATAGGAAGGGCCTGGATCAGCTGTCTCAAATCATCCTCAAAATCAGGCAAAGCGTCTTCCGTCAATTCAACAATCTTCAAAGAAGCCGTCTCAAATAACTCCAGGTGGTCAATCTCAAAGTCTTTGGGCGGCACAAGGGCCTGTCGGGGTCCCGCCGCCTGTGTTGGTGGGAGACGTCCATCCCATGAAGCGAGCTGAGCCACATCTTGTGCCGAGCCATGTCCCGGCGCAGGGGGAAGACAAAGCTTGCGTCCGAGAAGTTGTTGGCGGCAAGCATCTGCACGAATCAAGTGAGCTTTGAGTTTCCCATGCGAAAAATATTCTTTCAGACATGCTCCACATTGTGACCCTTGAAACAGTGACCGAACCGGATGAAAAAGGCCGTGCTTCCGATTCATATGGGCCCCTTCTCCGGCAAAGCTCCGACAACTCACCCCACATTGCATGCAGCCAAAAAATGTGTCTGCAGTGGAGGGCAAGAAGGCGGTGGACTTCTGCTTCTTCCATAAACCAAAGTCCTGCAGCAAAGAGCGAATCTGCAGATGTGCTTGGGTACAAAGGAAGCGTCGAGAAGCTACCAGGATGGAATGTTCGCGTGCTCTCCGCAGAAGCCTTCTCCAATATCCTCGATGATGTTGAATCACTTCTATCCAGCGCGCGGTGTGATCGAAGGGATTGCCAAGCTTGCAGGTGTTGGAAAGTTGATCCCAGAGCCATTGAAGATCATCTCTCACAAGGTCCAGCCACGCTTGGTCTCGATTCAAAAGTCCCCAGTGAGCTGAGGGCCCAATCGTGAGCAGAGAGCCCAGGTAGCTCAAACGCTTCATTCTCAACAAAGTGGTCGGCGCTGGCATCCCTGTGCGATGTAGAACTTCATCGTCAGAGACATGCATGTCAGAGGGACATCGAAGAAGTCTCTTGTAGAGTCGAATGACCGCACAATGAAGGTACTCCTTCGTTTTTTGGTCTTTGATACACCAGGTCTCAGAACCAAATAGCAAACGGCTGAGGATCAAGCTGTTGAAGATCTCAGAGCGCTTGTCATGGCTGATGCCCTCATTTTGATAAATGAGTTTCCTGTGTTTGTTGAAGCTCTGGTTGGCAATGGCGATGCGTCTCCTGATCTCAGATCTGAGATCACCTGAGTAGTGTGTCAATCCTCCCAGGTGCAAATAGGAGGTGACTACGTTGATCTTATAGACCTCGTATTCCCCGACGGCTTCCAGTGCCCCAGAAGCTTGAGGCCCAAACAACTGCTGGCGACACTGCTGAGTGCCCGGTCCTCGTGGTTTGAAGAGGATCTCAGTCTTACCAGAGTTCAGATTGGGTGTCATAGCATGGGCCCGAAAAAGGTCAAGGATCGTGCTGGTCGCGATGGCGAGGTTGGATAAAAGCTTATCATTGTTGGATGCTGTGAGCGGGATGGCCAGGTCATCCATCCAGCATGGTCCAATCATCACTTGTCCTTGAAGATCAGCATTTGGAAAGCCTTTGGCATGAAGATCAATTGCCGGCTCCTGTGGGAACTTCGCCAAAATGTCCAGGGGCTCAATCACTGCTTCGAAATTGCGCAGGACTCGGGACATTAAGTACCCGAAAACCACATCAGCGTATGAATCACCCGGCCGAGAGCCATGGATCGTGCGCACTCGGTCAGCCTGACCAGGCAACGCAAAGAACGTATCTGTATGCAAGGCTTGAATGGCTCGTTTGGCGGTGCAACTGAGCTTCGCATCATCAACAGCGCTGGGCGCTTGTAGATGGGCATGAAGGTCTTGCAAGATCTGATGATCAAGGCGAAGGCGTGCCGCCATAGTGGCAATGTGCTCATCGCTCCACGAGCCAGCGATCGCAAGTGGGCGAACAACTCTATAAAAAGCCTCCTGCAAGTCAATGAACAAGACCGCCGTTGGTTGCCCCCTAGATGCAAAAAGACGCAAAAAGGCTCTGACCAGATGCCCTCCAACAACCACAGAGATGCCTTTGCGCCCACCAAGCTGTTGCGCATGAAGGTAGGTCTGGTAGAGGTCCGTCTGTTTGCTGCGCAAAGCTTTGTGCAGTGTCTTGCCAACCATCGAGGAAATAAGTATGGAGCGAAACGCTTGACAACAATCCTTACTCATCTTTCCTTTCCAGATGGGGATCAGGAAGCCCCCCTTGTGGTCCAAGGGCTCTTGTCCTTGAATGGAAACTTTCAAAAGCAGTGCGTAGAGCTGTTTAGCCATGGCTGCAGGGCAAAAACGCAAGAGCTCCGATGGAATACCATCCATCTCTGATGCCTTGCCAGCGGCCACATGTCGGCATGCATGCTCAAGCTCGGTCAAAGAAGGCATCTCCGTGATGTCCAAGTCCACAACAAAGCTCCGAAGTGTCTCCAAATTGGAGCGCCAGATTCTTCGCTGTTCAGAGATCTCCATTCTTTGGCCTCCTTCCATTTCGCTGAAAAAATTGATCCAACGAGTCAGGGCCGCCTCTTGTGACTGACATGGGACGCCATTGTCGTCCTTGATCAGAGGCAAAGGTGCAAGTCCCTGTCGAAGCTTGTTCGCAGGTCCCATAAATGGACGCAGTTGGCGCTGAATATCCGCAGCTGTGGTAGAAGAGCCAAAGTCATCCACAGTTTGCCGCAGAACCTTCGCTTTGCTGGAGGCAATTTGGGCTCGGAGTTCAGAGGCTTTGCGTCGAAATCCAAGGCCATGTTTCAAGATGCCCACACGCAATGAAGAACCAAAGGTGAAGGAGGGCGAGGTATCCCAGGTCGTCTTGTGTCTCCATGCCCAAAAGATGCGTGCCAACGTCTCCCTCCGCATCAATTGCCGCAAATATTTGAGCTCCTCCCTATGGCGCAGCTTGACCTTTCTCAACTGCCAGATGGTGTCATCAATGTAGGGGCGAGCAGGACCACGCCTTGGTTTGGGGCACAGATGGCGAAGTTGACTGTGGAACTGGTCGTTGAGCTCCTGAAGGTGGGTCTCAACATTGGTGTGCCAAGGGCTGACCGCAAAGGAGCGAAAGCCTCGTGGCAATGTTGATTTGATTTTCGTTCTGTCAAATCTCCCAGAAAAGCTGTCAGGCTGAGCAACCCATTGTGAAGTCACCTTCCATTGAAGCTCTACTGCATAGACAGAGTGGTCAACAACCTGGTTCCCAAGGTCAAACTCTTCCAGCACTTTGGAACGTTGGCATCTGTCTTGCCAACAGGAAGGAATAAGCACGTAGTCAATGGTGAATTCCTCCTGCGAAGGTGAAGTCCACGTGCAGACTGTACCTTCATGTACTGGACTTGCAATGGGCGCACAAAGCTGGAAGTTCTTCATGAAATCACAAAGCAACGACGTGCTGGACGAAGTCCGGAAGGTGGTGGCAAAGAAGTTCTCCTCCTTGGGCCCTCCAAGACCAGCGTTGGCGTCAGTGCAGACAAAGAGTGGTGTGTGATCCTCTTTGACAGCGGCCAAAATGTCCTGGGTACCCTGCCACCAAAGTGTTCTTTCCGAAAGGCTGTAGCCACTATGCGGAGCATAAGCCACGAGGATCCAGACATCGAAGAGGTCATGTTGGACCCGAACCAGCAATCTCCGATGATCACGATGGGCTACGGTGAAGTGCTGTCGGGCCAAACAAATATTCTTACCACCAGACAAGGCAATAGGTTGCCTGAGGTTGCACCAGAGTTCAACTCCTCCTTGATTGTTTTCACTGCCAGAGGCCAAACGCAAAACTCCATGTTGAAAGGATGAACCTTCCTCTGAGCGTGTTTCTTGCAAGCCCAAGAAGTTGAGGTGGAAATCGCAAAATTGAGTACGGAGATACTGCAACTTCCCTGAGAAGCCCTGTGCTCCGCGTCCCAGAGTCAAAACATTCCCAGTCGCAATGCTGATGGTGAAGTTAAACAGTTTGCTCCGTAAGGGTCGTTGTGTTGGCTCTGCAGGAGGTGTTTCAGGCGGCAGATCAGGTGGAGGCACATTGAAGCTTGTGCCCTGAAAGCAGGGTGTCCCAGCTGAGGCGCCATGTAACATCCAAAGGTAAGGCAGCAGGGGGCGCCAAACCGAAAGCTGGAGCGCAGGTCTGCGGAGAAAGAACCCCCTTCGGCCCTCTTGTTTTGCACCCCAATCGCAGAACTCATTGAAAGGATCGCCAGCGTGACCAGGCACATGCTCCAGCCCAAAGGCCTCTTTGCCAAGGGCAGTCTCGAGCAGTTGAGCGCTTCCTCGAAGAACCTGAAAGGAGGTGTCGCATTGAAGTGAGCCGATTTCTCCTTGAGCTTGTTGAAGTGCAAGCATCGAATCGCTGCGAAAGAGCGTAGGGATGTTGGAATTCTGTCCAATCCTCCATAACATCGCCCAGGAAAGGGCTTCCCTTTCGGCGATGGCCGATCCAATTCTATCTGCCCCCAATGACCATTCATGGTCCAACCCATAGCGTACTTGATGAGCAGACCAACCAATGAACGTCAGGTCCGATGTGGAGGAAGAAGTGTAGGTCTCGCCCAGGACGAGAAAACACCATGCATCAGGTATACCAATCTCTTCGTTCAACTGCGGGGCAATGTGTCTGTTGCGGGCCTGTGAGGAACCATCCACATAGATCACCAACCGGTCGAAGTGATTGTGGGAGGCCAAAGAGGCAAAACGCTGTAGACACACTTCTGGTAGATCAAGTCCATCGAGGGTCTTGCACAAGGTCCCTCTGGATGAAGTGTAGAACGCAAGCAAGTCATCACAGGAGATGTTGCAGTTCAAAACGCATGTCTCATTATCAGCACGATGATCCTCTGGATTGAACATCTTGTCGGGCAGTCGACGAGGTTGCTGTGGTGGCCAAGGTGGAAGGATTTTGGCTGGCTGTTCATGAGTCTGCATCTCACCATTGGCTACCGTGAATTGCACTTCAATGAAGCCTGAGGACAACGGCTGACACTCCAGGATAACTGCCTTCTCAAATCCAAGCTTGTAGAGATGTTTCATGTGGTCCAGATCAGAGCAGCACATGCCCGGCTGTGAGTGCAGATGAACCTTCCAAGGGTCCTCCTTGCTGTTGTATACAAAGTGGGCCAAGTCCTGAGATGGCGTGTCAACAGGATGCCCGCACAGCGCGACCAAGCCATTGGAGAGGAGTGAAATATTGGTAATGATGCCAAAAGACAGAAGTTCCTGGGTCACCGCAGTTGCAGTAACTGGCGTTGGGATCTCCACAAAAGAGGGAAGTGGCGGCAGCTCCGCAGTGACCGGCACGAGGTGGACCGCCTGCGTCGCAGGAGGAGGCCCATGGGTGTGAGCCACCAGCCCATGTGTTAGGCGCCTCTCTCTGCGGGTAAGAAGACGAGTACCAATTTGGAGAAGATGAGTCGAGCTCGAGCTCGATACTGCAACAGTCTCCCCAGGGAATGGTGCTTCTCGTCGATTGAGCTGCAAAATAATGCCAGCCCCGTCTCTGATGAGTTCAGGATGCCCAAGCTGAAGAGGTCGATGACGAAGCCATGCGCTGCATGTCATGGAGGCTCCAGGAAGAAGGCATCGAGCTTCAAGGCCGAGGCCGTAGATCAGACGTTCCAAAAGAGCTTGGTCTTGAGTGGTGATCGCAATTTGCTGAATGATGTCGGTTCTAATGCCGTTGGATTCAAAGACCGAGACCAAGCAGGATGAAAGAGAATCTTGGGGATTTTGAACCAAGAGAAGGTGCGCCGCAATCTCAAGGTCTGCATTGGGAGGTGCTGGTGCCACAAGATGAATCAAAATTGGTGCTCCCGGAAGCTGTAAATCGGACCATGCCTCTCGCAAGGCGCGCTCCCAAGTGTCAAAGTCTTGGAAAAGACGTACCACTCGTGGCTGTCTGCAGGTATGTAATTCCTGATTGTGCTGATCTACAAACCACGTGACCACAGAAGTGGAAGCAACTTCGTCCTCCCAACTAAATGCGGTTCTCAACCAGTGCTCATGGAGGGCTTGTAGATTCTCAGGCCTTACGTCTACAGGTTGTTGGTCCGGACAAAACGGAGGTGCATCAGGATTGAAGGTGAATGCCGCAGGTAAAGGACTCCATTCAGGCTCCCAATGAGATGGTGAATGATCGCCTGCTGGTTGTTGCATGAGGTCACTGATGTCACTGTCTCCTTCCGGTGCCGCAAATTGAAGGGCATGTTCACGAATCTGTATAACAATGCTGCAGCCTGAGTCCACATAGTCGAAGTCCACCATGCTGAAAGGAATGCCCCCACGTTGCACCGAACAAAACTTGAAACGGCACTCCACATGAAGTTCAGTAATCCGCAGAATCATCTGCGCTGACACCATGGCTGAAAGTGAAAAGGCCGCATGCTCAATGCTGGCCCCTCTGAAATCCGCAATGTGGCTGGAAATGAGGGCTGCCACAGTGTCAGGTCGAGGTGCCTGCTCAATGATGAAATGTGCCAGAACGCATTCCATTGGTGTACAAGGTGGTGATGGCCGCACCAGGAAGACCGTGATGTCAGCCGTGGGATCCACAATGTCTCTCCAAGGTTCAATGATGTCTTCCAACCACGTAGCAGGATCTTGGAAGAGCTTCACTGATCTGGGTTCGCGGCATCTCAGATGTTGTTCATGATGAATGTACCACGTGTCAATATAGGCGATAGGGCCTTCTTCTTCGCACTCAATCATGGAACCAGAGTCAAAAAGCCGGCTAAAAGAAAAGAAATCTCTGTCGTTGAAGCGACTGAGTGGTCTCTGTGCCGGTGGAGGCTGCTGTTGTGCATGGTTGGAAGCAAAGCCAGTGGAATGCACCACATGCTCAGGAGCAACTCTCCAAGTCTGTTGATCAATGGTTTTCTGTAAAGTTTGCTCAACCTCCCTCGATTGCCGGGGTGGAAGTTGAAAGAGTGCACTGCTATCTCCTTCATGAGGTGTTGGATGTAGAGAAGGTCGCTGTACTCCGTGGCAGTGGACTGCTTGATGGCCTCGTTCAGACTCAAGCGCAAATTCACGCGAAATGGCAATTGCATCCTCAGTATTCAGAAGAGGATCTTCTGGAGGAGGGATCTGGATACGAATGTAGGTACCGTGTGGAAGATCATGAACAGTACGATCATGCGCAGGCCAGATCACATTGTTCTCGAAGATGATGCATTTGTCGCCATGAAGTTCACAGTAGTCATTCAAGCCGTTCAGCATGAGGATTTGGGAGCGATGCAGCGGCGAGAGGACCTTGAGAACTCTTCTGGTAGAAGATGGGGCAGCCAAAAGACCATCAGGAAGAGCATGAAAATGAATCTCAATGTCGAGCAGGATCAATTGTTCTCTCGATGCTGCTGGCATATCTCGAATGGATTGAACGATGACAGCACGTTCATGATCAGGGTGTAGACCCATTGGTGATGCTCGTACAAAATGAAGCGCCACCACATCATTCCTTCTAAGCATCAAACAACGTGTGATGTCATAGAGGATGCGTCGATAAGGTCCCCACTCAAGGTAGCAGTGTGCATCAGGTTGATCAAGGCGATAGATATGCACTCCAAATTCATCTTCTGGCCTCAAGGAGCTCGAAGATCCTGAGTTCGATCGTCGTGGTGAAGGTGCCTCTTCAAATTGCATGTCATGATCCTCATAGTCAAGGTCAAGATGAGCTCCTGCTGCACGATGAGCTCGATGTTGATCCTCCCTGGATGGTTCATGATCTCCTGTAGCTTGTTGAGGGCTCGTGATGATGATGGAGAAGGAGTGGCCATTGTTCATTTGATGCACCGGGTTATGGTCAAATGGAATGTGCTGCCATCCATGGGAAATGCTGCATCTGTGTCCAGCACTGGAGCACCAATGACTGGCATCAGATGCTTCAACAAGTCGCCTTCCACTGACGATAATCTCAAGAGAGCTTGCAGCCGCATAGGTGTGGGGATCAGCCTGATTGCCTTGGTAGTGGACAGTCAGGAGACCAGCTCTGCGAGGAAGATCATTGCCCTGAGTGATAATAATGTCTCCATGAACTTCTTGTCGCATGTAGCCTCTGTAAGGGTCAGGAGCGACAAGATGGAAGAAAATGCTTGCTCCAGGTTGAAGATGTGTGCGCCATGAACCAATGATGTCATCAGACCATCTCCGCCAATCCTCATCAAGCTCTACGATCCTGGAGTGGAAATTCGTCACAAAATGTTCGTGATGAAGATACCACGTGCGGAGGCGTAGGATGCCATCCCCATCAGGATTTGTGAAGGCAGTGTTTCTTTCTGCCATGGCTTGCAAATCTTGTGCAAATGGCGGAGCATGCTCGATATCTGGGATCACGTCCGGATCTGGTTCTTCAGGTTCTTGCTGTTGTCTCCTGGCTGGATTGTCATAGTGGTTGTCTGTGATTTTGCATTGGACGATGTTGCCAGCAGTGGATGCAATTCCTGTGTCTCTACAGCACTGCGGAACCTTACAACTTCGTGCAAGGCCTCCATCATGCCAAGGACGAACATGAAAGCGGCTGGACTTCAGTTCCGCAATCTTTGGGCATCCACTCCATGTGGTCATCTCCGCATTGAAATAAAAGGATGGCAGACAAAAGTCATGTGTGGTCTGGTCGTCTCCAAAGCAAAGACGTAGTTCAGTATGTTCTGCAAAACCCACATGCAGACGCTGACGTGAACAAGTCCTCGCAGGAGAAGAGGAACTGCGACTCCAGACTGCCTCATGACGTCCATCAAGTGCCATTTCCAAAGAAAGCTTTTGCGCAGCCTCTCTTGCTGCAAATTCACCAAGGAAGTCCTCCTCACCCATGATAGAGTGACTCCATTTCATCGCAATGAGGTCCATGAAAGATTCAGGCTTCCGACTGGTATACCATAAGGTCATAGACAGCCAGCCTAACTGAAATGCTCCTTTGGAACTTCTTCTCCTGGAATTTCTTCGATTCTTGGCCTCTTGGCCGATGGACCTTCCACTTGAATTGCCTCTGCCTCTTTGGAGAGTTGCTGGAGTGAATTGGACAATGTCCGCATACTCTCGGTGATCTGCATGGCTGATGTCGATGCCTCCGACAATGCAGGCAGCTCCTCGTCGTCGCTGATCTCGGTGACAACATTGCCAGCTGAAGTCTTCGATGTCTCCAGAACTTCCTTGGCCTCTTGAAATTGATCGCGGGCAGAGGAGATTCTGGCTTGAAGAGCTTGTTCGTGCTGTTCGAACTGCTTCGCATATTCCGTCCAGTTTTTCACTGCTTCGGCCAGGAAAGACTTCCATGTGCTGATGTGCTGCGTACGGGCCACGATGGCTTCCTCGTACTGCGTCCTTGCATCCCCTAAGGACTTGGCAGCAGCTTGTAGATCTTTGATGGCCCTTTTGCCCAGCTTTCTGGATTCGGATTGTATGCGTTGCTGCACATCCGGCGGCAAATCCACCGATCTTTTCTGCAGATAGTTGAGCAGCTCCGATTGTGGTGTCTCCTGTGCGTTCTGAGACAACGTAGGAGCAGGCATCGCTAACGGCACAAAGGTCGGAGCCGGATGACAGGCGGTCTGTTGAGGTGCATTCTGCATGGGCATCATATTCATGACAGGCATCTGAACAGCATTGCATGGGGTTGCAGCCTGAAGCCAAGGAGGCGGTGGACCAGCTGGTGGGGGCAAAGGCGGTCCCTGCGGAAATCCATGGGGCTGAAATGGCAAAGTCGGGAACTGAGGGAGGTTCCCAAAACCTCCATGATCTTTGCCTTTGCCTCCACGAGGAGATTTCTTTCTGGGACTTTGGCTTCGTCGAGGTGACTTCTGTCCACCCTGATGATAGCGCCCATCTTGATAGCCCCACTGCTGGGCATACACTTGATGCTGGAAATTCTGTCCATCTCCATGCTGCTTCACTCCATGTACATAAGACCTGTCGATTGCCGACTGCCAGGGAAGCTGACAGGTAGAGCAAAAAGAGGCATGATGTTTTCTGAGCTGTTTGCAATAGATGCATCTCCATGGGGCTGTCGATTGCGAGGCCATTGCAAGCGAGATTCGACGCAAAAAAATTTGGTCTCTCGAATGATGTCTCTGCAAAACTTGTTTGATGTGCTGGAGTCGCTGCTTCGAAAGGTGAAGGTAGCCTCTGGAAAAAAGGAACCAATCCAGTCGGGCCTTTGCACGTGCCCTTCGATGAGCCCTGCGCACAGTGTCGCTTGCCGTGGTCAAAGTCCGACAGGCCTGTGAAGCCCTCTTCAACAATCTGCACGGAATCCCCCACAAAGGCGCAAAAACAAGTGACAATCCCAAGGAACAAAATCGATGCCAGGAAGGTGAAGCTGATCAATGCCCTGCACATACACGACAAAGACCAAGATGAGGTCGAGATTAGGCCTGCACAGTGCCAAGCAAAGCCAGGGCGCACCAGTTGAGCTTGCCGGCAGCAGCGCGAAGAAGGCCCGCGGGTAGTGACCAATTGCCCGCTGAGGCGGTGGAACCAACGGGCGAGGGGCCCTTGTGATCCAGTATGCCTTTTTTCCATAATATATATATATATATAATATGGGATAATCATCCCAACTGACTTTCACTCAGATTTTTCAGAGGGGTAGGCGATTTTTCCACCAACGAGATACGGATATGGATCAGCTATGATCAACTTTTAGGGACACCATCCAGCCCGAATTTTGGTCCGTCCAAACTCTCGCAGTGGATAAAATTTTGATCGCCTTGGCGGTTTTTGAACGGTTTTGGAAAGCGTCAATTGACTCATTGAGAGTTGATTGACGTGCAACAATCGCCCTTTTGCTTGTAGAATTTGAATGAATTTGACTCTTTCAGCTTTGCTACCGACACACTAGATGGTTTGATACTCGTACTGTACTTATTGAATACATGATCACCATTTTAATGGCCATTTCAGGTACCTAAACTATCCTAAACTGGAGGTGATACCATATATAAAGCACTATAAAGCCATGTTTTGGGGGCATATCCTCTTACATCCTCTTACATAACCCTTACACAGGGCACTCGGCATGAGGTTGTCTATAGTGCCCATGCTTGCTGGCGGCGGCATGTATGAGACCGGTGCAGGTTGGTGTGGCATGCATACGGGTCATTTGATTGATGGGTGGCTCAAGGACTTTGACCCGTCGAAAAATGACGAAAACGGGATTTTGTTTGGGAATCAACCATCAGCTGGTTGGTGGTTTGGAACCCATATATTGGGAACATGTTTATCCCATTTGAATCATTTGACTCATATTTTTCAGAGGGGTAGGTATACCACCAACCAGATCAGGCATAGGGAGATCAACCAACAAACAAAACCTACAATGTGAGGCCCCCAAGATAGCTAAGTTGGTGCAAATAACTCCAATTTCACTATGGTTTATGGTACGCAAATAACTATAGTTATGGGGGTTTATACACCAACTAACATGACTGGGGGGCCCCACATTGTACTTGTTGGTCAGCCTTTTGTTTCGGAATCACCGAGTGATGAGGTCTCTGACGTTGACCATCCTAGCTTTGGGTGCTCGATGACTTGAGCCGCAACATTGTCACGATACAATGGATATGACTCTGACCATGGGAAAATGGGGATAGAATCAAACAAGGGACAGAACTCATCAAACACATTTTAGGTGGGCATTTTCATCAAGCATTTACAGCTCGTATTCATCCATTGTTGTAAAATATTTGGCGGGAAACTCCATGTTCGGCGTCAATTGGTCCTGTGCCAGACCTGCCTTCATGCAAATCCGAACGGTGGCTGGAATACAGCACGTTGTGAGCGACACTGCAGTTGGTTCTTTACTCAGGAAGTCCATTGTGAATCCACACATGTTGCACGCAATTCTCATCAATTCTCAAAATTCATGCCCATAGATAAATTCTTTTCAAACAATTTGACCCGGCATTTTCATGGCATTTTCAACCGGTTTTATCCCGGTTTCAACCGAATTCTACCGGTTTATCCCATTTTAACATCGTTGAACTACCGAGTGTCACACCGTTCCCCCGGGTGTTTTGCCGCTGGACAGCTACCAAACTTCAGCCAGGTGGCTCTGCTCCAAAGCACGTGCAACAGTTCACCAAGGAGCGGACGTTTTTTTTTGAAAAGTGACACGTTTTTTTTGAAAATCGCATGAAAAAAGGGGGCATTATATACATAGTCTACCTAATGAATATGAATGAGATTATACTAATGGGCTATGAATGGGATATTATAGTACATTAATAATATAATGATAGATATACGGTATAATGATATAATATGATATAATGGGATGTAATGGGATATTGACTATACAATGATAGTAAGCATACCAGTAGTACCGCACAAGGCGGTGGCGGAAGTTTCAAGGATAGGACACTGTAATTGAGCTGTTGTGATGCATGGATGGCAGAGCGAATCCACTGATGGACCGAAAGGTGGTTGGAGTTGTGTTTTTTGGAGTGGTTGCAGTGGTGGCAGCCACAACTGCTGGATGTAGTGTGGTGTAGTGCAGCTGTAGTTGTTGTTGTAGTGTAGTGGAGTTGTAGTTGTGTGTAGTGCAATCAGTGTAGTGAAGTTGCAATGGTAGTTGTGGTGTGGTGTAATGAGTGTAGTGTAATGTGATGTAGTGTAGTGTGCTGTAGTGTTGTGGGCTTTAGCGTAGTCTAGTGTAGTGTGCTGTAGTGTTGTGTGCTGTAGTGTAGTCTAGTGTAGTGTAGTCTGGTGTAGTGTGGTGAAGTGTAAAGTAGCGTAGTTGTAGTTGTAGCTGTAGTTGTAGTTCGTGTAGCGTAGTGTAGCGTAGTGTAGCGTAGTGTAGTGTAATTAGTGTAGTGTAGTGTAATGTACAGTAATTAGTAATTAGTGTAGTTGTAGTTGCAGTTGCAGTTGTAGTTGTAGTCTATTGTGGTGTATTGTAACTAGTGTAGTGTAGTATAAAGTAGTTGTAGTTGTTGCTGTAGCTGTAGCTGTAGTAGTAACAGTAGTGGTTGTAGTTCTAGTTGGCTGGGCGCGCGCAGAAGGCCGCGTCACGAAACAGTGTTTTTGCATGTTCACTGCACTGGCGCCACAGCGAGAGCGCATTTTCTCCTTTTTTATTGTGTTTCGCCTCAGCGAAACCTCTTTTTTTGTCTTTTTTTGTTGTTTTTTTTGGCGTGGTGTTGGTTGGGGGGGGGTGGGGGGGTGTAATAACGTTCTTTGGACTTGAACACATCTGGGATGTTATGTCATGAGATCTTTTCTTGGAATTCAATACATCTGGGATGGTACGTCATGAGATCTTTTCTTGGAATTCAACACATCTGGGATGGTACGTCATGAGATCTTTTCTTGGAATTCGACACATCTTGGATGGTACGTCATGAGATCTTTTCCTGGAATTCAACACATCTGGGATGTTATGTCATGAGATCTTTTCTTGGAATTCAATACATCTGGGATGGTACGTCATGAGATCTTTTCTTGGAATTCAACACATCTGGGATGGTACGTCATGAGATCTTTTCTTGGAATTCAACACATCTGGGATGGTACGTCATGAGATCTTTTCCTGGAATTCAACACATCTGGGATGGTACGTCATGAGATCTTTTCTTGGAATTCAACACATTTGGGATGGTACGTCATGAGATCTTTTCCTGGAATTCAACACATCTGGGATGGTACGTCATGAGATCTTTTCTTGGAATTCAACACATCTGGGATGGTACGTCATGAGATCTTTTCTTGGAATTCAACACATCTGGGATGGTACGTCATGAGATCTTTTCTTGGAATTCAACACATCTGGGATGGTACGTCATGAGATCTTTTCTTGGAATTCAACACATCTGGGATGGTACGTCATGAGATCTTTTCTTGGAATTCAACACATCTGGGATGGTACGTCATGAGATCTTTTCTTGGAATTCAACACATCTGGGATGGTACGTCATGAGATCTTTTCTTGGAATTCAACACATCTGGGATGGTACGTCATGAGATCTTTTCTTGGAATTCAACACATCTGGGATGGGATGGTACGTCATGAGATCTTTTCTTGGAATTCAACACATTTGGGATGGTACGTCATGAGATCTTTTCTTGGAATTCAACACATCTGGGATGGTACGTCATGAGAAACCATGCACTTTTTGGAAAGAATCCAAGCGAGGTTCTCGAGCAACTGTCTCGACTTTTTGCAGATTAAAGAAAACTTGGCGAACATGCGGTGGATGAAAATAAAAGTCATGCACTGAAGTAAACACACTTGAAAGTGTCTCAACTGAAGTAGTTTTTTTCGACGTCAAAATATGACACGCCAAGATATAAACATGGACATGTGAAGTTGCACATGCATTTCGAATGGCCAGCGTGGAGGATTTGCCATATCACCACTCATACATTTGTATCAAAACTGAGATGAAAGTGCACGAAACCATACGGCCATCTATGAGCGCCCGACCTTGTAGTTATAGTTGTAGTGTAATTAGTGTAGTGTACTGTCATTAGCGTAGCGTAGTAAAATTAGTACAGTGTAATGTGTTTGTAGCGTAGCGTAGTGTACTTAGCGTACTGTAGCATTGTCTTTGCATTTGTAGTGTTAGTGTAGTGTGGTTGTAGTTGTAGTTGCAGTTGTAGTTGCAGCTGTAGTTGTCTATCTATCTATCCATCTATCTACCTACCTATCGATCTATCTATCTACCTATCTATCTATCTGTCTATCGATCGATCTATCTATCTAATCTAATCAAGATCTAACCTAATCCAATCTTATCTTATCTTATCTTATATTATCTTATGGATCTATCTATCTATCTAATCTAATCTAATCTTATTTTATCTTATCTTATCCTATCTTTTCCTATCTTATCTTATCCTATCTTATCCTATCCTATCTTACCCTATCTTATCCTATCTTATCCTATCTTATCCTATCTACCTATCTATCTATCTATCTATCTTTCTTTCTTTCTTTCTTTCGTTCTTTCTTTCTTTCTTTCGTTCTTTCTTTCTTTCTTTCTTTCTTTCTTTCTTATCTATCTATCTGTCTTTCTGCAAGTTTGAAAACAAAGCTATTCTGCGAGACTTCCTCAATTTTTGAAGTTGGCAGCATCAAAAACGAAACAATTCTGCGAGACCTCCTCAATGTTTGAAGTTGGCAACATCAAAAACGAAGCAATTCTGCGAGACTTCCTTCAATACTGGAAAGTTGAGTGCAGAGCTGACGGCCTCGTACCAATGCGTTTTGCGATTTTTCCAGTCCATGTCTCTGAAGTATTGCGCCTGCCACGAAAAAGTGATACCAGGTCATACAAAGTGCTGCACCTGTCACACAATATCATCTTCCCAAAACTGAAGATCTGATGCTCCAAAATGCAACCCCTCTGAGGAAATCAGCGCCCTGGCCTGACCTCCTAACATCTCTGATGAACATGTCTCTTGTACTGCGCCTGCCACGGAAAATGCATCTTTCCAGACTCTCTTCAAATGTCCCACGCCTGCCATCGTTTTTGGAAATGCTAGAAAACCTTCACATTTTGCTCACATGTGACAAGGTGTGCACAATCCCTTGCGCCTGGTGTTTTGAACATTTTGACTTCGAAATGTGCTTCGCGCCGGAACGGTGTGCACTTTTTCGACATCTCAACTTCCAAAAGTTCTTGGAGCATGGTGTGTTTTGTACATTTTGACTTGGAAATGTGCTTCGCGCCACAACGGCGTGCAATTTTTCATCTCTCAGGCTCCGCATCCGCCATTTCAGCGAGCCTACTTTTCGACCCTCCGGAGCCACAAATCATTGGAAAAACATAGTGTTTCGCGACTTTGCTACCTTTTCGCGCACCTGCATCTTCTTTCTTCTCATTCTTTCTCTTCTCTGATCTTCTCTCTTCTGCTCTTCTCTTCTCTGACTCTTCCCACCTCTGCTTTTCCACCTGTCCATATTGTCGGAAGTTTGACTTCTAAACTTCCTTCAATCATTGGGGATACATACCAATGGAATATTAATGGAATATTAATAAAATTCTGGTGGCATATTACCGGAATAGTGTGGAATATTTGAATGGGATAATTATTGGTGGGCATCCTCTCGAATCAATGGCGCAGGCTGGCAAACCCTCCAGTTTTTTATCGGGGACTTTCGATTGCTATGTCTGACCACCAAAGATTATATATATATATATATATATTATGGGACTGGGAATATCACACCGAAATAAACAACAGAATTAGCGTCAGTTGTTTTTCAACCTGACTTGGCAGGGTCTGTTTTTGTTGGATGGTAGTGACTACCACCCCAAAGAAGGTTACTTTTTGAAAGGAAATAGCGTCCTGGTGTCATCAAACATGGTTTGCTAGAAAATCCTCGATGATTCTCTCAGCTAGAAGCCTCCATTTAGTTTGGGTCTTTCCCATTGCTAGGTTGATTACCAGAGGGCCTCAGGAACCTTCAGATCCTGTTTTAATTTTTGGGTTGTCTTGCTGACTTCCAATAGACCCTTCTCAGACAATGTGAAACAATTTTTGACAAACTGCAAAAATTTGGTGCTGACAGAATTGAGTTCACTGTTGGTTATGATTTTGATCCTCAAGTTAAATAATTTAACGTGACAACGGAAAATCACCAATCTTTAGATGATTATACCATATTTTTCCAGTTAAAAGTTGGGATTACTTTTTATTTTCCAATTAAAAATTAAAATCCCCTGAAAATGAGAGGTCTCAATGGGAAACATCCATTATAAATGATGGATTTTCCATTGTTATATTCAGTTACCAGAGGGTAATTTTCACGTTCCATCTGTGGACAATCTGAAGATCAGCCGTCACTGGAAGTCAACGGATGGCTGGATGATGCCCTCGGGAAACCATTCTTTGAAGTCGAACAAAATTGGTATCACCTTGCGCGTTAGTTATACCACGTAAGGTATGAACTTCTGTATGGAACCATTTTGACCCATTTTGGGATAGATGTAAATGATTCTACTGTAATTACTAAAAATATAGATTGAAATTTGGGAACAAAACTTAATTCCACTGGTGTTGATCAATGTTTGTCATTTGTGGGAAAAACAACATCAACATTCAAGGCCCATGCGACAACCAACCATCGCAATTTGTGGGTTATTTCCGTATTTGAGGGATGAATATGCCTACCGTATTTGAGGGATGAATATGCCAAAATCCCAGCTATTTTGGTGTTCATTAAAATTCCAGGCTTTTGACCCATAGCCATATAGGGGGAAATAATCTATACATACTCCCAAGATACTCAAATTAGCTATGCGTATAATGCCCCTATGTTCCATGTATGGTATATTTACCTACAAAACTGGGTGATTTTGGGCAATGGCAAATGTTGGTAAGCATATTCCAGCATCATGCTTCGCATATGGGGTGGATTCAACCACTGCTTGGATTCATCCCAAGGTAGGTCTGTACAAGGTGAGGCCCCCCCAGTTATGTGTGTTGGTTTTTAAACCTCCATGAAAACTAGTTCGTTATATCCCCCTAATCAACCCAAACGTAAAGCAAGTGAACGCTGCGTCAACTTAGCTGTCTAAATCCAGAAAAAAATCCCGGTAGATTCCATTAAATCCCACCAGAAAAACACCATTCAATCAATTCAATCACCATGAATTTACAGTAAAACCAGAATATTGTTGCCGGTTCGGTCACAAATGTATCAATTCCGTTCAATTCTTACCATCTTTGGAGGATTTTGACCATCCCTTCACCAAGTATTTTAGAGTACCACGTCGGGTACCAATCTTTTGACGTTACAGGAGGGTCACCTCCGATGGGATTCCTTGGGTCACCTGGCGTGAGCGAAAGATCGAAAGGCGGAGGGGATCGATCCCCAAATGAAGAGTTGGTATGGAAAGATCCACCATTTTTGGTATGGAAAATCACCAGGTTGGTAAAATCAACAGTTTGAAAACTATGGAAAGATCCACCATTTTTGAGTAAATCAACTATTTCATACTATTTCGACTGGGGCCATGTTCTTTGGGGCCATGTTTACCAGAGGGTACTGGTAACAGTTTTGAATAGTAATTTAAAGATGGGGATTTTCGAACGGGATTTTCCAGTTCGCATTTTTTTTTTGTGTACTGGTTGCGCAGCAAAAAATAGGTGGGTTGGAAGCAGTAAGAAAGGCGAACATTGAGCAACTCAAAGAGGAGATTTAACTGACGGAGTCAACCAAGAAGAATGGTGGTTTTAGTGGGTATATATACGTATATAATATGTATAATATGTATATATATTTCACCTTTCTGGAGTACATCAGCTATTCCAACATTTCAATGTCTAGATGAAAAACCAAGTGCCAAGTGGCTTCGGTCCAAGTTGATGTTCCATCTTATCTGAAATTATTTCTGACCAAAACGGTTGTGCAGAGGACACAGAGAACCACCTGAAGAAGAGTATGCAACCAGCCACACATCGAAGGATGTAGATGGATATAGCCAACAAGGAGTTGGTGCATATGAGAAGCCCACAGGAGGTTTCATGGACGGGATGTTAAGCATTTTGAAAGGTATTGAAGTGATGCCCCTTTGATCATCGATTGTCTGAAGGTCATAGGTCATACCTGCGTTTCGAAAGACATGCCCACTAACAATGCGAAATCCAGTGAGGATATTATTCATTTGAAGGTCGCTCAAGGACAGGCTGTAAACCCATGAGGCATCATTGTAGGCAAAAGGCTTTGTTGGAACATAGCGTACCCCCAAATCCGCTGGTTTGGTCTATTTTCATGGCCGTAAATTAGGGTACGAGCCATCGGAATTTTCGAGCCGCCCCATACTTTCCTACCAACCTGGATTTGAGGTGAGTATTTGGCCTTGAGCGTGTCCATCCAGGACCGTTTGGGGCTTGTTTTTTGGCTTGTTTGGCTTGGCTGCCCAAAAAAACACGGGATGCCCTATTTTCGAAGGTTCCCCGAAAATGGTCGAAGATGTCCGTCCAGAATGTGCAACACAGGTTTGCAAGAGATGCAAACACACGATATCAGATCTGTTCAGACCTTATCTCAATGATCCAGAAAGTCCTGGGACTCAACTTCTAAAGCCCACCATCAATCAGACCAATCAAGCTAATCGATTAATTTCCCTGTGTGTGTGTTGGTCAAGACTACATCCCTTATCTTTGATAATTTAGCTACAATTTGTGTAGCATGTGTTTTTTCTGTTGGTCACACCTGAGTTTTTTTGCGTATGAATTCTCTAGCCTCGTCCTTGAAATGCCCACTTGGTTGAAGCGTTTGGATCGAATCAGAAGTTTTGTTGTTTAAATCATGTAAAAGCACAAAAAAAAGAATCCAACGTATTTACAAACAATACCCTCCGGTAATCAACTGCGGCTTGCTTGAAAATCCACCATTTAGTTGAATTCTTTTCCCAGCCAACTCAACCTCTATTGATTTCGGGGATTTCCCAGCTAGACACTCGGTAATAGGAATCCATAAACTCAATAATAGGAATCCCATGAAATCCCAATGTTACTTAAATCCCAGCCTGACATTAAAAAATATTAAAAATCCAATGAAATCCTATTTTTTCGTAATTCCCAGCCTGACATGAAAATATTAAGAACCCCATGAAATCCCAATGTTACTTAATTCCCAGCCTGACATTATTAAAAATCCCATGGAATCCTATTTTTTCGTAATTCCCAGCCTGACATGAAAATATTAAGAACCCCATGAAATCCCAATATTACTTAATTCCCAGCCTGACATGATAAATACTAAGAATCACATGAAATCCCAATATTTCTTAATTCCTAGCCTGACATAAAAAAATACTAAAAACCCAATGAAATCATATGTTTTCGTAATTCCCAGCCTGACATTAAAAAATACCAAAAATCCAATGAAATCCCAATATTACTTTTAATTCCTAGCCTGAGATTAAGAAATACAAAGAATCCCATGAAATCCTATTTTTTCGTAATTCCCAGCCTGCCATGAAAATCTTAAAAATCCCATGAAATCATATTTTTTCGTAATTCCCAGCCTGCCATGAAAATATTAAAAATCCCATGAAATCATATTTTTTCGTAATTCCCAGCCTGATATGAAAATACTCAAAATCCCATGAAATCCTATTTTTTCGTAATTCCCAGCCTGACATTAAAAAATATTAAAAATCCAATGAAATCCTATTTTTTCGTAATTCCCAGCCTGACATGAAAATATTAAAAATCCCATAAAATCATATGTTTTCGTAATTCCCAGCCTGACATGAAAATACTCAAAATCCCATGAAATCATATTTTTTCGTAATTCCCAGCCTGCCATGAAAATCTTAAAAATCCCATGAAATCATATTTTTTCGTAATTCCCAGCCTGCCATGAAAATATTAAAAATCCAATGAAATCCTATTTTTTCGTAATTCCCAGCCTGCCATGAAAATATTAAAAATCCCATGAAATCATATTTTTTCGTAATTCCCAGCCTGCCATGAAAATATTAAAAATCCCATGGAATCCTATTTTTTCGTAATTCCCAGCCTGACATGATAAATATTAAGAATACCATGAAATCCCAATGTTTCTTAATTCCCAGCCTGACATTAAAAAATATTAAAAATCGCATGGAATCCTATTTTTTCGTAATTCCCATGGAAAATCCTCATTTCGGATGAAAAAGTCACCCCGAAAGTCTCCAGGACTTGGCCCGCGACACCGGCAACGAAACCGCCAGCGTCTTGGCTGCGGCCTTGGATAAGGCCGTGGGCACCTTCCTGAAACTCGGCCGAAAACGGAGGAAACGGAGCCTCTTGGATCATCCCAGGGCAACCCGAAAACTGGGTGAATCGACTGGGTAGAAACTGATCCCTGGTTTGGAAATGTTTGGAACATGTTTATTTTATGACTTTCCATTCAGTTGGGAAGAAAACATCATCCCAACTGACGAACTCACTCATATTTTTCAGAGGGGTTGAAACATGTTGAAACCACCAACCAGCAAGTAGTCTTTTGGTATGGGAATATCATGGAATATCCTCCAATTCACCAGCTATGTTTTCATTTTTTGCAGGGTATCTGGCTGATTGACAAAAATGCTGGGATTTGTTGTGGGGATTTAAAACAACACTGGTGATTTGAAGCACCATTTCTGATATCCAACACTGATATTTTCTGGTTGGTGGTTTGGAACATGAATTTTATTTTTCCATATATTGGGAATAATAATCCCAACTGACTTTCATATTTTTCAGAGGGGTTGAAACCACCAATTAGCTGGTGATATTTTTGAATATCCTGGTTTTGTTTTTTTTTTGGATTGAAGATATTTTTTCGCAACGAACCGAGGTGATTTTGGGTGATTTCTTGGGGTACAGATGGTACAGGTGAACGTAACCATAGGCCATCAATATAGGGGATAAGCCACGAAATGGGGATTGATCCTTGAAGCTCCCGGAGATGTTGATTTGTACCATGAATACTATGTAGATCTATGTCTAGTGTATTATTCTCAAGATAGAAGGTCATGTATCACTATTTGAGTAGGATTGTACATTTCTTTCTTTTGGGGGGTTACTATGTGTGTGTACATATATGATCATATATCTGGATAAATTATAACGACCTCACTTCGACCTCACTATAATCATAGTCAGTAAGGGAAATGATCCCCAAATGGCCTTAATTCAGGTTAGTGAAATATTATAATTTACCCATATATATGAATATAATTGCACATAGCTACCATAACATAACATAACACAACATAACCATTGTTATTGGAGTTGTCAAATTCTAAGACCTGACCATTGATTTTGGTAATTTCTAGTAGTAAAGCATTCATTTCTGTGCTACCCAATTTTCACCCATACCCATACAACTCGCGCTAATATATACTGTATACATATACACACACATAATATATATATATGTAAATACGTACTGTATATGGTAATCGATCTAAAGGTCCTTGTAAGGAGTTTTAATTGCGAAAGCCGTGGATAACGGAATCTTGATCAATCAATATTTATATATATATATATTAACATGGGTATATCGGTTTGTCTCATCTATAACCGGCTTACACATGCTGGAAAACCATCGTAGGATCATGGCCGGTCCGGCTCTGGAAATCTCAACGGCGCCTTGAACGGACGATAGACACATATATTTTCCACTGAGACATTTACTTTTGAGAGTGGACAAACTATGGATTAACTATGGTTTATGGTAGATATAACGAACTAGTTAATGGATGTTAATGGGGATAATGGTTTATAAACCATATTATAAACTATATCTCCAATTATTGTGCGGTGATTTCACCCCATAGTATAAAAACGGGATCAATAGGGGATAAACCCATCGGATATAGGGGATAAACCCATTGGATAATATACTGGTTGGTGGTTTGGAACATGAATTTTATTTTTCCATAATAATATATGGGATACTCCTATTGACTAATATTTTTCAAGATGGTGAGAGCCACCAACCATTATGTGTTTCATGGTATATAGATAAACAAGAGTGAATATGTAATGGTATTTGACAACATTCATGGTGTTTGTTTCTTCATTGTGCTTTGGTGCCTGTAAACGCACTGCATCTTTGTTGCAGGTTTGTTGACCGTGTTCCCAAAAATCGTGACAGCTCGTCTCCATTACCCATAGGATCCATGTATGCTATATATGGTAACATGGATCCCATCAATATACCCCCAATGTTAGCATATATACCAGCACCATGGATCCTATGGGATTCAGGAGTGCCAACAAGAATCCTTCCAGAAAGGTGAAGGCTTCTCGGTCGCAGCGATCGAAGGATGGTACATCATCCTGGATAAATTTCATCGCGACCTCACGTAGTCATGTCGTGACGTGTCGTGACGTCACGTCGGAGTGATGGTTAGTAGAGGTAACGATGCCAAAATGTCAATATATATATAATATATTACTACTACCATGAATTAACTATATGATATTAATGTCAAGTTCGTTGGTTATATAATAATTTACCATTCTACTCGTTATTTTAAGGTGTGATGCTTAGTAGAGGTAAGTGTTAGTTGCCATATGAGATTTCACCCCCATCACTTTGAGCTTTGGGAATTAAGCGGTGAACTCCAAGCCTTAGAACTCCATAACACCTCAAAAAAATGGTGAACATGGAAGAAAACGTACCCTCTGGTGAACTAACATAGCAATGGAAAATCACCATTTTTAATAGGAAAATCCACTATAAATGGCCATTTTCAATTGCTATGTTAGTTCACCAGAGGGTAATTCCATTCATTTTATTGATATGCTGGGGAGTTGTGATTCAATGCTTCCGCATTGAAAAAAACAGAGATCAGGAAAAACATCACATTCTATTTTTGCCAAAGAATTTTGCATGTCGGATCAAAGTGCACCGGTTTCTGAGTCATGCATATCATTCAAGTCTGGCATACGAAAAATAACAAATCCACTGGTGAATCATCAGTATCAAATCATTACTATATATCATGAGGCCCCCCAGTGATGTGAACGTTGGTTTAGATTCGCCCCAGTAACTAGTTCGTTGTAAGTACCATAAACCATAGTTATTGGAGTTATGTGCACCAACTTAGCTATCGAACGGGGGCCTCACATTGTATATATCATGACTTATTTCATGATCAAATCATCTTACTGGTGCTAAACGTAGGTTATTTTCGGGAATGATCCACAATATATAACTATCAATAATCATCCCAGCAACCCCCAGCAACCCATCCATTCCCTACTAATTTAGCACCAGTAAGTCATGATCAAATGATTAATCAAATCATCCCCTGTTTTTGGAGAACCCCATCGATCTTGGCAGGAAATCGACAACCGCGGCAGTCACTACTGGTTGGCCCGCTATTGGGCTGACGAACTGGCCAAGCAGGAGCCGACCGACGACTTGGTGAACGTTTCTAGGTCAATCTTAGATGGTCAAACTATGGAAAATCACCATTTTTTAATACTTTTTATAGGTAAACAACTATTTCTATGATGATGAGTGAACTAGGTCAATCGACTGGATGGATACAAACTAATCCTAACTAGTCTTTTGGTATTAGTTAATGGGAAATCGAACCGTTCACCAGCAAAGAATTTAAGTCATTTTTTGCAGGGTATCTGGCCGATTGGCAATGGTGTCTATGGGTCATTGGGAGATCCCCAGCTGTGAATGTTCCAGTCTTGCTGGCATTGGAAGAAACCATGTGGGTCTGTTCAAGAGCAGATACCCTCTGGTAAACTAACATAGCTATTGAAAATTGCCATTTATAGTGGATTTTTCCATTAAAAATTGTGATTTTCCATAGTTGTGTTAGTTTACCAGAGGGTAACACCCCCCCCAAAAAACACTTCCAACCATCAACAAACCATCATCACCCATCAACCAACATCCATTTTCGGAATATCAGGTCTCTTTGGCACTTCAGAGCCTGTATTCAATTATCTTATACCGTAGTGTCTATGATTGTTTCATATTGATCTGGATCCAATTGTTTCGTTTCCCGGTTGTTTACTGATTCAATACACATCCACAGTTATGGCAGAAACATGAGATCTACCTTCACCCACTTGGCCCTGATTCAAGCAACATGGTGAGGACAAGGATGCGAAACTGAAGCAGACCTTTCAGAAGGTGTCCAAGGCTGGGCTCAATTTCACCAGCAAATTTTGGCCGACTGGATGGCTTTGCTCTAAATCCTGGATAGTTTTTGTTTGCAAATTAGAAAATCACCACAAGCAGCAAATGATGGCAATTTTTTGTGGACTATCCAAGATTGACCACGACATGTGGAACAGCATCGTGTTTCCATTTTACGACGGAGAGGTACCCGGTACCCTTTGGAATAGGAACCATGAACTTACTGGTGCTTAGTAGGGAATGAGGGAATGATCCATAATCACTAGTAATAATCATCCCAGCAACCCCCAGCAACCCATCCATTGCCTACCAATTAAGCACCAGTAAGTGAATGACCACATTCCGATCTGCGTCTTATGGAGGAATCTAGGTCAATCTTACATGGATACTTTAATCCTAACTAGTCTTTTGGTATTAATGGGAATATCGAACCGTTCACCAGCAAAGAATTTAAGTCATTTTTTGCAGGGTATCTGGCTGATTGGCAATGAAATGAGCAGCGGGTTCAATCGAATGTCTGTGATCAAAGCTGAAAAGCCCAGGACTTGTCATGCAGCTTCAAGCGGCCCAACATATTCGATATGCAAGACGATCGTAAGGGTTTTGGGTGTTCAAAGGGTATCTCTATGGAACGAATCGGGATGATCCTGGGAAATCAAAGGTGGACAACTCGAAAAAAAGCCGGTCATCAAACAGAGTTTGCTGGAAAATCCCCAATTCAAACCTCCAATTTTTAGATGATTTTCCCATTAAAAACCTCCATTTCTAGGGGATTTTCCATTGCCATGTTTGATGACACCAGAGGGTAAGTTGATATTGACGTCTGTTGCTATCCCCCTGGTGTTGCACCCGATGACCATGCTGGGAGCCTGTTTGACTTAGAATCCACTTGGGAAGATGGATGCCAAGTGAAGCGCAATGAGGAGGAAAACCCAAATCATCCCAAATCCATGAACCTCCTATTGGGGATGGTGCATATTTATACCATTTTATACCAGCCTTTTCTGGCAGAAATTCTGCCAGAAATTTGTAGGTAGATGGCTGATGTTTTTTTGGCATGATATATGCTGAGACGTCCTGACTATTATGTTATATCATGTTATATCATCTGGTGGTTTGGAACATGAATGATCTATTTTTCCATATTTTCCCCATATCTTGGGAACATGTAAAAATCCCATTTGACTTTCACTCAACATCATTTTTCAGAGGGGTAGGCTCAACCACCAGCAACCAGAATAGCTAATTAACCATCATTAACCATCATTAACCATCATTAACCATCATCACAACCATTAATATTAATCATTATTAACCACCAACCAGTTGTACTATGGAAAGTCATATATTAACCATTAATAACCATTAATATTAACCATTATTAACAGTATATTACCAACCAATGGTAGGCTCAACCACCAGCAACCAGAATCCTGGTGGCGAATCCCTGCCCCATGGCAGGAATTGGCAGACTCCGAGGAGACCATTTTGAAGGCGGGGACTGCGGCAGCGTTGAAGCCGTTGAAGCGACATGTTCGCCATGTTCGGATGGTTGTTGGGGCTACCTTGGTTAGCTACGAACTACCCTCTGGTAATTTAACATAGCTATTGAAAATGGTGATTTATAGTGGATTTTCCCATTGGAAATGGTGATTTTCCATAGCTATGTTAGTTTACCAGAGGGTAGTAGAACTTCATCTTTTGCTATGGTGAATTCAGTCCCAAATATCCTAAGTCCAAAAAAAAAGCGCAAAATTAGATCTTTTCGCCAGGTATCTAAGATTCACCATGGTTATTGCGTAGCCCACTTGTCTTGGCGCAAGATGATTTCCGACCATCATTTAGATATCAGATGATATCAGTATCCACTTATCATCAACCATCATTGATAAAATAGCTATTTTTTCGTTATATCATGTGATATCATGTGATATTCACTGAGATAGTCTGGAAATATCTCCATATTTTGGGCCTTTTTCAACCTTTATTCAATGACCAACAAACACCCAACGCCGACTCGCCGGGCCTCCAGGACTTCACGGATTGCCAGGGTGCAGCTGTAGACATTGGCGGCTACTACCGAGTGGATGTTGAGAAGACAACCAAGGCGCCGGTGGGTGCTTTGGAACATTTTGATACACATTTTACCTACTGGTGCTTAGTAGGGAATGGATGGGAATGGGGGAATGGGATGATTGTTGATAGTTATTGATTAAGATCTAATCTGGTTGGTGGTTTGGAACATTAATTTTATGTTTCCATCTATTGGGAATTTCATCATCCCAACTGACGAACTCATATGTTTCAGAGGGGTGGCTCAACCACCACCAACCAGCATTTTATGAATCATAGTTTTTTTTTTTTTAATACCCAATATATTGATATACATCTATAATCTGGTTGGTGCTTTGGAACATGAATGATCTATTTTTCATTATTTTTCCATATGTTGGGAACATGTTTATCCCATTTGACGAAGTCCATGATTTTTTTCAGAGGGGTAGGGCTCAACCACCAACCAGAAGGTGCCGGCAGCGGCAGGGGCCTTTTTTAAAGGATGTCTTTTCGATGGAGAAAATGTTGGAGGAAATGGCCAATGGATCATGTTGTAGATATAAGATATTGATATAAGTTATATAAGACATATTAATACATATAATGTGGGCCCCCCCAGTTATAAGTTGGTTTATAAACCCCCACAACTATAATTATAAGTACCATATAAGTACCATAAACCATAGTTATTGGAGTTATAAACCAACTTAGCTATCTAGGGGGCACCACTTTGTAACTATTGTACTTTTATAAACATAAATATGTGAACGACTGTTAGATGACACATGTATGTAAACCGTATACGTACATTTTTTCATAGAACTATCAGGGCCATTCTTTTGGCCAGCTAAAATTGAGAATAACCTTGGCCTATCCATGGTATCCGTCAGCAATCTTGGCGAGGGATGTGGCGCTTAGAGGACAATCACATCCAGCTAAGCTATCGACCACAGATCTATTTTGCTTATTCAACAAACCAGATTTTTCTTGACCAAAAAACAAGCCAGATTAATGATAATTGTTTGGAATCTGGGTTGTTATGGTTGTTGAATGTTGTTGATTAATTTTCATATATTTTTATTGTTGTTAATTATAAAGATAACACACATCGATTAATGGTTGATTATTATCTACTGAAGCGTAACATCAACTTTCGTCCAGCTAAGTTGAGATCGGTCCGTCAGAGAGAAACACCACCAGATGAGAAAAACGCAAACCTGAGTCCCCCTCCTGTCCAAACTCCAGGAACATGGCAAATTTTGAAACTTAGAATCACAGACCTTCCCAGATCGCTCTCGCTTCATGTGAAAACAAGAACGTGCGCTGAAAATAGCTAGTTAAGATCTAATCTGATTGGTGGTTTGGCACATTTTTTATTTTTTCCATATATGGGGAATTTCATCATCCCAACTGATGAACTCATATTTTTCAGAGGGGTGGCTCAACCACCAACCAGAAGTTGACTTATAACTTGGTTAGCTCGGATTTATGGGGGATATAACTATATGATTCATGGGCCTCACCTTATGCGGTTCTCTTCGGCCGGGATTCAAACTTTTTCGCGACCAAAAATAGCCCTCTCTCATGGCTGGAAGAAAATTCAGGACAGGAAAAGATGTTCGAACATTTTCCACATTTTTCCACTTTTGCGGTTACAAATGTGTCATTTTCATGTTCGAAACAGTGGTCATTTCCAATCAGAATGCATTGAAAGCTGAGATAACTCGAATCCAATGATCATCCGATGAGGATTGTTCTTTCCTGGGATGAAGCAATATCCAACAAGCTGTAATTTACCCTCTGGTAAACCAACATAACTATGGAAAATCCTCATTTTTAATGGGAAAATCCACTATTTCTATGGCCATTTTCAATAGCTACGTTAAATTACCAGAGGGTATCACTAGATAGAATATGGAATGTTCAAAGGCGACCATTTCCATTTGAACTTTCCATAGATGTCCATAGATTTCCATCATCCATCTACTTCAGGATGACTATATTTATATATGAGTCCCCATATATATAATATATAATATATATATACATATGATTATATATGGAGGTTTCCTAAAATGGGGGTATCCCCAGATCCTCTTTATATTTTTGGATTTTCCATGAAATCAACCATCCAGCTATACCCCTTAATGATTTCCAGAAACCATCCAATCTTCGCAAGTCGACCAGGCGATGAACCCGAGCGCCTGCTTCAACGACATCATCAAAGGCTTGGGTCAGCACGGGTGCCCAGCGTTGCTCACGGCGGCCAAGAACTCTGGGGTTGCTTGGAATATCGGGGAAAAAGTATGAAAAAGTACAGGATGGGGCCCCCAAGATAGCTAAGTTGGTTTATAAGTGGCTTAACTTAACAATGCTTTATGGTAGATATAACTATAGTTAATGGGGATTATAATGGTTTATAAACCAACAAACATCACTGGGGGGCCTCACATTGTAGGCTTGAACCAACAAGCATGGGGATTTTAATGGGATTTCATGGTGATTCCATGGTGATTTCATGGAAATACAGGGGGAGAATTGAGATTTCACCAACAACAAAGGAGATTTCACCAAGTATCATGGGGATATAAAAACTGGGATATGATGGCATTTTTATGAGACATAGCCTCTGGTTATGTCAAAATAACCATGGAAAATCACCACAGAAATAGTGAATTTTCCCATTAACAATTAACAATTATGTTTTTCCATAGTTTTTTGTATGTTTACCAGGCCGGGTAGCCTCCAGTGTCCTCAAACATGGCGGGTCGCTGGGAATTCCTCATCGAACTGAATGGGTGATTTCCCAGCCATGTCTGATTAATTACGTGGGTACAAGGGTACCCTAACATTTGAGGCTTATATACCCTCTGTTAAACTCACAGTTTGCTATTGAAAATGGCCATTTATAGTGGATTTTCCCATTAAAAATGGTGATGTTCCATAGTTATGTTAGTTTACTAGAGGGTAACCATAATTTGTCACATGGCAATGGGCAATTTCAAGTATACCTCCTTTTCAGACATAGCCTCTGGTAAACATACAAAAAGCTATTGAAAATGGCCATTTATAGTGAGTTTTCCCATTAGAAATGGTGATGTTCCATAGCTATGTTAGTTTACCAGGCCGGGTATACCCCCTTTTCAGACATAGAAAAACGTGGCCACGTGGGCTAAAAGAACTTGGGCGAGATGAACATCCAGAGAAAAACACGAGCGATTTTAAGGGGTACCAGGGTTTTGAACCATGACCCATAGCCATTTAATCCATTTAGTTGTTTGTTTATATCTGGTTGGTGGTTTCAAACATTTTTTATTTTCCCCAATAGTTGGGATGATGATCCAATCTGACTAATATTTTTCAGGGGGGATTAAAACCACCAACCAGATATAAGTTCATCTGATTCTTTAAGACCAACATGTTTGAGCAAAATGAAACTGAAATGGATCATTTCGAACTGGTAGAATGACATTCCACTGAGTCTGTAGCTGCACTTGACGTCATCTACAGCATCTACAGCATGATGAACATAGATTCATGGATGTCCTTGTTTCCACTAGTCACTAGTTGTTCAATATATATAAGAGGGGTACTCCCCACGATACACAGCCACCAGCACGCCTTAAACCAGCTGCTCTAGTGTGCCCCTCTAGGCAGATGCTGGGTTCCCAACAGGAAAACCAAAACAAATTTCTGAGTGAAGAGATGCAAATTCTAGTGGCTTCACAGGCATTCAATGATGAGAGAGTGAGGGAAATCATCCCGAAATGGGCTTAAATCAGGCTTGAGAACTATACTAACTATTACTAACTACTATATTACTATAGCATATTTTGGGATTCTCAGGGTAATCATATAATTTTTCTAAAGCATTCCAGGGAGAGGGGATGTCCCTTGTGTAAATCAGTCATAAAGCAACCCCAAACAGATCCCGATGTTTCCAGGATGGTAGATCGATGATGTTTTCCAGAGACAGAATCCCATCGGTTTCCTGTCCTTTCCGGCCTTTCTTTTTAGGGATTGGAAAAAAATATCCTGTAAGAAATCTGTTGTTTCTATATGTTTTTCCATCATTTCCTATATTTTCCATAGATGTTTCAATTTTCTTCATAGTTTTCCATCTTTTCTCATACTTTTTCCATATTTTTCTAGACTTTCCAGGTATTTCTAAATCGAAATCAACGGCATCACCGGGCCGAACCCACGCGCCGCGAGCCCGAAACCGCGCCAGGTGAGGTAAAAATCGCTGGTGATCTTCCGGGGACTTCCTGAGCAGCGGCTGAAGTTTTTTTGGGGAAATTCTGTTTAATTGGAACGAGAATTCTTAATATCATCTACTGTAATATATATATATATAACTATTATATACATATTCGATGGGGGATGCCCGGAAGATCGGGTGGGTATGTGATTAATATATGTCATAATAATAGTTCATAATATGCATTTGTTAAAAATAAACATCATAACAACTCTATATTGTCTTTGAACGTTTGATAAACACAGAAACTGAAGTTGGTATGGTCTGATTATGTTGGAAGTCGCGAATCAGCGAAGCATGGTCCATCATGTTTACCATGGAGTCCATGACTGGTTGCTGGCTGACTTGGGAAGTTAGGATTTAAGCGCACAGTTCATTTAGGACCTTTTGGGTCCTAGTACCTCTTGCCACGTTTTGAGACCTCGCAAGCGCAAAGATTCTTACAAAAATGTCACAGTGAAATCTTGCCATTTGTTGTCGGGACTAATTTCACTTGAGTTCCACAGCTATCATTTTCTTACAATTGAATGGTGCTTGCTTTGGAGAAGTATAGGCACCGCTTCATTCGTCTTTGAGCACGCGGAATCACACTTTTGGTTGGACGACTGTTGTCAGTACGTCCTAACCGCGATTCGGAACAGCGCTCGATGCGATGAACTTCATTAGCTTGCACTAAAGAACTAACTCGTGGACTGCAGTTGCCCACGATGACGTTTCAAGATAGTTTGCGAAATGCACTCACCTCTGAACGGTGAGTTGCAAGGTTCCGACGACTCGTTTTGGAGAAAAATGGGTGGCACAAGGTGAGGCTCCCCAATTATAAGTTGGTTACACCAATGTTCATGCTAAACCCATTGTTACACAGTTATACATACCTTCTGGTAAACTATCATAGCTATTGGAAATGGCAATTTATAGTGAGTTTTCCCATAAAAAATGGTGATTTTCCATAGTTATGTTAGTTTACCAGAGGGTAGTTATAGTACAGTTTTACTTCTATCCCCAAGTTCACCAATTCATTTTTTTTCTAGCCCAACATAGCTAGTCAACTAACTACACTTACTGTCAGTTATATTTCTATTGTTTGTTATAATTCACCAATACATACAGGATGGGGCCCAGTCGATAGCGTTGAGTTGAGATATAAGTGGCTTAACTAACTATGGTTATTATGGTTTATGGTAGCACTATGGCACTATAACTATAGAATACTATAGTTTTCATGGGCTTTATAAACCGACTTAGTTGTACCCTCTGGTAAACGTTTACATAGCTATGGAACATCACCATTTTTCATGGGAAAATCCACTATAAATGGTCATTTTCAATAGCTATGTTAGTGATAACCAGAGGGTCATTGGGGGCACCAAGGCCTCACTCGCCTTCCAAGTGGCCATGAGCTCCTTGTCGCCTCTTGCACCGCGGGAACAACGCCTGGTGAGGAGCTGGGCGAAGGCGTTTTCATGGGGAAACTCCTGGGAAAATCGTGGATTTCATGTGGATCTGATGGGGATACCCTCTGGTAATTTGTTACATAACTATGGAAAAACACAATGTTTAATGGGAAAATCAACTATTTCTATGGGGTATTTTCTACAGCTATATGTTAGTTTACCAGAGGGTATCGGGATTTGATGGGGATATAATCCCATATGTCACCCAAATGTAGGTAAATATACCATATACATGGAGCATATGGGTAATGGGGAGGGAATATGGTTGGGTTCTATTGGAAATTGATTGAACTTGAATCAGCTAAGCTATGAGAACTTCATAACCATCAAACATAGGGGTTAAACACATGAATACTCGGTTTCTCTTGAAACAAGGCCCTAACATCTTAGGGAAAATGCTTAAACATGATCATAAACCAGTGGGTTTCAGATCACAGATCCATAATTCGTTGAGTTGATTGGGTTTCAGACCACAAAACAAGATCGATCACCAGAAGGTGCATCTGCTAACTCCAGATCCCCAGGCACAAGCCTTGCTTCTGCGGATGGATTCTCGCTTCGAAACCAGCGCTGCTGGGGGGTTCGTCAGATCGATTTTCGCAACTTTACCTCCGGATCTTGCTGATTTTGGCCGTCGACACACACACACACACATACATATATATATATATACATTTATTATATATATATATATATATGGTTATATATGGTTATTAATCATGGTTAATGGTTATTAATGGTGGTTTTCATGGCTAGTTGATGGTTATTACAATAATGATAATGGTAATAATGCCCCAACTAAAACAATAACTGGTTGGTGATTGGAACATTTTTTATTTTTAAAATGACAATCCCAACTGACGAGGGGTTGAATCCACCAACCAGTATAACACATATATATATATAACATATATATATATTATAAGAAAGTGTTTGTTGCAATGGTAGTTGCAACGAACAGAGTATGACCATATATGTAAAGATACACTAGAGCTACTAGCTTGCCATCAATTCAACTGCACTTTGTCAGTATTTTGTACCTTCACTATCAGACCGCGGACAACAGATGTTTTTGCAAAATCTCCGATGTTTTCACAAACAAGTACACATGCAGGCAAGCCTTTTCGGTCCTCTACTGCAGGAAATGAAAAATGGTCCACTACTGATGATGTTCCTATTGCATCCCATTAGAAAAACAACATTTCTTTCATCTCTGATGGTCATTTTCCATATCAGATTAGCAGTACCGGCTACCCACGTCCTTTTGTATATCTCCTTGGTCACGGGCCCAGGAACATTTGCTGCAGCTGCCTGCCACGGAATATCTGCTGCTTGGATCGAAAGTGCACGCATTTCACTGGACACGTTGAGAGAAATGCATGGGATATTGTTGTTTTTGTACTTATATATTTTTGTCATCATCATCATCATCATCATCCTCATCGTCATCGTCATCATCATCATCATCATCATCATCATCATCATCATCATCATCATCATGTGTTTGCTGATTGATGGTTCCACACAATAGCTATGTTTGATTGGTTCTGATAATCATAATATGCTGCTATGGTGACTATAAAATAAAATCAGATGCTGCTAACAAAATATTCATATCATAATATACCATAGCATTGATACCCTCTGGTAATTTGTTACATAGCTATGGAAAATCACCATTTTCTAGCTGGGAAAATCCACTATTTCTATGGTGATTTTCAATAGCTTTTTGTATGTTTACCATGGTGACTATCCAATCATAGAATTGGATTATGGGAAAATTTACAGGAAAGCCCTATATTTGATGGTAAAAACCATGGTTTCCGGTTAAGATTTTCCCTTAAACCAATCCAGTGATCCAAGTTGCCCTGAGAAAAAAAATCACTTGTCATCTCCCGGGTCTCGGTCTCTGTGAGACCTCCGTGACGTGACCTCCAAAGTCTCGGAAATTTCTTCGAAGCGAAGCCGAACGATCTCCCCCTGGGAATCCATAGGGTTTTTGATAGGAATCATCCCCTAATAAAAGCCGCAACTTACCCTCTGGTAAACATACAAAAAACTATGGAAAATCACCATTTTCTAGCTGTGAAAATCCACTATTTCTATGGTCATTTTCAATGGCTATGTTAAATTACCAGAGGGTAATTCAGGTTTGTGACATATTATTTCATTTACCCAGATGATTGGGAAAAAATGTGGAGAATTAACCAATGATTAGTAATGCTTATTAATGATTAATAGTGGTTAATGATGGAACATTAATGGGAAATCCTATTGGGTTTGCTGAAGATGATTGGGAAATCTATAGGAAATCCATGGGAAATCCTATTCTCCGTGGGAAATCCAATACTTGGGGAATCGATGAAGCGAATATGTTTTTTTTATTTTTTGGTTGTTCCTGAAGCAAATCCATGTATTGAAAAAGATGATGACTAGGGGTACCCCCATGACTCAGGAAACCTCCATATAATCACAAAAACACCATGACCAGGTGAGTCCCCCCAGGCATGAGTTGGTTTCTAAAGCCATTACCCCTAATAAAATATCTTCGGTAAAAACCCAAGTGAGTTATTTTTTGTCAATTTAGCATAACTTAAAAAAATCGAACAGGAGCTTCACCTTGTATCTGATAACAGCTATTTTCAGGCTAGTGAATTATTCACAATTATTCTAATTCAGCCAGATATTTTTCATACATAATCATGATTACATTTAATGTGGATAAAACAATGCCAGAAACCACCCCCCAATCGTCACCATAAATATATAGGTGCCATTCCATACCATTCCCAGTCATGGGTGGTTTGTCATTGCTTTACCCACATTAGTAACCATCAGTTGGAATATAACACTATTAATAACCATCAGGTGGCAATAGGTGGTATTAATCATCATTAACCATCATTTGGCACAAGGTGGTGTCCCATAGTTAGCTAAGTTGGTGCACATAGCTCCAATTTCACTATGGTTTATGGTAGATATAACTATAGTATTAATGGGGTTTATAAACCAACTTAGCTAACCTGCAGTAACTATAGTTATATCTATAACTTAGCTTAGGATGGTGCAAGTTGGTTTATAACTCCCATAACTATGGTTTATAAACCAACAAACATCACTGGGGGGCACCATCCTGCAGGTTCAGTCTGTCGCTGGCAGACTTCCAGTCGGCCCTAGAGGTCGCCGATGGCAACTCGGCACGGAGAGATACGGAGAGGGCGAAGCTGGTCCCACCGTGTTTCGTTTTTTTTTTTTGAGCCCATGACTACAAAGAAAGAAATACCATAGATAATTAATGATAATTATTATATATATATATATATTATTGTATGGTTATATATTTATAGAATACTCTAGAATATCTACCATTGGCCATAGTTTACTATATAGGAATGTACAGAATATCTACCATTAACCATAGTTAACTCCATAGAATATCTAGCATGAACCATAGTCAAACTTGTTATAAACCAACTTCGCTTACTATGGGGCACCATTTTGTCAACCTCTGTTGGCTTATGACCATATGAGCTATGGTCAATACTCATGGTTAATAACCATTAATAGGGGCTAGTCATCCAATGGTTCATAGGGATTTATAATAACCATTATAAGGATCCTTATTATGGATGGGATGACCATCAACCATATAGTGAGTATTGCCCATGGCTCATATACTGCCCTTCATATATTTGGCATGATGATAATCCATGGGAATCCCTGTGAATTCAGTCAGTACAGTATGATGGAATGAGAGGATTCCCAGGGTTCCCCCAATCAAGCACGGCCCATTGATAGATTTATGTTTCTTCCATTACCATGCCCAATTATAGGGATTTTCCCATCAGCATGTTTGATTCTTTGAGATTTAGCAAGCAACAGTTGAGGATTTCACAGCCAAAAGTGCGGTTTTCACCATGAACGATTGAGACTTAAACATGTTCACCCTCATTTACCACGGGTGTGTCCTTCAAAAACGTGGGATTACACCAGAAAAGTTATAGGGGGTATACAAACAAACCATAATGGGGATGAAATGGGACATTTCAAATGGAATAGAACCAACAATATGAGATGGGTGTGTCCAAAATGGGTTGGATGAACCCTCAATTTATAGCCATCAAATATTGCGGAAACTGATCATCATGAGATGGAATGGGGTATTGTCAGAGATGCCAAAAAAATACCAGTATCGGCTGATCATTTTCTTCAACGAGATTGGTTCTAAAGTTCTATATCCCATTATATGGGGATGGGTCAAAACCCTGGTACCTTTTGTTCACCCCAAAATAGCTGGGATTTATGGATGTGAACATCCCACTAAAAATGTATCTATAGGTATTGACCCATACCCATATACCCACGTGATATCCCCATGAAATAGCTATGGAAAATCACCAGGAAAAGTATGGTTAACTTCCAATTTTGGTGAACCTCCCATGACGATCATCCGGCTGGGTAACGGAAATAGGGAAACTCTGTGCATCACCCAAAAAATGACGCCAAACATTGGTCAGTAGATATGTCATCATTGCATCTATAGTTCCATATATACCATGTATTTTTTTTGTTGTTAGTTATTCCATGTATTCCAAAGATTCCGGTGACCGACCAATAGGATGGGTCCAAATGGGGTTTGATCCAACACCCAGTTTTACTCACCAACCGCGTTTAGGTGGTCACCAACCGCACGCCACATTTCAGCGATGACATTTCAGCGACCTATCGCATAGTGGAATGGGCCAAGCCATTTAGTATCGACATTGGATTGTTAAATGTGTTCATTGGTTAATCCACTGTCTTCATTATAATCAATATCTAATAATCTATCTGGTTGGTGGTTTGGAACATGAATTTTGTTTTTCCATAGATTGGGAATTTCATCATCCCAACTGACAAAGTCATATTTTTCAGAGGGGTAGGTCAACCACCAACCAGATATATAAAATTATATAAACATATATAACTATAGTTTCCCCATGTTATACCCTCTGGTAAACATACAGATAACATCAGATAACTATGGAAACTCACCATCTTTACCCATCGTTACCCAAGAAATGGTTAATCCAACGGAATGGGGAATCGACTGGAACCCAATCGAAGCTGGCAGAAATTCCCATTTCTGCAGCCATGGCATGTGACTTCGCAACTCCGATCCATAGTTTTCAAGTTTCAATCTCCTTATTTTTGTTTGGAGTCTCCGGATTTTTTGATGCTTGATTTGATACTGATCCGTCCATTATTTTTGAGATCCGTCCATTTTGATGATCAAATCCACCACTGGGGATGCTTAGGTTCCCCAATCTATGGAGAAATCATAGAATACCCCAGCATCCTCCTAAACGCGCCGCCTAGATACCATCGGCAAGCGCGTGAGTAGTGCACCTTGGACTCGAGCGAGTTATGAAAAAAGGCTTGGAGGTTGGTGAAAGTGTTGGAAATCGCGAAATGTGGTAAACCCAGTTATAAACCAACATAAACCAACTAACAATTGGGTTTAATGGTGATATAATTAATGATATTTTGTGGGATGGAAGTCATTTCATTTAGAAAGAAACAATGGGATAAATGGGATTTTATGATGATTTAATGTGACTTTAATTGGGATTTAACCAGAACAAATGTGGATAGTAGTGGGAATTACAGTACCTTCTGGCTATTTAACAGTTTGCTATGGTACAGTATAGATTCAATGACCCATGTAGTTCAATGATGTATGAGTTCAATAATTTATGATGATTTCTTGTTCTTAAAAGATGCTGGTTTTCCATAGCTACGTTAAATAACCAACAGAAACCAACTGAAATGGTACTGGGAGTCAACCAACAAAAACCAGGGTTGCTCCAATCCATAGGTGAATTTTGGCAAGGGATGATCATGTGTAATTCTACCATCTGGTTATGACTAACAGTTCGCCATGGAAAGATCCACCATGCTATTAAGTTCGGTAAACCAGCTATTTCGATTAGGGCCATGGCTCAACCATGGCAAACTGTGAATGTCATAACCATATGGTAATTTGATAGTATTTAACTATCACCATGAATATGATATTCCCATTCATGGTAGTAATATATCACTATTGATATCCCATCATCTGTGATATATTAAAATAATCCAATATAGTAATATAATATACTATGGTAATACTATTAATATAATGTTACTATTAATATACTATTGATATACGCTAATATATCCAAATTCTGAGCGAAGAAAAACGGCTTTTCCCAGGCGTTGAAGGTCTCTGGGGCCAACCTGGAAGCTGCGGGGGTGACGAAAACATTTTGGGGCCCCCGTTCGTTGGGCACCATTGAATCGCCATAAATCACCATGAAATCACCTGAAGAAACCCACAATGTGGGGCCCCCGTTCGATAGCGTTCAGTTGGTGCAAACAACTCCAATTTCACTATGGTTTATGGTACTTATAACATCTTATAACTATAGTTATGGGGGTTTATAAACCAACTTATAACTGGGGGGCCCCACATTGCAGGAAAGTGTCAGGCAATCAATCCCCAGCAGATTGGAATCTGTGTAAACTTTGAGGGTATGGCTTCTTCAAATTCCAGTCCATTGAAAGATACCAGTGGAGAAACAATGATAAACTAACATAACTATGGAAAATCATAAATTTTAATGGGTAAATCAACTATTTATATGGCCATTTTCAATAGCTATGTTAGTTTACCAGAGGGCAAACAATGATAATTATAGTATATCAATGTTCCATCATTAACCACGATTAGTCACTTATAACCATGACTAATCATCATAAATTGATGCAGTAAACAATTATAAACAAGTTCTGAATGGCTTCTGGGTCTCAAGAACGGTAAAATTGAGGTTCTGCATGACTTCTTCGGCTATCGCTTGGCTGGCGGCAATTACCTGGATGAGAACAGGCTTTCGGATGGCTCGGATGGCCTAGGTGTAAGATTTTGGAAGGGATCGGTTTGGTAGTATGTGATAGTATAGTTTGAAATTTCAATTGTTTACCATCTGGTTATGGCTAACATAGCCATGGAAAATCACCATGCTATTAATAGGTAAACCAACTATTTCTATGGGCCATCTATACCATGGCTATGTTAGTCATAACCAGAGGGTAAGATTTTTTAGCAGACATGTAGCTAATCATGGCTTTGCCGGCACTGAGTCTGACTATAAAATCTGAAAGATACATTTGCAGCTATAAGGCCTTTACATGTTCAAATCAGCCACATCCAGTAGCCCCAAAGGACACAGGCAAATGGTAGTTGATGTCTATTAGGGTATACTGGGGTTTGTCCTAGTTAACTTTGTGCCAAACAGAACTGTTGTGCCTTGATCAGACGATCAGACAGTCATTATTTGTATATAAGTGGTAAGCCAAATAATGATCCATATATCATATATCTGTTTTCACGACTTGAGGGTTTCAAATAAACCTCATAAGCGTTGCTGTTTAGCACGGGGTTTGCCACGTTGTCTGCCAACGTTATCCAAGTTGGCGCGGCAGGACCCCAGAGCAGGAAGCAAAAGCTCGCTGTCTGAAGGACTTCCTGGCCGCGGAGGAACAGGAGGCGACTTGGTGACCGTGACAGAGCGATGAGAGATGTTTTTGTTTGCCAGTAATGGACAGGAATATCTAGGTCAATCTTAGATGGATTATCTACTAATTCACCAGCTAAGAATCTACTATTTTTTGCAGGGTATCTGGCTGATTGGCACTGTAATGGACAGGAATATGTGGTGGATGTGACAGAAAAGCATGTTGATTTTGGCTTTGGGACAGGTGAAGGTTGGATTTTTGGTTCGCCATAGCTGCAACTCCGTCGTATCTCCGTCATTTTGACGTATGGAGGTTTCCTAAAATAGGGGTACCCCTACATCATCCATTTATAGATGGATTTTCTATTATAAACCAACCATTTCAAGAATTCCCCATTTATGGAAACCAACATATATGTATGTTTAACATATGTGAAAAACCAAACATGATGATATAGGATATGGAGATACCCCTAAATCATCTTTTTCAATCGGATTTCCCACATTAACCACTATTAATCATTAACCATCATTAACCACTATTAATCATTAATAACCATACAGAAATCATTGGTTAATTCTCCACATATAACCAATAATTAACCAACGGAGTTCAATTCCCTATAGATTCCCTATAGTATTAATCATTAACCACTATTAATACAGAAACCCAAGTTTTTCCCTTATAAAAACCATCCATATGGGGTACCCACATGTTCATGGAGGGAACCGTAATCCAGTTGGATGGCTTTCCGAGTCGGAGGTAACTTTCCGATTTCGCTCGCCAGACAGAAAAGACCAATGGAATCCTAAAAAAAGGGCACTGGCTGACATTCTGGAATTGGAAGATCCGCATTTAAATATATATATATATATATTATATATTATATTATATATTATATTATATATATACGTGTATATATATATATATATATACATATTTGTGTAACTATATATATATATATCTATACATATTGAAACCCGTATTTACAGCTGATTTCACCAGCAAAATATGTTGTTTCCCAGCCATGTTTGATACCAAAAAGGCTGACAACTCATTCCAGAGCTGGTTGGTTGCTTCACAGTTTTATTTTCATCCAGAAAAATGGAATGATGATCCCAAAATAATTTGTCATGGGGTGCCCGGACCATCAACCCAGCCCCATTATATCCCCGTATATGTTCCTTTTATACCATATTTAACCTGTACATAATCCATATTATGTATATATATATATATTATAATATATTTTAAATGCATATATATATATATATATCCCCATTGTATCCTCATATTTGTTGCTTCTATCCTCATTATTCATGAGATAAACGCCCCTGCGAAATCGCAGGCCTCGGCCGCATCTTTGTCGCTCCTGTCAGTGCCCTGGGCCTTCAGTTGTCCATCCTGGGCATTGGCGGTGGCTCGAAGGGCGATGGCTAGGGCAAGGGCAAGGGCGATTGGGCCATGGCTGTTGACTTTAGCTGAAGTACCCTTTGGTAAACTACCATAACTATGGAAAATCACCATGTTTAATGGGAAAATCCACTATAAATCACCATTTTCAATAGCTATGTTAAATTACCAGAGGGTAGCTGAAGTACAACCATCGGGCTTCCCAATGGATCCAGGAACGCATACTGTAAAAAAGCCACAAGGTTTCCTTAAATGGATCGCAGGAATGGAGAGTAAATCCATCCATGGATGTTAGGAATGCAAATTTAATGGATATAAACAGATGTTCCAGCAGGAGGGGTTCTGCCAGATGTGGCTTTCACAAACATACTGGATGGTTGCGAAAATCCTGCACCAGTTGGTATATTACCCTCCAGTAAACATACAAACAACTATGGAAAATCACCATATTTATTGGGTAAATCAACTATTTCTATGGCCATGTTCAATGGCTATGTGAAATTACCAGAGGGTAGGCTTATCCCATTATAATCAATCCCAGTCTTTGCAGTGTTTAATGGTTACGTAATAGTTACATATAGTTACCAACTAGTGCAGGATTTCGCAACCATCCACAGTATATGGATAAATGTGGTGTGCACCCTGGCTGCCATAAACCTACCATGACTATCCATGACTATAGTTGAAATCCCATTAACAAATGGTGATGACTTGGGGACGGTTTATTGGGATGGGTGTTGATGGACCCCGCTCAGGTTCGGATTGTGGCAGCACTTTGTGGCGTCTCGGCGATCGGTTGCATAGCTTTTGTCGTCTTAACATGGGGATGGATCACAAAAAAGCTACGGTGGAAAGGCGGTCCGATAAACCACCAATTTTAAGGACGGTTGAAACCCAAACAAAATTGGTTTATAAACCCCATTAACTATAATCACATTATATCACCTATAAACCATAGTTATTGGACTTATAGCCCTATAAATACTGGGATAAATAAATCACCGTTTTCAACTGGTGAAGATTGGGATTTCGCTGGCCCATCCAGAGCGGGATGAACTCATCATAATCCAAAGAATCCGACGAAAAGACCCGGTGATCTAGCAGGGTTTGGTCGGATGTTTGGCTGTTGGATTTTCAAGCGCCCATATTTTGGAGATGGGTCGCTACAGTTGGGCCACTTCAGAAAGTCCGATTTCTTCAGATATTCGAAGACTTTTTATGCCAGTGTTGATCTGTTCTGATTCTCAATTGCAGTGTTAATCCAGCTACCGTAGCCATATCATGGGGATACTACGGATGATTCTCATCCAAAAAATGATGGATGTTTGGTACTAAGTACTAAGATGCCCAAAATCGCATGTTTTTCTGGCCCTGACTTTAGATACGTACGACTAATTCAGGTGATCCAGAGCGCTTGCTGCGTCTGCACTGCGAAGATTTGCTCCTCATGACGCGGCAGGTGAGGTTGTTCTGGCGAATCTTCTGGAGTTGAAGGGATCAAAACATATCAAAACCTCATTTTGGTTGGTTTCACCCCAGATGTTTCGCGTTTTTTGGGGTGAAATCTCCTTCTGGTAGTCAAACAGGGCTGGCAATGGAATACACTCCGTGGGGTCCATCAGGTCCGATCACTGATGAATTTTCGCGTCGCAGCTGGCAATTCACTACCCTCTGGTTATGTCAAAATAGCTATTGAACATGGCCATTTATAGTGGATTTACCCATAAAAAATGGTGATTTCCCATAGTTATGTTAGTTTACCAGAGGGTAATTCGAAAAAATTAGGCCAGTGAATCATACCATCCGGCAATTCGCTGCATAGCTATTGAACATCACCGGTTCTTAGAGGAAAATCATCGGCCTTAGCTACGTAGCAAGTCAGGACCTTACCAGAGGGCAATTCCCACTAATCCCCATGAAATCACCATAAAGATGCATAAAATCCGTCGAAACTGGGCCGGGTGAAAGTCATTGCGCCAAAGTTTTACTGCTTTTTAGTAGATATTCCTATTATATCCTATTATGGGTTGTAGTACCCAATAAGCCAGTCTAAGCCCTTATGTTCACCCATCACAACAGGTATTCTGAATGGCTTATTTAAGTGATTTTCCGAAACGCTTCATGGAACTTGGCTACTGTGCGAATCCTAAGCTTAGTTGTCCACTTTGTTGCGGGCAGCCTATTTCAACTACTGCATTTCTACTTGCGATGGCTGCATCATTTTTTTCTCCAACCATGATGGGCCCTTTGCTGGGTCCATGTTCGACCCCTTTTCACCTAGGATCTTAATCTTTGGTGAATCTTAGATCCTATTCAGCAAACAGATCTTTAAAATGAATAGGATTCCCTAAGATCACCTAGGATCAAAAAATCTTTGGTGAATCTTATTCTTCACCTTGATCTTAGATCCTATTTTTTCCGAACTCCCCACGGATCTCAGATGCCAAACATGGACCCCGTCTGATCTCGGATCCCGAAAAAACTCGCCCTGGATCCTACTGGTCCAGGCCAAAAATCAAGAGCACTGCCCGTGGCGTCTAGCCTCAGTGTCGTGAGAGAATTTGGCCATGGCGGCCATGGCGGCCATGCCACCAGTTAAGACCCAAATTTTATTTTTTGAATTGGAATTTATCATGACATGAGTTTTGAAAATATATTATACCTTCTCAGTCTATCAACACGCATATATTACTCCGGGGTTGATATTGAGAAATGGACCCGCAAACGTTGTTGTTCCTTCTTCTGTCAAGCATTGACAAAAGAACCCCGCATCACTTGACCATTGGGTGATCCTTGGAAAGGCTTTGAAAAAACATGGTTTCCTTTGTGACTCACCTGTACATTACTTTGAGGGATTCAATCTTGACACCCACACTCTGCTATCACAGAAAGAAAAATGACGCTTAGAATGAACATGAATTAACAAAACCATGTTAAATCACCATCTTTTGATGATTCAAGAGCTGAGTCATGCCAACCATGTACCACGTGTAGAAACATCACTGCTACTTGAGCAGTCCTATGACCTTACTTGATGATTCGTTGAGACCACCAATCACTTCCAAAGTTTATGGAGCCATCTAACTATGGATATTTACCATAGACCCTATAGTTAAGAATGAATAAATGAATATAATACACCCATCTATTTAGTTAACCCCACTAGTTATAATCTATTTGTTGATGTAGATGGTTAAACCAACTTATACCGACCATCTACATCCATCTACCACAAATAGATATTATAAATAGCTTCACTTTTAAGCCAATAGGTTCACTTTTTTAAACCCAACCAAGCCATCTAACTGTATATATATATATATATATATCCACCATAAACCCATCTAGTTCACCCATCTGTTTTTCACCAAGCCATAAAAAAAAACGCTTGGACCGTCTGCGGTTTGTTCCACTGATAGGCTCAGCGGAGCCTTGCACTCCCTGGCGACCTTGGTGAAGCGCGCGGAGCGGAGCGGATCGGTGGTCGGATCTGGGGGACCTGGGTTTTTGCATCAAGAGGAGGTTTTCGTTGCCGCTGGGAATGATTCTCAATGATGGTTAATAGTGGTTAATAGTGGTTAATAGGAATGGTTAGTGGTCAATCAATGTTAGCTGGTTGGTGATAAACAAACATAGCAAGTGAAAATGGCCCAGTCGAAATAGTTGATTTATCCATCTAAGATTTACCCATCTAAGTAATGGTGAATAGTCTAGGTCAATCTTAGATGGATGCTTTAATCCTAACTAGTCGTTTGGAATGGGAATATCAACGTTCACCAGCAAAGAATTTATTTTTTTTTGCAGGGTATCTAAGATTGGCAATGATATGGTTAGCTGGTTGATGATTAGTAATGGTGAATAGTGGTTAATGATGATTAATTTTCATATATGATGGTTTTATTGTATTTGTTTTGGGGAACTCTAAAATTGGTAAATATGATATGGCTTAAATAGTAATAATATAGTAACAATTGTAAGCCGCCCCAATTTTGATGGTTTATAGTTTATACCATCCATTTATGGTGATTTTTGGGATGGTTTATTATTGTTGTAACCACATTAATTGGTAATAATAATAATATGAATGGTACTGATGCATATATGAATAATGAATGATATATGGTAATAACAATGATATTAATATGGTAATAATGATAATGATAATATGATTACCGTTATTGCCATAGTTAATGGTAATGATATGGTGAGTGTGTGGTAATGATGGTAATTAGATACTTAAATCTTAATATACATGTGTGGGATATATATATATATAATGGGGATTTACATATGGGGGGTAGCCACTACTATTAATACCTATAGCAGTTGACCCCAGTAATAGCTATTACGTTTTTTTTGTACCCCAAAATAGTGATTAATAATGATTAATAGATATTCATAGTGTTTATCAATCTTAGTAATTACCAACTGGATGGGTAGTGGAAAGTCCTTGAGTGTTTTGCTATAAAGGGAACATATTGAAAATAACCAGCAAGAGCCAGAGCTGACTTTTTTGTTTGGTGGAATATCAAAGATTGATCATGTATACGAGGGGTATCAATCTTAATAGTAATTATATATATAATCACTATTTTGGGGTAACCTGCCTTTTTTTTGTAGTCGGGACTTGTTAGTCCGGGATTGACATTAGAACTAATGGCAGAACCATAATATAATACTGCCCCTTGGGTACTGCCAGATAGCTGCCCGGAAAATCTCATATGTCAATTCATATATGTGTTTCTCCTGTTGGACATGGGAATTTCGGTTTTCCCACGGCCAGGGTAGATTCCTGAATGGTAAGAGCAAAACCAACGAAGACGGCGATGTCATTTGCAAAAACAGAAAGGCCCAGAAAGAGACACGGACACTTGCAACACAGGCCAGTACTAAACTGGTTGGTGGTTTGGAACATTCTTTATTTTTCCGTATATTGGGAATAGTAACCCCAACTGACTTTCACTAACTCATATTTTTCAGAGGGGTTTGTTGGCTCAACCACCAAGCAGTAAATGTAGCAATCGTTTACCCTCTGATAATCATGGAACTCGAAAACTGAACATTATATATATATATATAAAATCACCAACCATATGGGGTAGGGACCAACCAGTAAATGTAGCAATTTAACATTGCAATGGAAATTCCTGAACTAGACGGAGGTGGCTCGTTCGCTGGCGAAATCATGGAACTGGATGAAGTTTGGTTGTCCAGCCTGCGACAGGTTTGATGACACCAGAGGGTACTAGAGAATCTTCTAGAGACAATCTAGAGATAGCCTCTGGTAACCTAATGTAGCTATGGAGTCTGTCCATTTTTTTCATAGGTAAATCAACTATGATAAAGAATGCCATTTTCAATAGCAAAGTGTTAGTCATTACCAGAGGGCAATCAGATAAACCGAGAGATCCATCAATGGGAATTTCAGGATCCTAAAATAGAGGTACTGTACCATATAAGGCTATATTTTGTGGGGATATTCCCTTACATAGGCCTTATATAGGCCTTATATATGGTAGGTACCTCCAATTTAGGTCCCTGAAATGGCCATTGAATCCAGCCCCAGCTTCAGCATTTTCCTCCGGACGCATCATGACACGGCCGCCTGCAGGCATTCAGGAACGGAAGTCTGCGGCTGGCTGGCGGACTGTGCCTCAGGTGCTTTTTTCCGCCAGGAGTCGGATGAACTCAGTGAAAATCCATCATTCTGGGTAAACTATAACGACCTCACTGCGACCTCACTATAATCATAGTTAGTAAGGGAAATGATCCCCAAATGGCCTTAATTCAGGTTAGTGAAATATTATAATTTACCCAGATCATTTATGGATATGGGTTTGTCTAGAAATAGGTGATACCCCCAATACGAGCCATTTGAATAGGGAAAAAATTGTGGGAAAATGAGAACAATCCATTGGAATTCATTTGGGGTGCATTATTTTCAGACAAACACATATTTCCCGATGTATGACAAATAACTTAATGGGAACATTATATATATATGCACATATGTTTAGTTGAACTATATAACTAATGGATAATTCCCGATTAATGGATGATTTTCCCAGCTATAAATCTCCATATTTATTGTGGATTTTCTAGCGGCCCGCCACGTTTGACGACACCATTGCAGGTATCTTGTAGGCCTAGCCCACAGCATGGGTTGCACAGCAGTTGTCCATGATAAAACCATTCTCAGGCTGTGTGGATGCTGTCCTAGCTACGAGATGCTACGAGTAATAGATAGTAATAAATAGTAATGTCAACCCCGGATTAATAAACCCTGGTTGATTAATTGTGGTGGTTCCCCCAAAGTAATAAATGGCTACTGAAATGGTACCCCCCCCAATTAAACAGCCTAGGGTTTATTAATCCGGGGTTGACATTAATGATGAGATCATCATCCCAATGACCTGCATCTCAAGTATATAGTAAAAGTACAGTATATAAAACTACATACTGTATGTGATTTTGATTGATTTAGTGTCTTAAACATACTTTGCATTATCCAAGTCGAAAAGAGGCTGCAGTCGAGGGTTTTGAATCCGCCAGGCGAGGCTTATCCTCCTGCAGAGGTTTTTGAACTCGCAAGGAGATGGGGGTGGCAGCGTGCCGGACCTGTGTCCAGCATGCCCGTTACGCCGTTGGTGTCGGCCCAAACATGGCTAGAAAATCCGGGGAACATCCCTCGAAAGTTTACAGCAGGGAAAATCATATACAAATGGTGGAGAGTTCGTTTCAATGGTGATTTTTTGGAATTATACTGATTCTATGGGATGTGAAAATGTGATTATAGTGGGGATTCACCTTAAGATACATCGTTTAGTTATGGGATATTTTATGGGATGATGTTAAGCCTATTTGGCAATCGAGTCAAATACCCTCTGGTAAACTAACATAACTATGGAAAATCACCATTTTTAATGGGAAAACTCACTATAAATGGCAATTTTCAATAGCTTTTTGTATGTTTACCAGAGGGTATATGGCGGGGAACCATGGAGGTTTATAGTAGGGAGAATCATCCCGCCTGCGCCATATTTGATTGCCCGGTTGGAGGGTTGTCGACTACAAATATGTTGAATTTGGGTGACTAGACTTTAATCATAGGTCGGACATTTTTCGGGCTTGTACAGAATTCGCAAACATAGAAACAGTATATCCATCAGATGGTTTCAAATCGTGTTTGCCATTCTGGTTTGAAGATACAAAAACTGTCGCTGATCCGGTGGGGCCGGTGGGGTCACGCTTTCGATGGCGGCTCGGCTCAAGTTCAGTTTTGACCCAGAAAATTTCAGCGGCCGAAGCCAGCAATTCACGATGAGCTTGTCCAGAATGATGCGAGTCGGGCCTCTCGGGGGCCAAGCTGCTGTATCAAGTCGTCATGACGGGTGATTTGGGATGGCTGGGACTGTCCCAACACAATCAGCTGTGTGTTCGTTCATATTCATTCATATGCTAAGCTCAATAAGCTGTACCTATACTCGTGTCAGATACACACATCGACGACTGAGTATCCTCTGGTAACTCAACAATTTGACAATGGAACATGGGCCCGTTTAGTTCGATGATTTACCTATTTAAACATATTAGAAATGTCAATTTTCCAGTTCGGAAACTGTTGGTCATCACCAGAGGGTAATTCCCATGTATTCCCATTATTGTCCCTTTTCTGTTGGTTACATGCCCTTAACTTCTCATTGAATCAACATTGTAATTAAATCCCATTACCAGAGGGTAATCCCCATGCCTATCCCTATTTTTGTTGGACAATTTCTCGTTAATCACCATAAAATGCAAATATATGCCAATAAATCCTCATATCACCAGACAATTTCCATAAAATCACCATGAAAAAGCACCATTGAATCGCCATAAATCACCATGAAATCACCTTAAAAAAACCCAGAATGTGGGGCCCCCAAGATAGCGTTCAGTTGGTGCAAACAACTCCAATTTCACTATGGTTTGTGGTACTTATATAACTATAGTTACTGGTGTTTATAAACCAACTTATAACTGTATAATCAGTGAATCCACATTTTCAGACGCAGACATTCTCTTACTGGTTGGTGGTTTCAAAGATGAATGTTATTTTCCATGTCATATATGTCATCCTTCCCATTGACGAACTCGGGGGCCCCACCATTGCAGAAAGTCCCGCTGAGGTGCCCACCCTGGCAGCACGCCTGAGTCGAACATCGACGCTGCGACAGAGCAGGAGGACCTTCCTCACCGCGTCGGGGCCCGAGGGTGGGGAAAAGCCGGAGCGACGTAGGGAGCCATGGTGAGTTATGGGGATTTTGATGGTGATTTTATAGGCATTTATAGATAATGCCAACACCGGATTCATAACCCCCCCCCACCAGGTAGGTAGGTAGGTAGGTACCTTCTGGCTAGTTTTCTTGACAACCCCTAAATAAACGCACCCTGAACCATAAAATTCTGAACCATAAAACTTTGGATATGGCTTACGTCAATTAGATCTTAATAGAATTCCATTGGATTTGTTAAAATCTCATGGATCAGAAAGTGGGTTGATTAATCAGGGGCAAACCGTGGTTATTATTTTAGGGGGACATGGGCTCATGGGGGGGGTACCCTTTGGGAGCTATCCAAACTGATGATGTTCATAAAGATTTTAATTAGAAATCGATCATTTGGGGAATAGTTGTTTTTTGAAATTTTCAATGATCAACTTAAACCTTAAGTATAACAATGATGATGAAACAAAAAGTAAAAAAAATGGAAATAAAAGGAATTGGAAATAAGAATTGCTGGATAAACAAATGAATTTCAGCACTGGTGGTTGATTACTCGGGGGTAGGCCAAACGGTTTATTAATCAGCGGGGACCACCTGTATTTAAATTACATTTTTTGGGGGGGCAGTGGTGGTTGATTAATCTGGGGGGGTTTATTAATCCTCACTTGACAGTATTTCATGGTGATTCAATGGGATTTACTGACGATCAATGGTAATTAACAAGGGAAAAACATCTATAAATGGGATACTCGGATATGAAATGGAAGATGAATGATATACTAATGGCATATTAACACTTATAGCCGCCTTGTTGATTGGTTAGTTTTGAGGAGTTAGACTACCTGATTATTGTGGATTGTCAACAACTCATATTAGCGAAATATGTCAAGTAGAGATAGGGGTATGAATCACAGGCACTGGACTGTCAGGTGAGGAATGGCTAGTAGCGAAATTGACGAACAGAACTTGATTAACGCTTGGGTTGGGAGGATATAACGAACTTGTTACCCTCTGGTGAACTAACATAGCAATTGAAAATGGCCATTTATAGTGGATTTTCCCATGAAAAATGGTGATTTTCCATTGCAAAATGTTAGTTCACCAGAGGGTAATGGGATTCTATGGGACCAACTTATAACTGGGACAGTTGGCGGGATTCGATCATGGCTCTTAGCCTCCCTGGCAGATAGTGTTTCCTGTAGATGTTCAGCTTCGGACCATGGTTTTTTGGAGGTAACCGTAAGTTTTTTCAGGATGTCATCATGAGAAAAGCCATGAGCTTTGGATATTCAGTGCTGTTGTTTCAAGCATATCAGAACAAGAATCCCCAAACATGCGCATTGCAACGCCAAACAGTGTGCCCTTCAAACCGGAAGGGCAATTTTTTGATCAATAGGTGAGTTGATCAACAGAACTAGAAACTAGGCGAACTGGGGACTTATGGTGGAATTTTTGATGGGTAAATTTCATCACGACCTCACTGATCTCCCGAACCCTGGAATCATGGTTTTTATAAGGGAAATCATTCCCAAATGGCCGCAAGATTCAGGTTGGTGAATTATTATAATTTACCCAGATATGTCAAATGCTAACCCCGGATGAAAATAAACCGTGGTCGATTGTACAATTCGAGTGGCCTTGAAAATCATGATGAATTACTATTTTTCACTTGGGACCCCTATTGATAAACCAGGGCTTTATCAATCCAAGGTTTACATTATCTGGTTGGTGGTTTGGAACATTTTATTTTTCCAATACATTGGGAATAACGGAATATAATCATCCCAACTGACGAACTCATATATTCCTCAGAGGGGTAGGCTCAACCACCAACCAGATGAATAGATATCCATAGTCAGATTGGATTTTTTGAACCAAGTCATACTGTAACTGCTTTTTTCGCGGAATCTCCAAAGCCCCAAGCCAATGATCCAATGTTTGTTGGTGAAACCATTTGCATAACCCACCAGCGCAACGCATCAGCATTGGTGAAATCCCGAGTTTTCATGGTTTACAAATCCAGTTTGATGCTGAAAAATCATCAGTTTTATGGTTTAGAAATCCAGTTTTATGGTTTTGAAATCCAGTTTTATGGTTTAGAAATCCAGCTATATCGAGTTTTTTATATGGTTTTAGAAATCCAGATATCATCTTCAATCATTTTCAATCCCCACTTCATATCTGCAAAATGAGCCGGAGCTGGGTCATGACCAGAAATTTGACCAGGAATTCTTGAAGAAAGTTGCGTATACCTCCAGCCAGTATCCCTATTATATAAACATATACAATGTGGGGCCCCCAAGATAGCTAAGTTGGTTTATAACTCCAATAACTATGGTTTACGGTACTTACAACTATAGTTATGGGGGTTTATAAACCAACTTATAACTGTATAATCAGTGAATCCACATTTTCAGACGCAGACGTTCTCTTACTGGTTGGTGGTTTCAGAGATGAATGTTATTTTCCATGTCATATATGTCATCCTTCGCATTGACGAACTCATATTTTTCAGAGGGGTAGGTGTACCACCAACCAGTCTTATATTGTTAGGTATATCCTTATTAAAATATACCCGGCCTGGTAAACATACAAAAAGCTATTCACAATGGTGATGTTCCATCATTTTTTGTATGTTTACCAGGCCGGGTAGTCGGGTAGGATCACCGTATGATGGTGAACTCAGCTTTTTGTTGGTTTTGAAAAATCACAAGGTGAAAATCCATCCATCCTTACAAGGTGAGGTTCCAATGAAAAAGCTTGATTTATAAAGCCATTAAACTAGTTCCTACAGCCATGAACTAGTGGCTTAAGTATGGTTTATGGTAGATATAACGAACTAGTTAATGGATGTTAAGAACCAGCTCCTAGTAGCTAGGTCAATCCACTGGATGGGTAGAAACTAATCCTAACTAGTCTTTTGCTATGGGATTATCTACTAATTAAACAGCTAATAATTTGTCCTTTTTTGCAGGGTATCTGGCTGATTGGCTCTGATATGATTCAAGATCTTGGAGATGCAAAAAAGATTCTTCCGGCTTCAATAATTCCAAGTAGTGAACTCTTTTCCCAGGGTATAAGTGGGTGTATAATATAAAACCATAGATAATTATAACTACTGTAGCCACAAATTCACCAACCATTCGCCATTCAGACCTTAAGAAAGAAACACCTCGTCAACGCGAAGCACGAGGGTGTCACCTTTTGTCGTCAACTGATCAGGTCCTCAATGCGATTGGCAGTTCAGGGCGACGTCATTGGTATTGACCTGGGTGCGCAGGGACTTTCATGCTGCTCCCAACCCTAGGATCCCTAGGTCAATGAGAACCACAAGGGTGGTTTTCTTCGTCGTTTCACATCGTGAAACATCGCATGGTTTATCCATGTTTATCCATGTTTATCCAATTTATGCCCTGCTTCGTGGTTTGGAACATGAATTTTATTTTTCCATACATTGGGAATAATACTCCCATTTGACTAATATTTTTCAGAGGGGTAGGTATACCACCAACCATTGCCTCTTGTACCGGTGTTTGGAGCAAGGCTGATTTGGGGATATGATGGGGATATTGCAAGCCAAAATGACGGATACTCCATTTCCACTTGTTGATTTAACTGGGGACAAAACTGAATAGACCGGCATCGTACGGAATATTGATGGGGGCTGCAATGTAATGGGATAATGCTTGGATAAACTTGATATCAACCTCACTGCCACCCTGATTGCAAGGGGTAATAATTACCACAAATAGCCGAACTTTTCAGGTTGGTGAATTACTATAATCTATCCATAGTCAATCTCAGAGATTCTCTAGAGTGAGTCAGTAAGTTGATGACTAGATTGTTCAAGCCTTCAGAAGCGGGAGATGGGCTTGAATATTTACCCTCAGGTAAACTAACATAACTATCGAAAATGGCCCATAGAAATAGTTGATTTACCTATTCACAATGGTGATTTTCCATCGTTTTTTGTATGTTTACCAGAGGGTAGTAGATAGAGATAGTGGATCAGTGGATGGTAAAAAATTCGCTGCAGCAAAAGGAGGCTTGAAACAGTTGAAGCCGATGAAAATGGAATACCCTCTGGTAGACATACAAAAAACTTTTTGAAAATCACCATTTTTCATGGGAAAACTCACTATAAATGGCAATTTTCAATAGCTTTTTTTATGTTTACCAGGCCGGGGGGCGCCACAGTCGTCTCCCCGTTGCCGTCCCAAGCGGGGCCACGTTTTTTTTCAGGTACGACCAACAGTTGTGTGGCGATCATGGAGGGCAGCACGCCCAAGGTCATTGAGAACGCAGAGGGGATGAGAACCACTCCTTCTTTTGTAGGCGCGGGATTTTTTCGGAAATGTGGATTCACAATGGTTTATGGTAGATATAACTATAGTTAATGGGGTTTGTAGGCGCTGGATTTTTTCGGATCAGTGTCATCTTTTGTCGGATGAAAATCCCATGTGTAATGGGAAAATCATCCATAAAATCATCCATTGGTTGAATCGGAAATGTGGAAGAATTCTATGGTTTATGGTAGATAGAACGTATAAACCAACAAACACTGGTTGGTGGGTGAATTTACATGAATGGATTATTTTCCATGTCATATATGGGATATATAATCCTTCCCATTGACGAACTCCATAATTTTTCAAGATGGTTAAAACCACCAACCAGGGATCATGAGCTGGGGAATCATGTCAATTTCAGATATTGAACTGGGAAGATGAAATTTGATGACAGAAATTGAACTATGTATAACTAAGTGGAATGAAAAGGGAAGCCCTTTTCCGTGTGCAATCAATTTGTAGTGATATGGTACGCATATGGTTGTTGGATATTGCTTTTAACATATCTGTATGTTACCCGCTGCCCTTAGTATTGTGGCTTTGCGCCTACAGTGCTTTGGCGGCAGTCTTGGTAGTAAAAACATGTTTTGATCGGTGATCCATGCTTCACAGTAACATTGCCCAGTCAACACAACTCAAAGATGTATTATATCATTAATAATACATATATAGTATGGTTGTATATATTATATATATACACTATATATGTCCGTTGTCATCATGCTATATGCTAGTAAAACTGTGAAGAACTCTTTGGTTTCATCCAACTTGAAGCTGGATCTCCCTCGCCATGTCGACTTCTCTGGGTCATGCATCAGATGTACCTCGCAATGATGGCAATCAGTGTTTCCTAATTGAACATGACACATCAAAAAGCGATGATTTTGGGGGTTCACCTATGCCTATTGTTTTTCAACTCATAATATGACATACACTAGTCAAACTTATCTGACTGATACACTTACATGTTTTTTTCCCTTCATTGATACTGGTTCATTGATAGTTAAAAAAATGATATCCCAAGTTCTAAAGGTTATAGGGTAGACAATGTTTTCACATGTCTGCACTGATCATTCAATGTGTGTATAAAACCCTCTGGTAAATTAACAGTACCCTGAAAATCACCGACTTTTAGTGGAAACTAATCTTCCAAATTCTATCTGGCAGGGTCTATGCTAATTTACTGGAGGGCAACCTATGTTTCTTGGTGGTGAATGGTCCCTTCACTTTCCGTCGCCTGAACAAGATCCAGGCTTCACCAGCGACGGTCAACGTCTCGTGGGTATTCCTGCCAAGCGTCAGGCGGCGACGATAGCCAGTCGGTGAATCGGATACAGGATGGGGCCCCCCAGTTATAAGTTGGTTTATAAACCATTATAATCCCCATTAACTACAGTTATATCTACCATAAACCATTGTTAAGCCACTTATAAACCAACTGAACGCTATCTTGGGGGCCCCACATTGTAGTCCTTAGGATGCGGGAAACCCAATAATAAAATGTGGGAACCCAATCATAAATAAATGTGGGTTATCTATGATTAATGATTAATGATTATTGTACGATAGCCAAGAATGGTGTTTCATGTGGGCAGTGGCGCTAAACTAAGCTAAACCCTGTTTGGTTGATCATTTTTTTGTTTGGGGATGATTTTCTACCTACCCTTCAAAAATCTAGGGAATTATCATCATCCACGAACGGGGAATTTATTCCCATAAATAAATAGGGATTTTCATATGTGATATATAAAGGGAATTATAAACCATATCCCATAGGATCCATGTATGGTATATATGCTAACATTGGGGATATATTGATGGTAAATGTTACCATATATAGCATACATGGATCCTATGGGTATTGGGAAAAATGAACTAATTATAATCATCCACTAGGGAAATCCCTATTCACCAATCATAAACCCAAGAATCGGCAACCCGATCATGAACCTCGCATTTGTGGATGATTGATACCACCCATAAAAATGTTGATGACTTGGGGATGGTTTATGATTCAGTTTGCCACATGAATGGGATGTGACATGGATTATTTTTTTGTTGGACATAAATACCAAAAAGAGAGATATGATGATTTAGTATTCATGGTTATTTTCTTTAAGGTTTTGCCTGACGTAAACTAAGGTTTCAGGTGAGATGTAATAGGAATAATTAGTTTAGAAGATATGGGATAGTCGTTTGTTTAATTTTGTTTATCAGTGAAATGTGGTAACTGTTTTCAAAATGCCTGAATTTACAGTGACTTTAAACCTTCGACCCAATATTCATGATTAACCCAATATATATATATAATATATATATATATAATGTCTGCCCTTGATTTAACAATAGGGGGCCCCCCCCCCCCCTCTCTGACCCTAAATAAACTTAAAGCCACCATAAAACTTGTTTGTAAGTAAAGGTTTTAAATTACCACAATTGAAAACGAATACATAAAATGCAATTTCAAAAAAAAAAAGGAATCCAGCAATTGTTTTAGTATTGATCTAGTATTCATCTCATGGATTTAGTATTGATTTAGTATTCATGTCATGGATTTAGTATTGATTTAGTATTCATCTCATGGATTTAGTATTGATCTCGTATTCATCTCATGGATTTAGTATTGATTTAGTATTCATGTCATGGATCTGGGCAAATCTGGGTTTAGGGCCAAAAACAATTAGCTTTATTCAGGGTCAAACTCTAATTAGTGCCAAGGCACCTCATGGGGGGTACCCTTGACGAGTTGATTTGGGATTGATTTTGGATAAATTTGAATAAAGGTTTTGAATAGAAAAGAGCAACCATTATTTTTGAAAATTTGAAGTATCAAGGTAAGATCTAATGAGCTGGCAATATGAATTAGTACATGAAAGCCACCTCAAATAAAGCATGGAAAAAAAAATCAGCCCCATCTGGGCAAATCTTTTAGGGCCAAAAAAAAATAGCATTATTTAGGGGGCATTTATTATTTATTTTGGGAAAAATTTAGCATTATTCAGGGGGCATTGATAAATCAGAACTCAACATTATTAATGATTGCCCCAATGTTGATTACCCAATATTACTATTATTAATGATCAACCCCATATTGTTGTACCACACAATGATTACCCCACGTTTGCAAAAGGAAAGTAGATGTTCTCAAGCATGAATTTTGGGTGGTTCTTCAATGGTTGTTTAAGAATGGGAAAACTCATGTTCTCAACCCGTCCATTCCAATACCCTTTGGTACACGAAGATAGCAATGGAAAATGACCAATTTATGAGTTTATGTATAACTATTCAAGTAGTTGATTTATACCTATTCAGGTGGTGATTTTCCAGTTCGCAAACCTGGTTGGTGGTTTGGAACATGAATTTTATTTTTCCATTCTGTTGGGAATTTCATCATCCCAACTGACGAACTCATATTTTTCAGAGGGGTAGGGCTCAACCACCAACCAGAAACTGTTACCCTCTGGTTATTTAACATAGCCATGGAAGCCATGGCCCATTTATAGATGGTTACCTATTAATAGCATGGTGATTTTCCATGGCTATGTTAAATAACCAGATGGTAGCATCACCATTTTTAATGGAACCATTGAATCCCATTAAAACACGCTATTTCCCCATAGTTTTCAGAAAAACCCGCGGTGGAACGCCCTTACCGCGGGTGAAAGCCCTCCATCTCGTTGCCAGCGCCAGGCTGTCACCAACTCAGAGAACACCGTCTTCGCTGCCAAGCGTCGCTTGTCTCGGGTGGGGATGGCGAAAAAAAAACGGGTTGGATTTCCATGGCAATTCCAGATTTGATGATTTTTTCAATGGTTTTCCAAAAGTTTGGCTCAACTAGATTTTGTGTTTTGTTCTCTAATGGAATCCAATGTTGGGGCAAGAATGACTCAGACTGAATCGAAGCTTGTTTTGGAGTGTTGTTTGGATAAATATCTTTTGGTTTGATTATGTTTGATTCGATGAATAGTCATGAATGTAAGAAAATTTATATCCAAAATCCAGAAACTATACATATTGAACCAACAGTTAGGTACCATTGAAACACCTCAAGAAATCCCGGTGGGAATTCCATACCGTGACCACGTGGAGTCGCCGAGCCTCGGCCCAGGACTCATCGGCCGATCCTACGATGATGAGGCGACCCAGAAGGACAAGAAGGTCCTGCCGTACAAGGCCTCGGGTCAGGGAACAATGGAACCAATTCGGGGATTCCACCGATTCCACCTGTGGAAAATTCGACGAAGCTCGAAGAACACGAGAAAAAATTGGGAGTTTGGAAAACTCAAGCTGTAGCGGTAGCTAACCTATATCCATATCAATGAGTTGGTGTTGGTCCTGTTGGTGATTTCAATCTGGTTGGTGGTTTGGTTTCCATGAATTTTATGACTTTCCATTCAGTTGGGAATGTCATCATCCCAACTGACGAAGTCCATCATTTTTCAAGATGGTTGAAACCGCCAAGCAGCAATGGTTTTTGTTGTTCTTGAAATCCACCCAAAAGGGGAGAATCCTCACAATTGGTGGCTGGACCAAATGACTTGACCCATAGCAGGGACTGTCTACTGCTTGCCTGGTGGAAGTTAAACCTGTGTCTAGACTTCGTGGTACCCGAAGAAATGGGATCATCATCCAAGAAGCTTGGAATCTTCGGAGTTTTGTCTCAGTATCAATCCACAATGTGGATGCCGCGAAAGAAAAAAACGCGAAAGAAATGACGAAAGAGAAGAGCGAATAATAGGACCAAACTCATTGGGGTTTGGGCAATAGCTCACATTTTGAAGGGTAGATCAGCCTATATCAGCCTATATAATCCTATATACTTGTATAGAATTCTATAGATACACACTCATGTTTTCCGATATGTCCAATTTTGTTGGCTGCATCCGAAAAAAAAAAATTGTCGCCCGTGCAACAGAAACTGGCATGGCTGCGTGGAAAGCTTGAGATTGGGGCCTGAGTGATTTTTCGATTAATGGTGGATATCTAGCAAGCCATCCTTGTTGAAACATTGTACCCTTGGATCATATTAGTACCCATATAGTGTTTTATTGGGATTCAATGGTGATTCAATGGGATTTAATTGGATTTAATGGGATATATGATGGTATAGCCTCTGGTTATGTCAAAATAGCTATTGAAAATGGTCATAGAAATAGTTTCTTTACCCAGCTAGAAAGGCATGGTGATTTTCCATAGTTATGTAAACGTTTACCAGAGGGTAGCTCATGCAGCTCTTCAATTGGAAGTCTGAGACAAGAATTTGATGGCCTATCTGATGAAGTTTCCCATCGTTAAACAGCGACAGCACGATCCGGGATGGCAAACATTGGACCAAAGTTCAAGTCCCTAAGATTCATGACCTATAAATTGGTGCCCCCTAGTTATAAATTGGTTGAAATAACCCCCATGAATACTATAGTTATAAGTACCATAAAGTACCATAAACCGTAGTGAAATTGAAGTTATAAACCAACTTAACTATCTAGGGGGCACCACTTTGTACCTATCATATCCATTCATATCCTATCCTGGTTGGTGGTTTGGAACATGACTGGATTATTTTTCCAGAAACAGTTGGGAACATGTAAAAACCCCATTTGACGAAGTCCATGATTTTTCAGAGGGGTGGCGACAAACCACCAACCAGTATCCCATTATTCATTATAATCTAGAATGTAGATCAATAATAATCATTAGACAATGAATTACAGTATCTATTATAATGATCCAAGTAATATCATTAGATTATATCACCATTAGATCTATAATTTATATCCCATCCTCCAGCAATGATCGAAAACAAAATCCATTAGATCCCCATTCTATCACAGTAAAATATCCCGAGATTAGTCTTGCTGGAAAACCTCCACGGTTTAATGGAGGATTTCCCAGTATCATCATTTATTGGATGATTCAATAGTAGTACTGAGTACTGAGTACTTATTCAACAGTAGCAATGTCAACCCCGGATTAAACCATGGTTTATGAAAATTTGAAAAGTACTCCTCCAATAGTCATTTCATCTGATACTTAAATATACTTACCCTCTGGTAAATAAACATAGACCCCGAAAATAGCAAATTTTTAATGGAAACTAGTCTTCCAACCCCTATCTGCCAGGGTCTATGTTAATTTACCAGAGGGTAATTAAATGGTACCCCCCAACTCAACAGCCGTAAACGGGCCGTTCGACCTGCAGGTGGTGCGAGCCCCCAACGGTGATGCCTGGATCGAGGCAGGATGTTTTTTCGCTATCCCTCGGTTAAAGTCAAATCAGATGGAAAATGTTTGTACATCTGGGTCAACCTTGGTTAGATAATGTTAGATACTAACATATACTAACTATGTCATATATATATTTATAGATAATGTTAGATACTAAGTATATCTAACTATATCTATGTACAACTCTTCATCTTTTGCTATGGTAGATTTACATCGATTTTACCAGCTAAAAATCTGAGATTTCTTTGTTTCTCGCGTCAGGCCGGCGGTGAGAAGTATGCACCCAGCCAGATTGGAGCCTTCGTCCTCACCAAGATGAAGGAGCTGCGGGAGAAATCGCGATTTGTCTAAAATTTGGTAGAGATTCTAGGATTCTAGGTCAACCAAGATAGCTAAGTTGCCTTATAAGTGGCTTAAGTATGGTTTATGGTAGATATAACTATAGTTAATGGATGTTAACAACCACCTCTATACTAGGTCAACCTTAGATGGGTAGAAACTAATGCTAACTAGTCTCTTCGTATCAATGGGATTATCGACGTTCACTTCAGCAGCTGAGAATTTATTTTTTTTGCAGGGTATCTAAGATTGGCACTGAGATATAGATCCAGTTTCACTAGGACGTATGGCAAATATATATATATATATACATATTAAGTATGCTATTCATGAGGTGAAGATAAACCAACCCACATGTCACTGGCCTCACCTTGCAGCACTAATCGTTTTGGAAGATGAGGCCAGTGGTGTTTTGTAACGCCAAGAACTGCTCGCGGACGACTGAAAATGAGGTTTCCTAAGTCATGCGCAAACCCCCAAATGCATTGGAAGCTTTCGGATTTTCGGATTGAAATCAATCATTCAGCTATTGGAGATTCTTATGGGATTTTTGGGGTACCCTCTGGTAAACAAAGATAGCTATTGAAAATTGCAATTTATATCCATTTATAGTTGATTCACCCATTAAAAATGGTGATTTTCCATAACTAGTTATGTTAGTTTACCAGAGGGTAGCCTTATTTTAGGACCCCCCCCCATATTGGCACTGCTAGCTTGATTTTTTTCCGACAGGAGACTGCTGAAGCATACTTGGGCAGATACTTGGAAGGCAATCCTGGACCAGTATCGTTTGTGTTGGGTCGACTGGTAACAGTTTGGGTATAAATCAAGGGAACATTCAAAACATGTCTGGTTAGTGGTTTGAAACATGAATTTTATTTTTCTATAATATATGGGATAATCCTTCCCATTGACTAATATTTTTCAAGATGGTTAAAACCACCAACTAAAAAATGTCATGCACATTTCATGGTGATTCATGCACGGGAAAACGCGACGCATCCACTTGTCTGCACCTAAGAATAGCCTTGGTCCTTGGATCGAAGGACATTCGTGCCGTACTTCCACTGGACTTAAGATTCCGTTGGCCAGGTAACCAGATTTCGCAAACACTTCCGAACCTCAGAAATCACTGCGTCTAATACATATGATACACGAGCACAGCCTCTTGGTCAACCCGCAGTGAAGAATTTGCAGAAAATTAGGAGCCAGAGATGCAGGTAAAACTTGGTTCAATTTTCTGCTCTATTCATATGGTGGATGATGGTGGAATATTTGACATTCTATAGTAGAAAATCAAGTTCAGTAGCAGGTCCAAAGAAACAAACGTCAACTTTCCACACCTTTTCCAGCTCCAACTTTTGCAAATTGCTACCCCCAAGGCTACCCCCCATGTCTATTGCTATGTTGTAGCAGCTACCCTTAGCACGCCCACGTTGCGCCACGTTGCACCACGTTGCGCGTTTTGGCGCTCAGGAAACGTGGGCACGGCCGTGATTACGGTGCCGGCCTACTTTAACGATGCACAGAGACAGGCCACCAAGGTGCCAGCCTTTGGACAGCCGATTGGATGGGTCGAAATTTCTATCTGAACCTGGCCCATTGGCTATACCCATAGGATCCATGTATGGTATATATGCTAACATTGGGGGTATATTGATGGTAAATGTTACCATATATAGCATACATGGATCCCATTGGCTATAGAAAATCACCAGCAAAAGATGTCATTTTTGTGGACGATCAAAGATTGACCATTTTTTTAAGTACCCTACTACAACGTTTACATTGTGGAAGCCATGGCCCAGCAATAGATTGATGGTTGGCTATGACATATGGGTGAATTTTTACAGCTATGTTGCCTGTACAGGAGGATAATCCAGAAAAAGATAGAAGATGATAGAAGTTGGTAAAATCCTATAGGAAGATAGTGATAGTATGTGATAGTTGAGAATTTACCGGTCTATCGCCATATTTCTTGGGTTGGTAATCAGTTCATGTTCATAGCAAATTATGTATATAATTACTGGTTGGTGGTTTCAAACATGTTTTATTTTCCAGAATATGTGGGATAATCCTTCCCATTGACTAATATTTTTCAAGATGGTTAAAACCACCACCCAGATTATAAATATATATATATTATATACAAGGATTTCCATTAGGTGATGGAGAATCATAAACCAAATATACCATGGTTTAAGCCAAACGCACATATCATTAATCTACCAAGTATCTACCATTACCAGGGACCCTCCGGCAATTATTTACCAGGAACATCCAGAGGATTTTCCTTCTTACAATGGATTAACCAGACAGTCATACTTTATGATCACAGAGCATGTGTTTCCCAAGTTGAACTGGCCAGAGTCACAAAACCAAACCTCATTTGCACTCCCTAAAGTTAAAAACTGGAACCCAAAACTGGCCAAATCATCCGGAAAATTATACAGACATATCCAGACCACAGATTTTTTTCATATCTTGTGGGTTCCGTCTTGAATTTGAATAGTGTACCCTCCAGATGCCCACCATTTTCCGGTGCACCGTTTCGGTTTCGGCATTTTGGTACAAGATGCCCCCCCCCAGTTATGTATAGTTATGTTAGTTCATAACCCGCAATGACTATATGGAAATTCATATGAAATCCTCATGTTTCCTCATTTTTCTATATTTTTCTTGGTAAAATAAGGTTTTAATCGCCATTTTCCTATGGTTTCCTTGTTGTGGTTTCGCTCTTACAACGCGGCCCCACCACTCCGGCCATCCCGCCCTTGCGCCCTTGGCCAGGACGCTGGAAAGATCTCAGGCCTGGATGTGGCGCGAATCATCAACGAGCCCACGGCGGCGGCTTTGGCCTTTGGCATGGACAAGGCCGGAGGACCGGAGGACCAGGTGAGCGATACTAATGGATCTTTTTATGGGATACTTTAATGGATGTTAATGTGATTTTTAATGGATATGAATGGTATATTGATATTGATATATAGGATATAATGGGATATTCATGGGATACTAATGGATTTTTTAATGAGATATTATATAATGGGATATGAACGGGTAACGGGATATTGATATTTTGACATGTCCACTAATAAACAATGGAAACATCATAGGAACATGTAGGAAACATATGGGACATTTTCTATAAATGGAGGTCTTAATGGGGAAAATGATCTAAAATGAATGGGACAAGCATCTATAATTGAGCTAGAATGGAGGTTTTAATATGTTTTAATGCGGAAAATCATCTATAAATGGGAAATGAACCCCTCATTAAATAGTGGACGACTGTGAATGATATACGATTTTCAATGGCTCAATTTGACACCCAAAGATCCGAAGATTCGAAGAGCAACAACTGGATGTAGATGATGTAGATCAAATGAACCATTGCAAGGTATTGCAACCATTGCATACATAAAACTATAGTTTTCCCATGTTATACCCTCTGGTAAACGTTTACATAACTATGGAAAATTGCCATGCTATTAATGGGTAAATCCACTATAAATTGCCATTTTCAATAGCTATGTTAGTTTTCCCATGTTATACCCTCTGGTAAACTAACATAACTATGGAAAATCACAATTTTTAATGGGTAAATCCACTATAAATTGCCATTTTCAATAGCTATGTTAGTTTTCCCATGTTATACCCTCTGGTAAACTAACATAACTATGGAAAATCACAATTTTTAATGGGTAAATCCACTATAAATTGCCATTTTCAATAGCTATGTTAGTTTTCCCATGTTATACCCTCTGGTAAACTAACATAACTATGGAAAATCACAATTTTTAATGGGTAAATCCACTATAAATTGCCATTTTCAATAGCTATGTTAGTTTTCCCATGTTATACCCTCTGGTAAACTAACATAACTATGGAAAATCACAATTTTTAATGGGTAAATCCACTATAAATTGCCATTTTCAATAGCTATGTTAGTTTTCCCATGTTATACCCTCTGGTAAACTAACATAACTATGGAAAATCACTTTTTTTAATGGGTAATTCTATATAAATGGTCATGTTCAATAGCTATGTTAGTTTTCCCATCTTATACCCTCTGGTAAACTAACATAAGTATGGAAAATCACTATTTTTAGCGGGTAATTCTATATAAATGGTCATGTTCAATAGCTACTAGTATGTTAGTTTTCCCATGTTATACCCTTTGGTAAACTAACATAACTATGGAAAACCACCATTTTAAATGGGTAAATCTTTATAAATGGTCATGTTCAATAGCTATGTTAGTTTCCCCATCTTATACCCTCTGGTAAACTAACATAAGTATGGAAAATCACCATTTTTAATGGGTAAATCTATATAAATGGTCATGTTAAATAGCTATGTTAGTTTCCCCATCTTATACCCTCTGGTAAACTAACATAAGTATGGAAAATCACATTTTTTAATGGGTAAATCTATATAAATGGTCATGTTCAATAGCTATGTTAGTTTTCCCATGTTATACCCTTTGGTAAACTAACATAACTATGGAAAATCACCATTTTTAACGGGTAAATCTATATAAATGGTCATGTTCAATAGCTATGTTAGTTTTTCCATCTTATACCCTCTGGTAAACTAACATAAGTATGGAAAATCACCATTTTTAACGGGTAAATCTATATAAATGGTCATGTTCAATAGCTATGTTAGTTTTCCCATGTTATACCCTTTGGTAAACTAACATAACTATGGAAAATCACCATTTTTAACGGGTAAATCTATATAAATGGTCATGTTCAATAGCTATGTTAGTTTTTCCATCTTATACCCTCTGGTAAACTAACATAAGTATGGAAAATCACCATTTTTAACGGGGAAATCTATATAAATGGTCATGTTCAATAGCTATGTTAGTTTTCCCATCTTATACCCTCTGGTAACCTAACATAACTATGGAAAATCACCATGCTATTAATGGGTAATTCCACTATAAATGGTCATGTTCAATAGCTTTTTGTATGTTTTCCCATGTTATACCATGGTTGATTTATGAGTTTTCAGTCCCATACCTTGGTAGTTGACATAGATGTGGAAAAAGCTATACACAAAGCCATTCCAAGAATGATCTACATTCATGAGGTGCAATGTGGGGCCCCCCAGTGATGTTAGTTGGTTTATAAACCCTTATAACTATAGTTATTTGCGTACCATAAACCATAGTGAAATTGGAGTTATATGCACCAACTTAGCTATCGAACGGGGGCCCCACATTGTGGAATTATTTATACATATGTCTATTACAACTATAAACCATTGCAACTATTACACTTATGTACTATATATATATATATGTCTATAAGTTTTACCATGTTTTGGGATTGGTGACTTACAGTACATATAAAATTCAATATACAGTAGAATTCAAATTTGGGCAGCAGGTTCTGAAAAGGAAGCGCTGTGCCTGGTTGAACAGTGACCCCCTGGTAACTTAGCATATATATATATATATACACCAATGCTTCAACAGTCAATCCCAATGATTTATGGATACTTCCGTATGTGGCCACTGCTTGATCTAAGATTGGTATCCCACCTCTTGCGCTGGATCAATGATCATAAATGACATGAATAATGAGCCGACCGAGCCCTGATAATTATGTTGTTCCAAAAGGACATCATTGATTCATACTTAAAAAAAAACAGTTCGATGTTCGATGTTCGAACTGATCAGTGATTTTTTTCCGACATCTTTCCATCTATATATTTCTAGCAGTTCCTCCAAAGAAATCCCCAAAAAACACGACGCCACAGGGTGGAGACGGCCAGATCCTGGCGGTTTATGACCTGGGCGGTGGCACCTTCGACATTTCCATCCTGGAGATTTCCGGGGGCGTTGCCTGGCCCTGGTGGACCCGGTGATGGACAACCTGGAAAGGACGTGGAACCCCAAAGAAGCCGGTAAAAAAGGCTGTGAAATAGCCAGCCATTTCTTATTTTTTGGGAATTTTATGGCTTTATTTCGTTTTTTTTGGGTTGTTTTGGGGTTGGGATGTCCCAACATTCATCCGAAGTCCAAGGGAGACCCCAAATTCCATTTTGGGGTAAAAAACATGACAAGTCATGGTGAGTTGTGTATACTCAACTGGCTGCTCTACTTTTCCAGAAATGATATAATATATAGAAATTATATAACATCGCTGACGACTTTGATGGGGGTTCGGCCATTTTGCATATGCATTAGCAATAGCGAATGAACACCAGAAGTGCCCCGATTCAATTTATATGTTAAATTTTCTTGATGATGCAGTTTCGATCAGTTTCGCCTAATTCAGCCACAAAAGTTAGGCAGGGTGCCAGATGCATTGGTTCTTGATCTCATTCCTTTTCATTTCTTCATCCACCAAATACAGATCTGCAAGGATACCCAAACAATCAATGTTGACTTGAAACTCCCCGTGAAACAAGAGCATCTATAAAAGGGATAATAGTTCAGTTCCAGTGATTTTTCTTGCTTCTAGAAATCCATTTTGCGCTGGATTTCTTCGCAGATGTTTCTGGGTGTACATAAACTGGTTGGGGGTTTCAAACATTTTTTATTTTCCATAATATATGGGATAATCCTTCCCATTGACTTTCATATTTTTCAAGATGGTTATTGCACCACCAACCAGAAAAACTATGAAAATTAATATTTTCTAGCTGGGTAAATCAACTATTTCTATGGGTGTACATAAAGCCATGCTGAGATTGACCTTTTAGAGATCTGTCGAGATCGATCATCAGGCTTGCTCCAAGCCATGGGTGAATCATAGCCACAAAGGGGAAAAATATTGGTGATTTCAAACCTCTTTCTTCAGAAAAGTGGTCCCAAACAGACGTATTCAGGATGTTGAGACATGTTGAGACCCTGATAATCACAGTAAATCCAATTATATCCCCATGAAATGCCCATTTCATGCTATTTATCCCATTATATTCCTCATCAATTCCATTCAAATCCTATTAAATTCACACTAAATCCCATTGAAGCCGGTTAAATCACCACTTAAATCCCATGAAACCCTCAGTTAATCATCATTTCATGCCATGGAAACCACAGTTGAATCCCCATGAATTCACCACTAAACCACCATTCAATCACCAGTTAATCACTAATAAACCAACATTAAATCCCCATTTAATCACCACTAAACCAACATCAAACATCTCATGATTTTCGTATGTATATATATATATACCACTTGCTGGTTGGTGGTTTGGAATATTTTTTTAGTGTTTCCATATATTTGGGAATAGTAATTCCAACTGACTTTCACTCCATCATTTTTCAGAGGGGATAGGGCTCAACCACCAACCAGATATATAAACCACTTGCTATTGATAATGTACAATAAACCATTAACATCCCATGTGTCAATGTCTCACCATGAGGATTATCGTGAAATCACAATGGAAAAGCATCGAAAAGCACCATCAGAAACCATTTCAAGTATAGATCACTATAAATCATATATAAATCATTCTAAAAACTATAATTTCATATACTGGTTGGTGGTTTGGAACATTTTGGAACATGGCTTTTATTTTTCCATATATGGGAAAGAATCATCCCAACTGACTTTCATATTTTTTGGAGGGGTAGGTATACCACCAACCAGATCATTTCATATACCCTCTGGTAAATAAACATAGACCCTGAAAATGGCCAATTCTAAATGGAAACTAATCTTCCAACCCCTATCTGGCAGGGTCTATGTTAATTTACTGGAGAGTAAATCATACATTTCTTTGTTACCTCCATGAGGTCTTTGAAGTGAAGGCGACCAACGGAGACACCTCCTTGGGCGGTGAGGATTTCGATCATGCCATCGTCACTGGGGCGATGTTTCGATGAAACAATGGTGATTTAAGCAGCAGCACATTGGGATTTATATAGGATTTACATGAAATTGTAGCATTTAGAATGATTTATAGTGATTTATAGTTGATTTATAGTTGATTTATCATAGCTAAGTTGGTAAACAGCAACCAAACTAGTTCGGTTGAAGGCATAACTATGCTGAACGGCTGTAAGCTCATGATAACTCCCCACGTACAAGGTGATGCCCCCCTAGAGTTGACTTTTGACTTGGTTGACCGGTTAACTAGGGTTTATGGGGGATGTATAGTTACTGGTTGGTGGTGACTGGAACCATGGAATTTTATGAATTCCCACAAAAATTGGGAATAAATGGGAATTTCATGATCCACGAGGGAACCACTGTTTTCAGTGATTTTTACTAGGTCAATCGACTGGAAATCACTGAAGGATTTTCTTAGATGGATACTAGTGATTTTTACTAGGTCCACTAGTGATTTTCGTAGATGGATACTTTAATCCTTTAGTAAGTCTTTTGGTATTAATGGGAATATCTACGTTCACCAGCAAAGAATTTAAGTCATTTTTTGCAGGCTATCTGGCTGATTGGCAATGGTTAGGTGGGGTTATCGACCAACAAAAAAAAATAGAGGGCCCGACCTTGCAGGATGTGGCTGGGTATCATGGCTGGGGGAAAAAAACGACTCCACTCGACCTCAGCGGTTCGATGATGGGAATTGGATTGGGCAAGTGATCCGCAAGTGGCCGGATAACATCTGATTCAGGAAATATCAAGGTTTCCTGGAATGGGGATACCCCAATAGCTGGATGGTTTATTTCATGGAAATCCATCTATAAATGGATGATGACTGGGGGTACCCCCATGACTTAGGAAACCTCCACATGATGATTTTCCCGGTGATTCAAGCATCAACTTGATTGGGATTTAAGGGGATATTCTGGAATACAATGCGATATATAGCAACTACCCTCTGGTTATTTAACATAGCCATGGAAAATGGCCCATTTAATTTATAGATGCTTTACCGTTCTTAAAAATGGGTGGATCTTTCCATGGCTATGTAAGAAATTACCAGATGGTATATACAACTTATACAACTAACATGATTTGGGTTTGATTGAAAGGATACCCCCAAAATCCGATGGTCATAGTCATCATGTTCCTGCCCATTTCAAGGTGTAGCCCATAGAAATCCCCATTTTCAGACAGACCCATGTAGTCAACATCAACGAGGATTCAATGATGAACCATGATTTTTCCGAACTTAAAAGTGATGAAACTGGGTATACAAGCTGTAAGAGTTGGTTTGGAACAGGCATACCCCTACCCTACAGCAAGTACCTTTTTCATATGTTCAGTGGGTCGGAACTAGAAAGAGCTTTTTTTTTGTTTTGCTCGGCTGGTCTGAGTCGACAACGGGCCCCAATCAACGAATCTGTAGTGGCCCATGATGGGGAGAGGTCAGGGATCCTGGGGAGGGTCAAGGTGGCCCCATTTTTTGCTGGCCGGGTCCTGCAGGGTCCCGCAGACCACGGGATTTTTGATGGGGATGAGCTACATCCTTGAATTTCCTATGAAGAGAAACATCTACCCGGCCTGGTAATTTCTTACATAGCGAACTGGAAAGATCCAACATTTGAAAAATAGGTAAAGCAACTATTTCGACTGGGCCATTTGAAAAATAGCTATGTGAATGTTTACCAGAGGGTATCTACAACCTATTTAGATGTTCACCAAGATGCGACACTCTTGACCCATAGCCAGATGCCTGTAAGATGATGTCCATACAACCGGAGCTGTGTCCTGGTCAGTGGTCAGCTTTCACGAGCAAGGTGAAGTACTTGGTAGACGAGTTCAAGAAGTCCCAAGGTGGGGAAGTGGGGGAAGTGTGGAATCAAAACCCATGTTTCTTGATGATGAGTTTCGGGGTTTCTACTACCTCTGGTAATTTGTTACATAGCTATTGAACATGGTCATTTATAGTTGATTTACCTACTAAAAATGGGTAAGTTTCCATAGTTATGTTAGCCAGAGGGTACCCAATATATTGGGGATTATAATCCAATAGGGGAAATTTTTATAAACCAACCAGGATTAAATGGAATGATAGAGGCATTTATTTCACACTGCTCAATTGAAAGGGCTGGTCATGGATCATGGGTGATGATTAGAGCCATTAAATAAAGTTGCTCAATGTTGTTTAAGCAAACTACCTGTGTGAGCCAATTTCTGATTCGATTTTTCAGGCTTGTGGAGATACACCACATCATTTGACCAGAAACATGCCCGTTCCATCAAGATGTGGAACCACTGTTGTCTTTTTGGGGGGTACCAAATTGAAACTTGGTCTCCATTCTTCCAAAGTATCTTTACTATAATTATCTTATATAAGATCTCTATGAGATGTGAATGGTGTCATTGCCTTCTCCCAAACTTGGAATGGTTCTAGAACTACCAGACGAAGTAAACGGCTCAAGCTGGGCGGTAACCTCCAGTGTCATCATCAAGACGGGCTTTACTGGGAGATTTTCCCTTGCCATGTTGGAGTACCGGAGGGTATCTCTCTCCATTCCCCTATAGGTGATCGTCCTCTATTTTGCTCCAAAAGATCCTGTTCATTTGCTTTCTTTGTTCCTGAACCTGCCACATTTCTTCATAGTTACAATAGTTATATATAGTGGAGTTTCACTTTCCATCAGTCTTCCCATTTCGAATGTTCAAAATATTTGCCGCATCTGGTAATCTTAACATAGCGATGGAACATCAGCATTTTAAATAGGTAAATCATCGAAATAAATGGGCAATCTTTTCCATAGCAAGGTTGGTTAAATCCCCTGAACGTTTCAAGTAAATCATAATAACATCTCTTTTATCCCATTGTAAATAAAATTACTTCCATCCATTCCAGTGATTCGAATCCCATTCAATCCCCATGGTTCTTGGTTAAAACATGTTCCGTCCAAGCCGGACGTTGCTCCACCCTTATCATCATCATCATCAACATCATCATCATCATCATCATCATCATGGATTACACATACATCTACATATTGAAAGTCCACCGACATGGCATTTCAAAAATTCGCAACCCTTCCGCGATTCCGGAGAAAAGAGCAACCCTGAGACGTTGCACCGAACATGTCTGGTTGGTTGTTTGGAACATGTTTTCCATATATTGGGAATAGTCATCCCAACTGACTTTCATATTTTTCAGAGGGGTAGGTCAACCACCAATCAGATGTTACAACCCTTCTTTTTGGCGGAAATTCTGATAGAGATCTGACTTGACCTAAAGACCTTTCGGGCCGCAGGCATCGACCTGGGCCAAGACAAGTTGGCCTTGCAACGCTTGCGCGAAGCCTCTGAGGTGGCCAAAGTGGAGCTCAGTAGCAAGGCACCGAAGGGCACCGAAGGGCACCGAAAAACACCGAGCCGCGGCTGGACCTCGTTGGCTCGGTGCTGAGCCCATGGTGAGTTTTATATCTACCCGGCCTGGTAAACTGACATAAGCCCTAACTTGGGTTTATGGATAATATACTGCTTGGTGGTGACTGGAACCATGGATTTTTATGACTTTCCAATATATTGGGAAGTTCAGCATCATTAACGTAACTATGGAAAATCACCATTGAAATAGTGAATTTTCCCATGAATAGCATGGTGATGTTCCATAGTTGTTTGTATGTTTACCAGAAGGTAAGGGGAATCAAAGATGTTGAAGATGTTGAAGTTGCCAATATGTCGAGGATTTTGTTATGGATCATGGATGTAAAATGATGGATGAAATGCAGATGAGGGAGATTTAGACTTTTTGTTTTTGGCGTATGTTTTTAATATGATCATGAAATGCAGAGGATTCACCCATTACAACAATGTGGGGCCCCCCAGTGATGTGAACGTTGGTTTATAAAGCCCCATTAACTAGTTCGTTATTTGCGTACCATAAACCAGTTCGTGAGTTATTGGAGTTATAAAGCCACCCACCAACGGTTCACGCGATCGAATCGAACGGCCGGGGGCCTCACGGCCTTGAGTCGGAATGCCGGTGCTGGGATGATCCTCCCCGCTTCCAGGTGCAGACGGATGTGAACCTGCCTTTCATCACAGCTGACCAGAGCTGCCTGGCTAAGCCTTCGGCTAAGCGAAAAACTTCAAGCTGTAAAGGGGATCTGGTTGGATCTGGTGCACGGATAGGCCATTAATATCCAGATTTTTTTTGAGGTACCATCTGGTTATGACTAACAGTTCGCCATGGAAAATCCCTTATAAATGGGTGGTTTAATGGGAAAATCATCTATAAATGGGCCATTTTCCATGGCTATGTTAAATAACCAGAGGGTAACTAATGTGGGTAAAACAATGCCATAAACAACCCATGACTGGGAATGGTAAACATACCACCTATAAAAAGTGGTGATGACTGGGGGATGGTAAAAATGGCATTGTTATACCCACATTACTACATTTTCAGACAAATGGGGGCAAAGACCTCTTGAAGCCGATCACAGCAACCTTTGGCATTGGGAACTGGAGAAAGCAGTAGCTCCAGCAACTGCCACAATAACAATTTCATACAGGATGGGGCCCCCAAGATAGCGTTCAGTTGGTTTATAAGTGGCTTAACAATGGTTTATGGTAGATATAACTATAGTTAATGATGTTAATGGGGATTATCATGGTTTATAAACCAACTTATAACTGGGGGGCCTCACATTGTACTGATTACATATGGAGGTGTCCATAAATGGGGGGTACCCCAATAGCTGGATGGTCGATTTAATCGATTTCGTGGAAAATCCGAAATAAAATGGATGGATGATGACTGGGGGTACCCCCATGACTTGGGAAACCTCCATGACTTGTTTCAAACAGATACAGAACCATCACTCCCATAGGATCCATGTATGCTATATATGGTAACATGGATCCCATCAATATACCCCCAATGTTAGCATATATACCATACATGGATCCTATGGGACTGTATGTTCACAGTCGTATCGCAAGTCTGTCACCACAATGATCATGACAGTCGTATCGGGTTGTCATGGTTTGGATCATCGCCACCACCATAGTTGTAGATTTCCAACTGCGATCACCGCTTGATGTGGATGTGTGTGAAAATGATTGAACCTAAAATGGATGGTTTGATATGGTTTAATACAAAATCATACTAAATACATCTAAATACTCTATGAATATGGTTTTTCATACTAACAGGGTCACCAACTTCACCCAATGTTTGCACCCTGCCAGGGTCACCATGGCACGGGATATGGTGCGGTATATGGTGCCCTTTTTGTGCCCCATATATTGGTCATGACGGTGAAGTTATCACAGGCGGACCGAAGCACATGAACATCCAGATGACCCGATCGCATCTTGTCGCCATCGGAGTTCTGTAGAGGGCGGAGTTTTTAGCATCTCAGATCTCCAACTGATCAAGATCCCATTCCCATAGGATCCATGTATGGTATATATGCTAACATTGGGGGTGTATTGATGGTAAATGTTAGCATATATAGCATACATGAATCCTATGGGATTGAACATATCCTGGTTGATTGGTTAAAAATAAGGGAGTTATACTATGTTATACCTGGAAACTGTTGGGGATTATGAACTAAGCCATAGGGAAACTTATGAACCAACTGTAACCAACTTGGATCCAAGTTGGAAGGTCCAGGAGTTTGGACCCGTTGGACCATTCCATCTGGCTAGTTGGAAATGGAGGCTTTTGAGTTCGTGTCACCACCAATAGGCACTATTTGGTGGCTCATCCCACGAATCGTAAGTGGGTTATAACCCCAGTTGTAAATGGGATAAGTAGGGTTAATCCACTTGTAACTGGGGTTATAACCCACTTACTAAGTGGGATGAGCCACCAAGTAGTGCCTATTGGTGCCTTGTAGTCGTCTGTGTCTAGATTTGGATTAGAACATGATTCGAAACTCCAAAGCCACCTTCATATTTTTCGTCATCAGACTGAATGGTGCCCGAATTCGTCCCAGCACCTCAGCACTATCAAGATCGACTCAAATGCCGTAGCACTCCTTAGCGTATCTATGAATTAGATGAGTGCAACCACCCACCCCACCCACATTGATGTGGCCAAAACAATGCAATTTTTACCATCCCCCAGTCATCACCATTTTTATAGGTGGTAATTATAAAATATACATATATATATATATATGTTTACCGTTCCCAGTCATGGGTGATTTATGGTATTGTTTTACCCACATTATATAGCATATTTTCCGATAACTTCCATGATTCAATGATGGATAGCATTCAGGAAGCTGGAGCAGATCGTGGATTCCTACCTTCAGAGGACGAAGGCACCCTGCCAGGCCTGCAACAAGGCACGGAACTGACCCGGGTCGTACCGGATGAATGCGATAGTGGTTGTGCAGTTCTGCCAGTAATTCCTTGAGGTGTCAAAGTGAGTTCGTAAATGTATATGGTACACATATGTACACATATTGATCATTCTTGTTTCAAGTTGTTGCATATATTTATTTCATTTTATTTCCAGATACCGTAGTTGTTATCTTCAGTTGGATAGTCTGATATTGATATGGTCAAAATCATATTTTTGAGTCTTGATTATCTTTATGTCAGTTGATAAAATCACATAGTTACCGCTGGAGAACCACAAGCGAACCACAGGTTTGACCATATTAGCCTGATATTAAACCAGTAAGCGATATCAAAACAGTGAGAACTTCTAGCAGACCCACTAGGAAAGCCAAGAAATCTAGTATTGTCATGTATTATCATGTTTCTGATTTTTGGCACTAGTATATTACCCCGCGCTAAGACTTATCAATTGAGTACAATGAACATCATAACTCGAAAAAAAAAACATACTGCAGATTAAAATCATATGTTTTTTTCAAAATGGATACTTAACGGAAACATCATATATCATCATATGGGTGGGTTGCGTAAGTTGGCGTAAATGGGGGATCCCCAAAATGGTTTGTTTATAAAGTAAAAAAAACATGAACATCCTACTAAAATGATCTAAAATGGATGGGTTCGGGCCACCCCCATTTCAGGAAACCTCCATTTTTTGGTGAAAAAACAATAAATTAAACATACCTATGAATTATAAACATCATTGTTTTTTCAAAATGTATAGTTACCCTCTGGTAAACATACAAAAAGCTATTGTTTATGGCCCAGTCGAAATAGTGGATATTTACCCTTTAACAAAATGCTGATGTTCCCATCCGTTTTTTGGGACTGTTTACCAGGCCGGGTAACAGCAACACCATGAAAAGATCAGACATTTTTTTCGCCTTGGGATTGCCAGGATGCAGGAGTCGAGCCAAAAGACATCAACGAGGTGCTCTTGGTGGGCGGCATGACTCGCATGCCCAAGGCCTGGGTCGAGTCTGGTCGTGTCGTGAAACGTGAAATCTTCGTGGTTTTTCATATAGTGCTTCATGGTAGTGAACAATGGTTAATACGTGGTGATTATGATAGTGAATTATAGTATGTTGTAGGCGATTTATAGTGATTAACAGTGGTGAACAATGGTAGACAGTGATGAAAATAATGGTGAATAGTGGTGAATAGTTGTTAGTTCATAGTGATTGATAATGGTAATTCATATACCCTCTGGTAATGACTAACATAACTATAGAAAATCACCATTGAAATAGTGAATTTCCCCATGAAAAATGACAATGTTCCATCGTTTTCTGTAGGTTTACCAGGCCGGGTACTCTCCGTTGTCATTTTTGAACCGTGGCAAGCTGGAGAATCCCAAAACTGGCCTAGCCTAGCTATGGAGGTTCGGAATTTCGTTCGCTGGGAAAATCATCAAACGAGCCATTTTCATTGCCATGTTTGATTGCCATGTTGGGTACGATGTGAGGCCCCCAAGATAGCGTTCAGTTGGTTTATAACTCCAATAACTATGGTTTATGGTACTTATAACTATAGATACTGGGGCTTATAAACCCACTTATAACTGGGGGGCCTCACATTGTAGGTATCTGGGGAAATCAAACCCAAACATACCAAACACCTGTGTTAAAAAATTGTGCAAACATACCAAAACATAACAAACATCATCTGCAAAAACTATCCAAAATTTGCTTTGTCTACCTTGTTGTTCACTTGTGACGTTGCTTTTTGTTAAACGCGCAACGTGTCATTCTTGCCATGCTTACTTTCGTCATGAAGTGACATCCCCATGTTTTGCGAAGTCAACCCAATGCTCCGTTTCTATGTGATTGTTTTGAGTCTTCCCCTGTTTTGTTACTCTCTGGGCATGTACTGTAACATGCAGAAGTAGAACCACGACTTTTCAACACTTGCAAACACTCAAAATAGTATAGATTGTCAACCTAGTGTTCAATATTTTCCAATAGTAGAGATGCTCCAATATAGATATTCCAATAGTAGATGTTCCAATAGAGACGTTCAGGATTTCTACCAATAGTCGATGTTCACTTAGCAGAGATAGTAACGATTGCCAAGATCTTCCAATAGTAACCATTTCCATAGCTATGGGTACTTAGCAGTACATCTAGCATGGTGGTTTCAATGGGAATTACCTCCAATCAATCGGTTCCTGAAATTCCCATTGATGGTTACGAGTTATGTTTGTTGCTTTAGATTCGCCCCAGTAACTAGTTCGTTATTTAAGCGTAGCATGAGAACCATAGTGAGTTATTGGAGTTATGTGCACCAACTGAACGCCATCCAACTGGGGCCTCACATCAAACATTTATGGTACTTATAACATAGTTGGATAGTTATGGTACCATGGTACTAATCTATAGTTATACTATGTTATACTTCATCATTATTGTACCATACTTACAATGTGGGGCCCCCTAGTTATAAGTTGGTTTATAAGCCCCAGTATCTATAGTTATAAGTACCATAAGCCAGAGTTATTGGAGTTATAAACCAACTGAACGCTATCTTGGGGGGCCTCACATTGTATATTTTCCATTAGCCATTGGCTATTTGGGGCTAAGCAACAGAGATGTGGCAAACTGCCCTACGTGAGGTCATGGAGATTGTCCAGGACATCTACCAGAAGGACTTGATGTTTTTTCGCTCATGGCAAACTGAAAGAAATGTGTGAACTGTTGATGTTGGAGTGATAATATAGATAATATAGTTGCCATATATATATATAATATCTACAAATTATGATGATGGTATTACTATGATGTTGTTGGTATTACTATGATGTAGTCCCTATTAGTAAATCTAATATAGATATATAATGATATATATATAGATAATATATCTACAAATGTGAAATTAAAAAGATAGAAACAGCCAGATAAGGGTTGGAAGATGAGTGAAACCACTCAAAATTGGTCATTTTCAAGGTAAAACTGTTAATGTAGCAGAAAGTATTATATCTGGGGTAAATTATAATGGTGATTACTGTATACTGTATATGTATATATGTATATAGCTGATTGGTGGTTTGGAAGTTTTTATTTTTCCATATATTCATGTGTGTGTACATATATGATCATATATCTGGGTAAATTATAACGACCTCACTGATCTCCCTCACTGATCTCCCTCACTGGAAATCATGGTCAATAAGAGGAATCATCCCCAAATGGCCGCAAGATTCAGGTTAGTGAAATATTATAATTTACCCATATATCATATATATATATAGGCTGGTAAATCACCCACTTGTGGAAAAAAGTCCTGATAGGGTTTCTGTGGCGTCCGATGTTGAATGTTGGATTCCCAGAAGCTCTCAAACAGACCAAGCCCCATGGCCCATGGCCCATTACTACAATACTCAATCATGTGGGGTAAAACAATGCCATGAACCAGCCATTTGGGACTGGTTTATACCACCTTTAAAATTGTGATTTGGGGGATGGTTTATTATTGATGTATGCTATACTTGTAGATGCTTGCATATTTCAATTAGCATCTTGATTCTTAATTTCAAAACCGTTCTCCCAAGGATGAACCAAAGATTGTTTTTTGGAACTGATCTCTTTGAAAAGCCCCGAATTTGGTAGATTTTTTCCTTCAACTAACTTGGTGAATGTTTGGTTTATGGCCTGTGGCCATGAGTCAAACATGTGGCCTCTTTTCAGGAAACGCAAAGCCGCTCATGTTTTGATACTTTTCTTATTTCAGCACACCCAATTTTCTGTACTAAACCATAAATGTATATTATTTTTGTAAGTAAGAAAAACATCATCAAAATTAATCTACGAAACATAAATCATGAAATGTTGATTCTTCTGCTCTCATGTACATAAATCATGAAATGTTGATTCTGTTGATCATTATTGATCAGTTTTCTTGATATAAAAACATCATCAAAAACTATAATGATCAAAACAACATTCTGTTGATTCTGTTTTTCTTATATACATAAATCATGACATGTTGATTCTGTTGATCATTATTGATCAGTTTTCTTGATATAAAACCATGATCAAAAACTATAATCATCACAAAAAAAAAATTCTGTTGATTGTGTTTTTCTCATTTACACAAATCATGAAATGTTGATTCTGTTGATCATTATTGATCAGTTTTCTTGATATAAAACCATCATCAAAAACTATAATCATCACAAAAAAAAACATTCTGTTGATTCTGTTTTTCTTATATACATAAATCATGACATGTTGATTCTGTTTTTCTCACTTTTCTCTATAAAAAAACCATGATTTCACCATCATAACCACAGCTTTTCCCGGTGAAAAACACCGTTCCCAACAGGAGCCGTCCAAGTCGGTGAACCCCGATGAAGCCGTGGCCATGGGTGCGGCCATCCAGGCCGGTGTCCTCAAGGGCGACGTCAAGGCCGGTGTCCGATGGGGAAGAGCTGAGGAAGATTGCTTCCCAACTTCCTTTGATAAATATATAACAATATATCAATATAACAATATATCAATATATCAATATATTTATATATAAGAATATATTACAATATATCAATATAACAACAATCTATAATATAAGAATACAACAATATATTTATATATAACAATATATAACACGTTATGAATACAACCATATAACAACAATCTATAATAAGAACAACTATAAAAATATTAATATATAACAAGTTATAATATCAACAACGTAAACCACCAATTCTGCTAATATAATATATATACTATATATATAAACAAATAACACTGTATAAGTCACATACAATATAACACCAATCTAATATAATTACTTAACTATATCATATAACACTTTATAATAGACAACAATATAACACCACAATTATAATAGAATACTATAACTATATATATATAACAATACTGTAATACAACCAATATAACAACAATCTATCAATAGAAAAAGAAGAAAAAGCACCGATACTGAGAAAAAAGGAAGATAAAAAAATTGAGAAAACCAAAAGAGAGATCATAGAAAAAGAAAGAGACGAGAGGGAGAAATAAGGTGAAAAAAAAGAACGATGAATAAAAAGTAGAGCATCAGAGGTAAGACACCTCTCTAGGAAATCATATAGCAGAAAAATGTGCTAGTCAATAAAGAAAATAGAAAAAAAAATATATAAACCTTATAATAACGAGAAGATATATAGTATAAACAAGGGACTAATACAACAATATAACACCAATCTATAATATAATACTATAACTATATATATATAACACTTTATAATACAACAATATAACACCAATCTATAATTTAATACTATAACTATATATATAACACTTTATAATACAACAATATAACACCAATCTATAATTTAATACTATAACTATATATATATAACACTTTATAATACAACAATATAACACCAATCTATAATTTAATACTATAACTATATATATATGCCATATATGAATGATATACTAAAATGGATCCTAAAATGAAATACGATATCTACTATATCAATGAGAATTTCAGGATCCTAAAATGGAGGTACTGTACCATATAAGGCCATATTAATATAATATAATATAACATAATAGGTATATATATTATAATATAGTTTGATAGAATAAAATAACATAATATAATGATTTTATATAATATAGTTTGATATAATATAATATGATATAAGACAATATAATATAATATAATATAATACATATTATATAATATATATATAATATAACTAAATACAAATATATATATATAATATAACAAAAATAAACCAATATGATATGATATAATATGATATAATATGATGTAATATGATGTAATATGATATAATATGATATAATATGATATGATATAGTGTACTGTAATATGAATTAATATTATATTATAACATTATAACATGTGGCGGTATGAATATAGTATAGATATTGTACAGATATAGTATAGATATTGTATAAATATAGTATAGATACAGTATAGTCATAGTATAGATATACTCAAAATTGTATATCTTGGCTGTTGGTAGTTAACCACAGTTTTCATGCGATTTTTTGGTATATTTCATGGGATATAGAACCAATATGACCATTGGGTACGTCTGAAAATTGGATGTACCCCAAAGTTGCAATGTTAATGCAGATGTTTGATTTTTCATTGGAATCGGGGGTACCCTATTTTCAGATATAGTTTTTCAACCCATATCAATGGGAATTTCAGGATCCTAAAATGGAGGTACTGTACCATATAAGGCCATATTTTGTGGGGATATTCCCTTACATAGGCCTTACATAGGCCTTATATATGGTAGGTACCTCCAATTTAGGATCCTGAAATGGCCATTGACCATATATTAATATTATACATATACATATAACATGCATAATTATATATATATATCATATACAAGGTGAAGGCCCCAACCGATAGGTGCTCTACATCTTGGATCCCGCAGAGGCTCTTGTTGATTGTATTACTGTATATACCTCATGATACCTCGATTTTTTATAGATATATACCAGTTACCAGTGTATATATATATATACATATAGATACATATTATATTCCTAGTATTTCGGGTAGGAAAAAAATATTATATATATAGATATACACGTATTCCTAATCATTTCTGGTAGAATACCCTATGATACTCATCGATGTTTCCACAATGGTTGAGTCATCGCTGGACCATGGGGACCGTTACAGGACATTTTGTTGCTTGACGTGACGCCTTTGTCCTTGGGTATCGACGCTCGGCGTCGAGGTACGGTGCAGCTGCAGCAACACAGTGACTAGATGAGGATAGACCCTCAGTTGACCTACAAGAAAATATCACGAACATTGGTAAAAGATGGTAAAAAGTACCAAAATTTGGGTGAAACAATGTGAAACACGAATTTTCATGCGTAGAAAGTCATGGTGGAAGTAGATGGAGTCATTATTCGAGGAAAAATGAACAGTCTTGGGTCGAATTTACATTTGAGAGCCTCTTTTTTTAGGATCTTTGGAGACCAAACATTGAGGGCCTTCGAAGATTTTTTTTCCCTGGCGGTATGCTGAGAAGTCCAAGAAATGTGCCGCCCTTTCCTTTACCTCCAAGTAATGTATACTATGACTGGTTGGTGGTGACTGGAACCATGGAATTTTATGACTTTCCATTCAGTTGGGAATATGTTTATCCCAACTGACGAACTCATATTTTTCAGAGGGGTGGCTCAATCACCAACCAGATGACTATTAGTAGCTGAACTATGCTCTGGTAACAGTCTTCACGTTTTGAATCAGCTTCAAAGATGTTTCCAGTCAACTGATGCACCTTTAATCATCCAGAACACTCCGAATGAAAGTTCCGTGATTTTTTCTTCACACATGACCAACAATAAAACAGTGTATCGCTGTTCTTTAGGGGGTCGGACATCCTAAGTGTTATTCACGGATTACATATATGTATCCCATACTGGCACATACATAGACTAGCATAGACTATGTAGCAGGTGTACCCTCTGGTAAGCTAACATAACTATGGAAAATCACCGTTCTATAGGTGGGTAAATCAACTATTTCGACTGGGCCATTTGAAAAATAGCTTTTTGTATGTTTGCCAGAGGCTATACCATCATATATCCCATTAAATCCCATTAAATCCAATTATATAAATCCCATTGAATCACCATTGAATCACCATTGAATCCCATTAAAACACCATATGGATCCAAGTTTCACCGGAGTTTCACGTCACGTCCCTTAGGAAACCTTGGGCGGTGTCTTCACCCGACTCATCAGCCGAAACACCACCATCCCCACCAAGAAGTCGCAGGCATGGTCCCGAGAACTTGATGCAATGGCAAAACATCCCATGAGAATCCCATCTGGTTGTTGGTGACTGGAACCATGGAAATTTATGACTTGGTTAATCATAAATATACGTATGGTTAATGTATGGAAATACATGGTTAATATATTGTCCATCCACAGTATCAGAACGGATGCATCCACTTCTACGCTATGTTTGCCATGGTTTACTCTTTGGTTATTTAACATAGCCATGGAACATGGCCCATAGAAATAGATGGTTTACCTATTAATAGCATGGTGATTTTCCATGGCTATGTTAGTCATAACCAGATGGTACCTTTTTTATTATATACATATTACTCAGTTTGGCGATACAATGAAGGCCAAATTCATGGCGTTTTTTTAGCTCATTTAAGCCCACAGATTTTGAGCTATATGTGGTAGAAGGAGTAGGAATTTGTCCTCACGAATTGGTTCATCCATAGTTTTTTTGCAGGAATCTTAGACATGCCTACCCGAACTGTTTATTTGACTGTAGACACATGGAGGTTTCTATAAATGGAGGTATCCTTAAATCATCCATTTTAATAGGATTTTCCATTATAAACCATCCATTTAGGGGTACCCCATTTATGGAACCACCCACAAAAACGCGGATAGACAGCCATAGTTTTTTCCGATCTGCAGGTCTTCTCTACTGCTGCGGACAACCAGACCCAGGCGGGACAGGGCTCCGCATGGCTTTGCCTGAAAATGAGGCGCTCCTATCATCCGCTGTCACATGTTTATATGGGATTATGATGATAAAGCATATAATTTGGTGGTACCCTATTCTTAGACAAACATCCGTTGTGCAAAGAAATGTTTTGAAAATGGTTCTGCGTCGTTGTATGGCCACTTTGTATCACTGTGTGACTTACCACGCGAAATGTAAAGGAGCTTGGACAGCAATTTTCCAGGTTGATGTTCTGGTTGGGACATCATGGCATCGTTCCAAGACATGTTCCAAGAATTTATCATTTCACATCTTTCCCAGAATTGAAAGCCATCGTCCAAACATCGAAAGCCTGGTACTCCCAAGTTGTCCCAAGCTTGGAATAGTCCACCGGTTTTTGGGCCAGAATTTGGGGATTCGCCCCGTAAACATCATCAACATTCCTAGCTCAATCTTAGATGGGTACTTTAATCCTAACTAGTCTTTTGGTATCAATGGAATTATGTAATTACGTTCAGTGTACTATATAATGTACTAATCATTACTAATCTATCCATCCATCCATCCATCCATCTATCCATCCATCTATTTATATCTATTTATATCTGTATATATATATATTTATCATCAACATTCTCCCGGACACGTCTTCGCGACCAGGTGGGCATCAAGGTCTTCCAGGGCGAGCGAGAGATGGCGGCCGACAACCAGATGTTGGGCCAGTTTGACCTGGTAGGCGCCACGCCAAGGGGGGAAGCCGGATGAGTTCAGGAATGATCATAAAAAATCGTGGTTTAATGGCGATTTTCTATGGTCTTTGATGGTGCTTTTCTATGGGATTAATGGTAGTTTAACGGGCCTAATTGTGATTTAATGATGGTTTAACAGTGTTTATAATATTTTTAATGGTGGCTAATAGTGGTTTAATACTCGATTTAATGGTGATTTAATACCTGTTTTTTTTTTGTGGAGATAATAGATGATGATAGTGATTTTCCTAGTGGGACATGTCACTTAAAATACCCGCGTTGCGGTGCCATCAAAGATGGCGGGCCGCTGGGAAAATCCTCGAAACAAATGGGTTGATTTTCCAATAAGCCATGTTTTCAATGGGAATTTCAGGATCCTAAATTGGAGGTACCTACCATATATAAGGCCTATATATGCCTATATAAGGCCTATGTAAGTGAATATCACCACAAAATATGGTCTTATATGGTACAATACCATCATTTTAGGATCCTGGAATTCCCATTGATGTTTGAGGGTTGGGATTGATTCAGTACCAGGACCATAACTGGTTGGTGGTGACTGGAACCATGGAATTTATGACTTTCCACATATTATATGGGAATATGTTTATCCCAACTGACGAACTCATATTTTTCAGAGGGGTAGGTATACCACCAACCAGAAAACTGGAGTGTAGGGATAGATCACGACGACTTAAACTGAATAGTTGTGTCAGAAAAAACAGGGATGTATGAAAAGTGCAGATTTTAAAGGCTACTTGGTGATTTTTTAACCTTTTACACGATCTCCCGATCCTGTTTCTATCCCAATCATACTTGGTGCTTTTTTTCTACTAAACGCAACCCCATTAGCCAAAACAAGCGATGTGTTCATGGTATGGTACCCTCTGGTAAACTAACATAACTATGGAAAATCATCATTTTTAATGGGACAACTCTATAAATTGCAATTGTCAATAGCTTTTTATGTGTTTACCAGGCCGGGTACCCCCCATGATCTATGGATCCCTCCTGGCACCTATGGCACCCAAGGCATCCCTCCTGCACCCCGTGGAGTCCCACAGTCCCTTGGAGTCAAGATTCAAGACCTGCTGTACCACAGAAATTAACGGCCATTTCAGGAACCTAAATTGGAGGTAACTACCATATATAAGGCCTATATTTCAGGCCTATGTAATGAAATATCCCCACAAAATATGGCCTTATATGGTACAGTACCTCCATTTTAGGATCCTGAATTTCCCATTGAATGTCTATTTGGAGGTTTCCCAAGTCATGGGGGTTCCCCCAGTCATCATCCATTTTCGATTGGGATTTTCCATGAAATATCCATATTGGAAAAAACACAATTTATGGAAACCTCCATTTTGAGTATGAATTTGTATTAACCATCTGTACTATAGTACCACATAGTACCACTTTTGACCCATATCCATTTTGAACATTGCAGTCTGTGGCTTTCATTTGTTTCGTTTTCAGGTTTGCACGTGGCCAGCAGAATTCGAACAAGTTTTCAGTGGCGATGCTCCCCACCAAACAGAATTGTGATCATTTCCTACAGGATGGGGCCCCCAAGATAGCTAAGTTGGTTTATAAACCATGAAATAATCCCCATTAACTAGTTCGTTATATCTACCATAAACCATAGTTTTTTCAGCCACAAAAATAAACCAACGCTTCACGCTATCGAAAACGGGGGCCCCATCCAGCAAAGGGTATAGTATAATTATATTATTACTAAATTTGTAAATAATAGTATATATATATATATATTGTATAATAATAGTATATACCAATACAATAAAAACATAGTAATCATATACAAAATGGGTAAAATCTTCAAGCACCACTAGTGGCGTTCACGTGGCGTTCACGTGGCGTTCACGTGGCAGGATCGAGGTGACCTTTGACATCGATGCCAACGGCATCGTGAACGTCAGCGCTGCGGACAAGGGAACAGGCCAGCGGTGGATGGCAGAGGAAAATCCCGCGGAAATCTGTGGGATTTCACCAGGAAGAATGGGGTTTTCCATGGTGATTGAATGGTGGATTTAATGAGATTTGATGTGGATTTAATGGTTACTTAACGGAGATGTTTCATGGAGATGTTTCATGGAGATGTTTCATGGGGTTTCATGATGTTTCATGATGTTTCATGATGTTTCATGGACTTCAATGGGGTTCAATTGGCGAACGTGGTTCCATAGTTAGTTCACCCAGTTATGGGACAAGCCACGAAACGGCAGCGGATCCGATCACCAGAGTTACCAGAGTTACTGAGCACGATTCGTGGTGTGGATGGCTGAGGGAAAATCGCTTGGAAGATATCCCCATTGATATGTTAATATATCCCCATGATATTGATATTAACATATAACATGGGAATCAATGGCTATATCCCATTATATCCCCAGATGTTTGAAAAACTCTTCGCGTGGGATGAGGATGGGTTTGAACAACTGGCCTTTTGATTTCATCTGATCCCAGGTTTCGCAAGGTGTTGAGGTAGTGAAAAATGGAACGTAGACGAGTTGTTGGGTTTAGTTTGAGTCACACCAGGGGTAGATGGGAAGAGCCTTCTTCTTTCAATGTTCCACGGCAGCTAAAGTCCCTGGGAAGTCCTGCTGTAAATTTCCCGACTCCATTGGAATTGGATCCTATGAATCCAGTTCCAGATAGGTCCATGGGGTGGACTCACAAACCAGATTGTGCACCACTTTCTAAGTCCTATTTATATATATATATAGTTATATATATATAGTTATGGTGTTTATGTATATATATATATATCTCTCTCTGTCTCTCCCTATGGATCCAAATGCCTTCTTAGGAAGTGTTTGGGGTATCTTCTCTCGGGGGTTAGCCGTACCTTCTCAGGAAGTGTTTGGATCCATAGGGAAGGATAAAACTCTGGAAATGTGGTTTGCAAAACTTGGGGAACCAAATCCACTGGTCAATTCATCATCATGTTTCGCACTGAAGCGCCATTTTGCAGGGCTATTCCCCAGCAACCATCTCATATTGGTAGCCATATCCCAATATATTTCCATTTTAGCCCTACAAAAATCATAATCAGCATCAACCCAGCATTTATTCATATATCATTTTCCCACTTTTTTTTAAATATCGAAATATTGCCAGTCTGTGCCGAATGTGTATCATCTTGCAGGCAAGAAGCAGGCCATCACCATCCGCAGCAGCGGTGGTTTGAGCGATGCGGAGATCGATCGCATGGTCAACGAAGCCGAGTCCATGAGGGAGACGGATCAGCGAAAGAAGGACGACGAGACTGGCTGGCGGGGGAAAGCTGGGGAAAGCATCCATGGCGATTTTTACGTAGGGATATAGATGGATATAGTGAGATCATATCTGAAAAAATGCTTGGAGTAGTGGTTGCTTTATGGTTTCATGATGTTTCATGTATTATACATTTACGTATATATGTTCATATGTTTGTATTCTGTGACACTCTGTGATGTCTGTTGACATGATGATGCCTGACCTGACTTCCGCGACTCACAGATCCCAATGATCCCAACTGACGAGACTCATGAAAATATATGAGCCATTCGAAATATACGCTTATTGATTGGTTATGTTGAGAAATTATACTGTCTGATTAGTGGGGATTATTATAACTCATATTCGGAAACCTATCAACCAACTATAATGAGATGGGATAGGCGTATTTTTATTGGCTCATACAGTATGAATCACACACACACACTAGATTGTCTACACAAAGGTGAGGCCCCCATTGACGACATCGCTAAGTTGACGCATCGTTCACTTGGTTAACGTTTGTGTTTGTGGGTGATATAACAAACTAGTTAATAGGCTGATAAACCAACAAACATCACTAGGGGTATACATTGGGGAGCCTCCAAATCATCCATGGTATTCATACAACCAAGGGTTTATGGAACCGAAGTTTGGGACTGAAATATATAATATGATACAATACCAATATCGTAATAAAGGTGGCAATAGATAATCCCCTATAAATACTGTTTTTAATGGGAAACATCATCCATTTGCTTTAATTTGGGGATTGTCAACATAATTTTATTGGGAAAATCATCAATAATCCCTTATAAATACATATAAATACTGGTTTTAGTGGGAAAAAATCATCAATTTGGGTCTCAAACTTGCCATGTTTGACACCGGGAAATTTGCAGAGCCGACAGGACACCGTGCAGGCCAAGAACGATGGCGAGAACTTGGCGTACCAGGCACTTTGACAAAGGGATGGACAGTTGGGATAGTTGGGATGGGATCAGCTGGCGATTTGTGGGAAAATACTATCGTCTGGGTAAATTTGATCACGACCTCACTGATCTCCCGAACCCTGGAAATCATAGTTAGATTGTGGGGAATCATCCCCAAATGGCCGCAAGATTCATGTTAGTGAATTATTATAATTTGCCCAGTATCATTGTTACCCTCTGGTAATTTGTTACATAGCTATTGAAAATGGCCATTGAAATAGTGGATTTTCCCATTAATAGCATGGTGATTTTCCATAGTCATGTTAAATTACCAGAGGGTACCCTCTGGTAAACATGCAAAAAGCTATTGAAAAGGTTATTTCATGGTGATTCAATTGATTCAATGGTGATTCAATGGGATTTCTTAGGATATATGATGGTATACCCTCTGGTAAACAAACAAAAAGCTATTGAAAATGGCCATAGAAATAATGGTTTTCCCATTAATAGCATGGTGATTTTTCATAGTTCTTTGTATGTTTACCAGGGGGTAAATGATCAGATATAATGAGATACCCATCTGGTTGGTGGTTTGGAACATGAATTTTATTTTCCATCATATATGCGATGTCATCCTTCCCATTGACTTTCATATTTTTCAGAGGGGTAGGTATACCACCAACCAGACCATAAAAATGCAGATATTTTGTAACTAATATAATCATCAACCAACCATCATTTATCATGGTTAATGTCAACCCTGCATGAACCACCCCCGTTTACGGCTGTTTAATTGGGAGGGTACCATTTAAGTATCAGATTATGACTATTTATTGTAGGAGTACCCCCCTAATTAATAGACCATGATTTATTAATCCGGGTTGACATTAAATGATCAGATATAGATACCCTGATTGTCCATTACGAAAATCAATGGGAAGATACCTTAATGGGATGACGGTTAAATACCAATATGATACCATTCTTTTTAGAACAGTAAATCATCATGGTCGTCATATGTAACTACCGTTCTTTTCAGAACATTTAAGAACATCTATTATCTATTTATATTATATATGCTAAATCATTTATTATCATCTAGTTAACAGTAGATCATGGTTATCATCATATGTTATCATCTATTTCCACGGGCAATCTATACCATAGTTATCCATAGTTAATGATAATACCCAGAATATATATATATATATATTGTTGACGTTCGACAAGGTATGTGGTCATATTTGTTTTGCTTTTACATCTTATTGTCGATATGACTGTATAGATATTGTTATATTATATATATACATAAATCCTAGATACTTAAATGCTATGATTGCAGGAAACCACACTATCTGCCTGTGGATGTACAAACTCACATGTAATTGCAGATTTGCACATGCTTGTCACATTGTCTACGAAAAGATCTCAGGTCCTTTCAAAGTACAAGGCCACAAGCTCTTGCCGTGTTTCCACTTGAAATCTACCCTCTGGTAAACTAACATAGCTATTGAAAATGGACATTTATAGTGGATTTACCCATTAAAAGTGGTGATTTTCCATAGTTACTTTAGTTTACCAGAGGGTACCAACTAAAAAAGTCCACCATTGTCCACCAATGTCAAGCATTTTCGCATATTTTCGCGGTTCTTGAAAGCCATTTTCGCCAAGCTTTTTGCAGTCCGTGCCTAGCTTCGCAGGTCGAGAAGCAGCTCACTGAGCTCAAGGAGATGCGCCAGAACTGGCATGTAAAAGTGGCCATGTTTGACCCGCGGCATGGGTAAGTAGAATTAGAAAATCCTGGATCGATTTTTTTGCTATACACTAGGTCAATCTTACATGGATTCTTTAATCCTAAGTAGTCTTGTGGTATTATATAATGGGAATATCTAGGTTCACCAGCAAAGAATTTGTCATTTTTTGCAGGGTATCTAAGATTTGCAATGTACATGTAATACATGGAAAATAAGAGAATAACCAGCAACGGGCAACATTTTTTTTTAAAATGGACTATCGAAGATTGACCATGATAAAGCCATAGAATTTGGAGATCTATCCTCTGAATTTTATAGACCTTATTTTTTAGGTACCTCCAATTTAGGTTCCTGAAATGGCCGCTGAAATATGGGGGGGTCCTACTAAATGGTTTATTGGCAATTATTATGGCTCACAATAGGGATACCTACCAGTATAATGGAATGGGATAGGGAAAAATATCTATTCGCTCATTTATCATTGTGATTAAGATAACTTGGATAATTTCTGATTAATGATTGAACTTGTGGTCATTCACAAATCTTTGTAATTAGCCCGACAACCTGTGATGTAGCCATTATATCAAGTATTCTAATATTACATTATGGTAATGAATGATGTTCATGAGCGATTGGAACCAGAATGCATAAACCACTTGAAAAACTAGTTGGCAAAGATCTAACCGTATCACAATCATCCCACTTTGGTGAATTTGGTGTTTTTTTTTGTACGAGTTTGACTGGGGATTCAACCGCCGTAGGCAGGTAGCCCCGGGAGATTTTGAACATGTTTTCTGGGCGAATCTTAGGATGGATCTTATGCTTAGTAACTAAGAGGGGCCTCCCAGTGATGTTAGTTGGTTTATAAACCCCCATAACTATAGTTATAAGTACCATAAACCATAGTTATTGGAGTTATGAACCAACTTAGCTATCTTGGGGGCCCCACATTGTATGCTTAGTAACTAAGAGGGGGCTCATTTGTGATACAGTCGAGAGCATGCTTTTCACAGGATGGGGCCCCCGTTTTCGATAGCGTGAAGCGTTGGTTTATTTTTGTGGCTGAAAAAACTATGGTTTATGGTAGATATATAACGAACTAGTTAATGGGGATTATTTCATGGTTTATAAACCAACAAACATCACTGGGGGGCCCCATCCTGCAGGTGTGTGAATTATTATGTTTAGCCCATATGATATTTGATGGTGTATGTTAGAAACAACGGAAGAAGGTATAAGTTACAAACATGGAAAAAACATGACCCAAATCCAGAACCTAGATCCTTCCCAATTCAGTCAAATAGGTTGTAACCAATAACTAGGGCACAAAATCCATAATATAATAATATCCCACTTCATCACAGTGATATCATGGTGCTATACCTTACTCACTAACTGCATGCGTCAGATTGGTAGCCAGGACGCAGCATTTTCTCTTAGGCCATGTGGGGCCAATGTTTTGCCAACATCACTTCTCACACCAAGAACAACACCTACTGTACATCCTTCAAGTATTTTGAACACTTTGGTGAGATTCACATGTGTTTCATATTTTTGTTTCCAGAATTTTCATTTTTTTTTTTTTAATGCACAAATTGTGCCCAGAAAAGGACAATTTTGGTAGGTCTACATCTGGGATATCTTGGCTGTTGTTGATTCTCTTATATACCCAAAAATCTACTATATATATATATTCATGCCCTATGGATCCTTCTTAGGAAACGTTTGGGGTATGATTCCGGGGGTTAGCCGTAGCTTCTCAGGAGGTGTTTGGATCCTTGTTGGGATATATATTTATTTGAAAGTAAATATTACTATAGTGCTAGAATCCCATTGAATTATCCCTATACCCCGATGTTTTCAATGGTCGTTATTCCGAATTTTTCGGAGAAGCCTCGATGGTTGGTCACAGGACAAGATGTCCACTGCTGATGCGGATGAGCTGAAGAATCTCGTGGCAGAGCTGAGGCTTCATATCCGGATGTGCAGTTTTTTTTTGTTTGCGTATAATAATGCCTATAATCCCTCTTTGATCTTTGATAAGACTAGCTTAGTAATGTCATAGTGGTTTAGTAGTGGTTTAATAGTGGTTTAATGGTGGTTTAATAGTGGTTTAATAGTGGTTAGTTTTGATGAAGAATACTTGAAAAAATGTGGTAAATGTCACTTAAAATTCCCTCCAGGTGTATTAAAAAACACATTGGCAATCCATCATTGGTTACCAAACGGGAGCTGGTTTTCCAGCTTAGGCCGCCATGTTGACACCGGAGAGTAGTGGGTGATGTGGTTATGGCTACAACCCCAACGTGGTGATGTTTGTAGAGGAAATATGTCGATCTCCAAATGAGCTCGGGAGATGTTTGGATGATTTTCGACACGGGGGTTCCTGGCCATTCGCCTGGGTCCCAGGTTGAACTTCGGGCGGATGAACAAAATCGTCTTACCTTCGAAGACTTCCATTTGTTGAGCAGATTACTGTAAAGAAATGACATGTTTGCACAGTGGTGAGACGTACATTTGTTTCTGACCTGCAGTTGCAACTATGAATACTATAGTTTATTCATAAGTTTACACTATAAAACAAGAAACATCACCGGGGGGCCTCACCAGTGGCGCTGGAGGACCGCGTTGGCAGCGGAAGAAGGTGACCTTGATCTTATCAAGATGCCCGTCTTGGTAACACGGGGGTCCAGAAGTGGGTGATTTACCTGCAGTGTATAGTCATTAATCATGACCTAAGATGGGTAACATTCATATAGACCATTATTGACAACAGGTCAGTTTAATGTTGCCCTAATCAGTTTATAGTCATTGATCTTGAAAAAAAGAAAAAACAAAAACAACATTAATATAACTAGGTCAACCTTAGATGGGTACTTTAATCCTAACTAGTCTCTTGGTATCAATGGGATTATCTACCAACCAGCAAAGATTTTCTTCTTTTTGCAGGGTATCTAAGATTGGCACTGTTTATAGTCATGAAAAATCATTAAATGATATTAAACGCGCCCTAAGTGGTGGTGAAACTTGGTTCAAACACATCAAACGCTGCCTCAAATCAGGTTGGGGATGCTTGGGGTTTCACCGGCTCTTTCAGGGGAGAGGATGTTTGTTGTTTGCCATGGGCGAGGTGGTGGCGGACTGTCCCAAGGTTGATCTATGTGGATGCTGTTGCCATTCCTCTTTCAGAAAAGGGGTCTATCTGAAAATGGTGATTTTCCACCGGTAAACATACAAAAAGCTATTGAACATGGCCATTTATAGTTGATTTTCCCATTGAAAATGGTGATTTTCCATAGCTAAACGTTAGTTTACCAGAGGGGTATACCCCCAAAATGTCCATTTCAGTGGGAGGATGTGGAACATCCTGAAGCAATGGTAGCATGGGTCCATTTTTCAGACAAACCCGAACTGATTGATTGGAGGTACCTACCATATATAAGGCCTACTTTTCAGATTTTTCAGGGCTATGTTTTAGGGAATATCCCCACAACATATGGCCAAACATATGGTACTAACGTACCTCCATCTGTTGGATCCTGAAGATCTCCCATTGAGACCTGCAGTTCCAAGGAACAAGACCAAGGATTTGCAGGAGAAGTCCTGGAAGGCCAGGATTTATGACCTCAATTTATATATATATATATATGGGTAAATTATAACCAGTAACTAATTATACATCTTTTGCCAGTAACTTAGTATTCATAGAATTGGATGATGGGAAAATTGAAACCGGAAAGCCCTATATTTGGTGGTAAAAACCATGGTTTCCGGTTAAGATTTTCCCTTAAACCAATCCAATGAATTTAAGGCCAAGAAATTCAGGATGCGACGGCTTTATATAAAAGTCTACTGAAAAATAGGGTTGATATCCAATTTGATTCTGCAACAAAAGTGCGTCTGCAACAAGAGTAAACATAATAAAGCTACTGAATGGCAGATGACTTAGGGGTCTGAGCAAAGGTTTCCAATTCCAATTCAATGTGTGTTTTTTCACTGAAGCAACCGCTATTTGATGTCCGGTCTGATCCCCAATCTTGGTTACTTAAAAATACTAAAAATGGCAAGCCTGTTGTATACCCCCAAACATGGGATTGTTTATACGAAAAAATATCTGACCCGTGCGGTCGCCAATGACAAGAAGCCAACATCTGCAGAGTTTGCGCCTTGCGCAGGTCACTCAGCAGGCCTATCAGCAAGGCGCCTCCACTGAAGGCTGTTGGCGGTTGGTGTGATATGTCCCGCTCCGAAACATGCTGCTGGGTTTCTCAACAACAACTGGTTGGTGGTTTGGAACCATGGAATTTTTATGACTTTCCATATATTGGGAATATTTTCATCCCAACTGACGAACTCCATCATTTTTCAGAGGGGTAGGGCTCAACCACCAACCAGACAACAAAATCAACCAGTCCACTGAATTGATTAACATAGAATTCCGTTCAGAATAGCTGAACATTCTTCGCCATTTTTCCAGGTATTCCCAACCAATCAACAACGAGCTGACATACATCGTTGCGTAGCGGTTTTCAATTCCTCGAGAAGTTCCGGTATTTTTTTTGTTTGGAAGGATCTTGTAGGCTCTGTAGGCATCCACCACATAGGGCGGTCGGAGGGGCCATGAGGGGCCGTACCCTGTTGTGATCCACCATTTTCTAGTAATGCTGCATGTTCAATGATTTTGAGCTGGTACATCATCCACAACGGGTTGGTGGTTTGGAACAGGTTTTATTTTTCCATATATTGGGAATTTCATCATCCCAACTGACGAACTCATATTCTTCAAAGGGGTGGCTCACCCACCAACCAGTTAGGGTTTCAAACATTTCTTATTTTCCATGTCATATATGGGATGTCATCCGAAACCCATTGACTTTCACTCCATCATTTTTCAAGATGGTTAAAACATCTACCCTCTGGTTATGACTGTTACATAGCCATGGTATAGATGGTCCATAGAAATAGATGATTTTCCCAGCTAGAAACCTCCATTTATGAGGGATTTTCAACCAGAAATTCATTGCCCAACACGATGCTAGGCTTTGAGTGGTTTCCGATCTAAGCTCAGCAGGTGATAGCTCTGAGCAGAAGACCGAGGAAAGCGACAAGGACAAGGTCTCTTGGTGGCAACACATGGCCATTCTGAACACTTTGTGATTCTGGTTTCAATAAGGGTTGGGTTTTGACATGTAGAATGTGGGGTTTTAACATGATTGAATGTGCTATAGTCATAGTCCCGGGAAAAAAAGGATGGAAACGTGGTTTCCTGCCAATGGCGACTGAATTTATGTACATCCTTATTTCTTTTCAATGTATGCCGGAAAAGAAAGCTTCTGGTTGGTGGTTTGGAACATGAATTTTATGACTTTCCATTCAGTTGGGAATGTCATCACCCCAACTGACTTTCACTCCATCATTTTCAGAGGGGTTTGTTGGCTCAACCACCAACCAGATATATAAAATTATACAAACATATATAACTAGAGTTTTCCCATGTTATACCCTCTAGAGTAAACATAGTAGGGCTCAACCACCAACCAGAAACTGTAACCCTAGTCGTTTGGACTTGCATATGATGCAATTCGACTTGGTCCCCTGAATTCCCTGAAAGTCGACTTCAATGTTCTGAACTTCCTTCCGGGAAAGGTGGAAGATCTTCCCCAGCAAACCCAGGGGGTCTCCGTATATTTCCCATATATTTCCCATATATTTCCCAATTTTTGGAGGTCAAGATAGATTAAGATGAAAGATATGAAAGCCTGCTTCTCTATATTCTTTTCCAGCATCTCTATATTTCCAGTAGGTGGCAAAGAAACCCTACCCTCTGGCAACCTAACAGTTTGCTATTGAAAATGGTCATAGAAATAGTTTATTTACCCATTGAACATGGTAATTGTCCATCGTTTTTTGTATGTTTACCAGAGGGTACGTACCCCAAGATGCTGCAGTACGTTTCTATACCACGCAAAATGATGAGATCTCAGGTTTCTAGAGCTGAAACTCAAGCTTTAGAACTTCACCCAGCTTCATATTCTCAAATATCCAATGATCTGGGTAAATTTGATCACGACCTCACTGATCTCCCTCACTGGAAATCATGGTTAGATTGTGGGGAATCATCCCAAAATGGCCGCAAGATTCAGGTTAGTGAAATATTATAATTTGCCCAGACTGATATTTAAAACTATGGTAATTTGAGAATATGAATCTTCACGTCACTGTACTTCAGGGATTTAGCCTCTGGTAATTTGTTACAGTTTGCTATTGAGGTAATTTGTTACAGTTTACTATTGAACATGGCCCAGTCGAAATCGAAATAGCTGATTTACCCATTAATAGCATGGTGATTTTCCAGAGGGTATTCTTGGTGGCCAGCAATTGAGGCTGGCTCCACGCCTTCCCGAAGTCCCGATCTTCCTGGCACCTGAAAAAAAATCGGGGTCAACAACCACGTCTATAAACCTTTGGAACGGCGTGGATTATGAAGCCACCACAAAAAAGTGTGCTGGGTGTAAAAATGTGTAAAGTTTCCACGCTTGAATTCGGACCTGTCACTGAATTCTCCAAAAGAATCTGAGGACGGTGAGAAGGAGAAGAAGTGAGGAACTGCTGAAATCTTGGCCCGCTCTGGACCTCAAAAAATGCCACATTGCATGGGATTTTGGCCCGTTGAAGGAATAAAACATCCTCACCACTTTGATGTGTCACATGAGACCCATGGAATCCCATGGACATGGACCCTCGATTTTTGAAGATTTTTGATGTGGCTATGGATCAATATCTGTCCATTTTTAGGGGGATATTCACATCCATAAATCCCAGCTATTTTGATGTGAACTACAGGGGTACAATGGGTACAAGGTTTTGACACACTGCCATGTTTCTGGCTGTGATTTGAGTGGTTCGTATCATCGATCATCGCTCCAATGAGATTTTTGGGTGCCGTCAGTTTGATCATACCCCGTTGGGAATGCCTACCCCGCTGGGAATGCCATTCATAGAACGGACATGAACGGACATGACTGCATGTTTAGAATCACGAAAAACAAATTCACAATATATATATATATATAATATATATATATATACGTAGCAAGAAATGCATTTCATATCATCGCTTCGGCGCGCCGGAGAAGGACATCAAGTTGTGATGTGGTTGTTTCTTCACGTGACACCAAAAACCGGGATTTGCCACGTTGAATACACCATTTAAGTTATGCTTGAGGCTTAAGAAACTTGAACTGGTTGGTGGTTTGGAACATGAATTTTATGACTTTCCATCTATTGGGAATAGTAACCCCAACTGACCATTTTTTTTTCAGAGGGGGTGAAACCACCAACCAGTTGAATCTCTGGGCCAGAGAAACTGGAGTGACGAAAGGTGAATTTCGCATTTGATCAAAAGGGGATTGGGATTATCGACGATTGCAACAACCAGTCACTCAGTGTAGGGAATTGCCGGTGATTGATTAATGGATGTTAAAAGGGAATATGTTGAGTGGCTGACATTTTGCTTCCAAAATCCAGTGCAGCGAATTTCGCGCCGAATATTTCCTTCGCAGGCACACCACTAAGCTGCCTGCCCCCCTGCAATCTTCGATGTGCACCTTACTTTCGCTTTCTTATGGATCAGCTCCGTTCGAGCAATAGGAAAAGGCTGGTGCCAAGACTAATGACCACGCAACATGACCATGCAACATGACCGTCTACATACATATCCCAATGGTTATTCAAGCACCTTGCGCCGGTCTGTCTTGTTTGCAAAGTTCACAGCACATGTCACTGACGTATACTGACGTCCCATGTTGAAGTTTCGGAAGCTCACTTGATTGGCCAGCCAACCTCCTGTACTTGTAGCTGACAAAATTGATTGCCACAGTCAATGGGAATTTCAGGATCCTAAAATGGAGGTACCTACCATATATAAGGCTATATAAGGCCTATATAAGGGCTATGTAAGGGGATATCCCCCAAAAATATGGCCTTATATGGTACATCTTTCCCGTGAGTCCAGTGGTCATCCACCATTTGCTGGTTCACAGGATTTCCCAGTTTCGGTGTTTGTTGTTATGATGTTCTACCGGTACTTTGTAAGAGTTTGCTATTGAAGATGGCCATAGAAATAGTTGGTAAATGTTGGTCATTTGTTACATAGCCTTCTGAAAATGGTCCATTTATAGTTGATTTACCCATTAAGATGGTGATTTTCCACAGTTATGTAAACGTTTACCAGAGGGTATCGTTTTGCTCAATATATTTAGCGATACGCGTCGTAAGACAATCGTTGCACATCAATGGCACCGTTCGAACAGAGAGGGGACTTTGCCCCCGGCGCTTCCCCTAGTTTTGACTCGTCGCCTGGAAGCAACCAGAGATTCGTGACACCCGTCGTCACTGTGACAACCCCTTTTCACATGTTTTCACAACAAGCCAAGACCCAGTCGGACCCAGCTGGGTTGCTTCCAGCTGTGCAGGTCGCACCGGCGAAAGAATCCATGAGGCCATTGAATGCCATTCAAGTCACCACGACACAACATAAAACCATGCAGATCCGCCGTGTGTGGGCTGTACTTGCAGCGTGCCAGCTTTTTTGGCAACTTGCAGGCTTGCAAAAAGCAAAAAAAGAACAGCACAAGAGTGTCCTCTTTGCGGTTTGCTTGAGTCGAGATGCTTCGGGCCCGAGAACCAAGCAAAACAGCCAAGCATTCAGGACAATTCTCCCATGAAAGACCTGGGATGTTGAAGTTACAGCACCCACCAAGTTGGTGTTTTTCTGTAACTTGGTAAACCCTTGGTAAAACCTTGGTAAACTTCGTAGTTTCTTCACTCGGGTATCTCGAACTTGCAAAGGGGTCATCTTGAGGTAGAGACGTTTGCGCAACTCAGAACAAAAGGAAGTGCCCAGTGGTGGTGGGAAGCACTGACTTCTTGGGTTCCAACATCGAAGATGCATTCAAAGTCCAAGCCCAAACCTGATTTTGTTCCCATCTTGCTTGTTTCAGCTGTGTCTTTTGTCTTCCTGTGGAAAGGGATGATGTTGTCATCTACTTCACTGACATAGGTCCCTTTATGATGTTTGCAAGTTTTATCCATGAAACTTGGAAAAGTCGATGTGTGTTCCAGAGGGCCATGTTTGCAGGTTGCTTTGGCAGAAGGTGGGCAACCCATTTTTTCAGTAGCAAAGTTGGTAAAGATACAGTAGCTCCAATTTCACTCGGATTTATGGCAATTCTATATAATTATCATTTGTTTGTAACTACCAGAGTATCGTCTATAATATCCCATGGATGTCTAAAAACATATATATATATATATATATAAACAAAAATCAACATCTTAGAACAGCATCCATCTTTTTTCACTTATCTTCCAAGATGTTGTTCTAAGATGTCCATGTTCATGGTATCATGTCATTTATCAACAAGTCATGGGGATAAATGTCCATACAATGTGGGCCCCCCCAGTGATGTGAACGTTGGTTTATAAACCCCCATAACTATAGTTATTTGCGTACCATAAACCCATAGTGAAATTGGAGTTATGTGCACCAACTTAACTATCGAACGGGGGCCTCACATTGTAGGTTTGTTGGTTGATCTCCCTATGCCTGATCTGGTTGGTGGTATACCTACCCCTCTGAAAAATATGAGTCAAATGATTCAAATGAATATCCCCATGACTTGTCCCCATGGGCTCCGTCCAGGATTCTGCAGAGCACTGGAGTTCCTGCGCGAGATCCAATGAGTTCATCCAGCAAGGACGGCGCGAGATCCTGCGGATGCGCTTTTTGGGTGTCGTAAGATGATTTCGTGGTGATTTCGTGGTGATTTCATGGTGATTTATGGTGATTTAATGGTGGTTTAAATGGTTTTCTATGGGATTAATGGGATTTAATGGTCATTTCATGGTGATTTCATGGGAAATTCATGGACATTTATGGTGATTTCGTGGTGATTCATGATGATAAAAGTTACGGAAAAAAACGGGGAGATCAGGGGGATAAACAAATCTTTTAATGGAGATGTTATGATGATGTTATGGTTATTTTATAGAGATCCATGCTGAAAGTTATATCTATAGTTTATGGGTTTCTAAACCAACTTAGCTAAAATACTAGGTCAATCTTAGATTTATACTTTAATCCTAACTAGTCTTTTGGTATCAATGGGATTATCTACGTTCACCAGCAAAGAATTTGGTCCATTTTTTTACAGGGTATCTGGCTGATTGGCAATGTTTATAGAGATCCAATGGTGATCTAAATCTCATGGTGATCTTGTCTAATGGGATTCAGTAGGGATTTCATGGGGATCTTTCATGGGGGATCTTTCATGGGAGATATGATCTTTTATTGGATATGATGGGATAACCAAATTAGAAAGTGATTATTCTATGGTTTTTAAAACGGGATATTATTTTGGGTTATCACTATGGTGATTATTACTAAGTGATATTATTGGGATATTATATGGATATTATTATTAGTATGGCATATTACTATGGTGTAATACCTAAAGTTATCAGTGATTATAATGGGATATTACTATGGTGATTATTATATGATAAATACATATCACCAGTTTTTTTTTTATATGATATAATCACCATACTAATATCCCATGATAATATATATGGTGATATTACTATGGTGATTAATACCATTATGATAGTGTATTTGGATGTTACTACGGTGATTGTTATTACTAAGTGTTCACCAGGAAGTGCAGGCCGTAAGCTGCTATGGTGATCACCTCCATCCACTTAGACATCACTGGAACTGCACGGAGGGCTGTTTTCCGAAGCGTTTTGGGTTTGATGATGAAGTCAGATCTGAGATGATGCCATACATTTGAACATCAGTGGAATCAATTGGCATTATTGGTATTGTCCAATGTTTGAAACAATGCACATATTTACTAGGTAGCTGGATCAGCTAGAGCAAAGAACGGAACCAAATGAACCAAATGAATTGAGAATTTGAATAAAAAGCGATGGATTTGCACACATGATAAAAGAATCATGTCCGAAGGAAATCAACTCGTAGCGGACTCGTAGAGGACGGCAACTGTTTCATCATTTCCCATCCTTGCGATCTCAAGCTCCCGGAATTGATGAAAATGTCCAGGACATATTTGGGGGTTTTCCGTATACCGATGCTTTCCGGTTTCGTAAAAGCCATACCCTCCGGTAAACTCACCTACTGGGTTCATGTTGTTTCTTGTCTCGGCTCCCCTGAAGTTGTCTCAGGTCGGTGTGCCGTGGGGCAGAGTGTATAAAGGATATATATGATATTGTTAATCCATTGGATCATTGCTTATTGTAAGACCACAAAACGCATAGGCACGCTGAACTTCACCTACATGAATCTACCATTTGTAGTCATAAACCTTCTTATTGTTTGTTTGTCCATTGCAGGGCACACAACGCAGGGGCACACTGGTTGTCATAAACGTGTTTGTTTATTATGAGTATACTTGGTTTGATACTTGTGACATCCAAACGCAGTGGCATGCTCGGTCAAAGAGAATGTGCCTGGGTGTTTCAATGATTTTGTGCAGCACGACAGATCTTGTGCCAACATCGGTGTGCCTGCCATTTGGTG